GAGTAAACAGTTCAATAATCATAATGATTAAATTTTATGGTTTAATAATTCACAGACCCTTGAGAACATATCCAGCCACACATGACCGATAACGTATTTACATGAAAGCAACAAACATAAAAATTTGGAATTGTAACTTGGGACATCTACCTTGGGTTGAGGCAACTTGTGTACGCACACACATATTGAGCTGCACCTTCAATTGTTCTTGAGGTATATATTCCTTTCAGCCCTAGGAGAGCAGAATAAGCAAGAAATATGTCTAGTTATCTGTTGTCACTTCGGCAAGATGGCAGTAAAACAATGAAGAGTTCCAATACAATTTATTAAAGACATTGGAATACATCTCTTCAAGAAGCACATACCAAAATCCTTGTGGTGTGTAGGATCATTCAAACCCTCTATGAAAGGCCCAAGAACGAAAGTTTGGGACATTGATTGTGTACATGTTTTGTATCTTCTCCACTCGATACCGAAAAAAGACTCCATGACCGTGCACCTGACTACAATTTAAATAGATGAATTAGAAACAGAACTGATATGAAATGGAGGTCTGAATTAATCAAAATGTGTTGCCAACATGGATACTTTACTTTAAATGATGCTCTATTCATGAGTAAAGGAGAATTTTGGCCACAATGGGACCACTTCAGATACTGATTTTTTTATCTGATGAACAAGTGTAAAAATTTGTTGAATTCTAACTACACAGTATGCTCCAAGAAGCAAACAGTACCTAGAGGGTTATCATGACGAAAGCCTCGATTCCAAAGAACCTCTAACCAGTCAAAAATTTTAGCTTCTTCATCTGGAGTTTCCATGTGAACATGATGAGAGTTATTACAGTCGGATTTCAAGGTTCCATCATATCTGAGAGATGACTTGATTAATAAGTCAATCTGAAAGGTAAATTAAAAAAGCAATGAGCAGAGGAGAAAAGCATCAAGAGTAGAAAATTTACAAAGACCAGAGAGATAAAAACATGACCTGGTTACTCCATGCTGCTTCTACAAGATGCGTGCCGTACTCTTCAAGCATCTCATACAAGAGCAGAAAAGCTTGCCACCCCTGCTGACTAGTCAACCCAGAGTTGACAGAGCCATACAATTCTCCGACACCAAGCGACTTGGCTTCCTTTTCTGCCCACGTCTCCTTTCTTGTCATAGACCGATTACCTGAATTCCCTTCAGGCTTCTTCTCAGAACTGGTCTTACTCACTTCACTTATGGATAAAACTGATTTTAGTATATGCAATGACTGCTTCCTTACTAAGCTCTCATCAACAACCTGAAAGGAAATGTTTTGTACTCAACTACTCATGGATGGCCCTAGTGTGGAAATTGGAGAATCTGTAAGAATAACAGGTATTTTTGCCATACCAAGCCTTTCTTGATTTCATCCCAAAACTCTTGTTCGGATCTCAGGTCAAATTCAACAGCGTCTTTTTCTGAAACAAAACTTTCAGTTCCGTCAGTCCAAGAGCCAGAAGAAAGACACAAAGACAGGACACTGTAAGCGTCCCTTCTCTCTATTGATCCAACCGAGAACAGCTTCTTGCAGCATTCCCATATTCTTTTCTTGAAGCCATTCCTGGAGTTTACAGCTTTACAAATCATAAAAGAGATCAAAGAAAAAACTAACCTACAAGCACATAAATTTTTGGTCCTTATCCTCACCTTGAAAGTATGTACATATTTCCTTGGTGTGAGATCTTCAGGGAGGACTGAGAAGAGAATGCCTTGAAAATAGCAGGGAGGAGGAAACTAACAGCACATGAACGATGTTCTAAACTTTGTGACAAAAGCCGCTCAGTCATATTACACAAATCCCAAAGCATACCAGCTGCAAAAGTTTCCACCTCTGGAGCTGCTTGGTGACTTTGAAAAGCAGCATTTAGAATCAAATTCAGAAGATGGCACGACAATGGAATTGGAAATGATCCAGACAAATGTGCAATGTAGTTTTCATCCATATCTATTGTATTCAAAGAGTCACGGAGGCAGAGCTCGCCCCATTTGATGAAATCTGATTGCTCGTGTTGAAGAATTCCCATCGAAACACCAACTGATCTCAGTAAAAATGGCACCAAGCTCACTCCCAATATATCCAATAAACTAGTCTCGATCACTACATCAAAGAACGATTCTACAATCTGGTACAATCAAACAAAGAAAAGCAAAAAAACCAACAAAATGATCAATAAGCTCGAGGAGATCGTAACTCGAGGATTATGGCAGTATATAAAAATTTACCTTATTAAGCATATCCAAATCATATGCACGAACCATCTTCATGAGTGGAATAAACACTCTCCACACAAATAACTGCAACGCATTCTGATTATCCGCAGTACCAAATCCTGCTTCAACCTCAAAACCCTCGATTAATCAATTCTCTAATCTCAAACACCCCATACATATCTAAAAATTCAAAATTGGTAACTCACCAAAATTCTTTAGTAGATGACAAAGCCCAGCCACCAATGAAGCAATGTGGTTGCAATCATCAGAATCAAACCTCTTGGCCCCATTTACCGTATCCTATTAAAAACAAGTTCCAATCTTAAATTGAACAATCCGAAGCAAATTGCCAAAGTGTGAAACAATAAACCAATCAATCAATACCTCTAAACGAAAAGGGAATTTCTCGATGAGAGATTCGAAAAGGGTTGAAGGAGATACGCCTGTGGAGCTTAAAACACAATCAAGAAAAGCAGGAATAGCTGCTGGTGGAACTTGCTTGAAGCTCAGTGACAATGAAGTAATCACAGACGAATCCATTTCAATTGAAACTTCGAGCTTCGGAGAAATGGCTGCAAGCAGCCGAATTTGATGAAGAAACGTGAACGAATTTGAAATTAGTACAGAGAGAATTGTTACGAAGAATCCCTCTGTTAAACCCTTTTGGCTCTTCCTTACTTTCAAATATTTTTCATGGCTTAGGACAGATAAACCCTAGTTCGTATAATTAGGGGGAAAATTAGAATTATTGATATGGGCTTGATTGGGCTTAATTGGGCCGAACGGATAGACTTCAGGAAAAAAAAAAGGAATCCGGAAATAGTTCGGGGGATTGAACCCGACGTGAATCGAACACGCAACCTTCTGATCTGGAGTCAGACGCGCTACCATTGCGCCACGGATCCGGATGTTATTACCTTGCATTATAACTTATAAGTATATAATATTGATTTAGATGCTAATAAAAAAAACATTTTGAGGACGCGTTCCCAACACGTCCGGTGACCAAAGAGTCAATTATGATCAAGAAAATTAATAATACTGCATTACGATATTTATTAGTATTGTTTTGAACGATAATCACGTGGTCTGGTCGTGATTAAGGTCCTAATTATGTCAACGTTTGCCTGCCACATTGCAGACCGTTGTACTAATTCCACACCGACTGGTCTACGACATATTTTTTGTTGATCGATGATTATAGATGCAGATCAATACACATAAACAAATACGTTCACGTTATAGAATAAGTAACAAATAGGAAAACCAATTGTTACAGAACTGAAACTTACTTTACGATCTCTTCTCTCTTTTAATAAGAACAACGTATTGATTGATAGAGGCTTGCAATTGGCAATCTCCTAAGACAGAATTTAGCCCCTACTGTGGTGTACGTAGCTTTGTGTAGGCTTCTATCTTTAGGATACAACTATCGATCTCTGTTTTAACACCGTACAGAGACCCTAGCAAACTCTACTTTGAGATTCTCTGTTATTGATTTGGAGAAGAAGAAGATGAGAATCAATCCCAATCTTTCTCTCCTTTGTTTCTCTTGTATTGTTCTTCTCTCTTGTCTCTCTGTTCTTGTCTCTCTACATCGTCACGTCTCTTATATATTAATGAAGCGATGTTTGATCCAAGAGATGCTTCTCTTCTCTCAACCGGTGTATCGGTATAAACGTAACCAAGAGACGTGATGAAATTTGCACAAGTAGAAGGGTATTTACATAAATACAAATGTTTATGTAAATAAACATGTTTATATAAAATAAACACCAACAATTTTATCATAAAACACATTACTATATAATTAAATTGATTCGAGATATCTTAGAGAATTGGCTTCATGATCTAATTAATTTAGTTAATATACATATGCTAAAGTTATATAACCATTTCAACAGATAATTACAGTTAGAGCCCTATAGGCTTCCCAGTTGTCAGTAGTGGCGTAGTGCTATGGTTTTTAAATGGCACCCGGTAAATATCATATATGTTAGTGGATTTATTTTACCAAAAAAAAAATGTTCATGTATTTAAACACTTGTTTTTTTTTTAGATAAGCAAAATCAAAAGAAGATATGGTGACCACTAACACGATCAGTCGAAGAAAAATGTTTCCCGACTTTATTATATGCGTTTCCATTTTGCTCCCATAGTCAAATTATGGAGCATCGCAAATATCTAATAAACTAATTATATAAAAATTTATTATAATACATGGTCACCAATTCCGTATATTTAGAATATTCCTAAGAGGTGCCATTTTGACTAATAAAATGGACGGATCTTTGATTGTTTCCGGAAGTGAATGGATATTTGAAAAAACCGAAGTTTTGAAATTCTTGTCCAAATCTATTTTTTCATTCAACCAGTAGTATACATAATTTTTTTCTGAACATAGAATAATATCGTGTATGCTTACGTAACAATCAAATAAAGTTGTAAACAAAAAAAAAAGACAGAAGATAATTAAAATAGTACAGAATGAAGAAAGGTAACAGAAATCAAACTATGGAAATTAGGTACAATTAGGTTCGGTCTAACTGAAATATATAAACGACAACAAAAAAAACGATGGTTCTATTAACTTCCAAAACTGACTCGTCTCACACGCGCTTATTAGTTTCACACGTGTGAATAATCCATAATATAAGCCACTACTAAAATTCATTCTCAATTCTTTTACACCAAACGAAAACAAAAATAAATAAGAAAAAAAAGCCTTTAAAGCATCTAATAGAGTAATTGATCTCAACCGTCCGATCATCCATCTTGCCATCACCGTTCACCAATCTTCTTCGTCTCCTCTCTCTCTCTTTTCTTTCTTTCTTTTGCTGTTTCTCGCTCCTCTCTCTCTGGATCTCGCCGGCGAGCCGTTTCTCTTGGGTGGTGAGTGTTGCTTCTGATTTTTTTTCTTTCTATTTCCGTCGAATTTCGTCGTTTAATTTGATTTTTCGTCTGTGGAATTCTCGATGTGCCTACATTGATCTTCTGGTTTCGAATCATAATTTCGATTTCATAACTTTACTCTCTGTTATGGATTCGAAGAGCTTTGTATTTTTTTTTTCCTTATTGATGCTACTTTTGCTAGGGTTTACACTTTTTCCTTGTATGTTTTTACCCATAAAAAATGAGCAAAGTTGTTGAGATTCTTCTTCTAGACTGTTTTCAATTTTACGTTTCACAAAGTTTATTTGATGGTCTGGTTCTATTGAAATGGCATTGTTCGTCTCTCTCTTTTTTTTTCTGAATATTTTTGTGTTCTGTTTCCATGAAATATTTGTAGATTCTAAAAAGATGTTTGTGATGATTGTGCAGTAAACAGTAGCAATCAAGCTATAGCAATCGCTGAATTAGCTGTTGGATTTATCCGCCTTTCTTCGTAATCTGCGGGTTGGGTTTTAAGGTTTCATCGTCTTATTTCATCTGTAAATGGGCTGCTTCCACTCAAAGGCAGCAAGAGAATTTCGAGGACACGAAGACCCTGTTAAGCTTGCCTCTGAGACAGCTTGTAAGTTTAAACCCCCTCTAGATTCATTTCTCTCAAAGCTGCATGTTCATTTGTTGTCTGATATGAGAATCATCAGCTAGATCATATTACCCCTCCATGCATATACTATCCTATCTACAAATATCCCAAACTTAGTTAATTTTATTCATGTTTCATTATGTTCTTGTCTGCATCAAAAAAAGGATGTTTGTTACCATGCTTTATATTGATATTCAAAAAACTTTTGTAGTGGATTAATTTATTTGTTTGTTCTTGATTCTTCTTTTGTTTGATCTCGTAGTGTCGCTTGTTTTTTTCTATTTTCCAGTTAGTGTGAGTGAGGTTGAAGCATTGTTTGAGCTGTTCAAGAGCATAAGCAGTTCGGTTGTTGATGATGGTCTGATAAACAAGGTACAAAGATTGATAAAGTTTGTTTCTTTTGACCCAATTTGGATCTTTCATGACCCCATCGTAGTATCTTTTTGTTCTTTACGCTATTCATCTACAGTATTTTTCAACTTAGTTGACTTTATTTCAGCAATAATTATTCTTACATGATGATCTGTCTGTTCCATATTGCATCGATTCAATGTATCGTAGCCCTTAATGTTTGACTTGAATTTGTAATTGATTGTTTTGATTTTGAAATATGAGGCTTTCATGGCCCACTGTATTTATGTTGTTTTTTAATTCTCGCTTCACTTGTATGCAGGAGGAGTTTCAACTTGCATTGTTCAAAAGCCGGAAGAGGGAGAATATTTTTGCCAATAGGGTAAAAACTAAGTTCATCAGCCTTTAACAAATTTGGTCTTTAGGAAGAGTGATTTGAACCAAGAACTCTTGGTTAATCGATAAGATAATATGTCCATGAAAATAAACAATTATGCTTCTTTGCAGATATTTGATATGTTTGATGTTAAACGAAAAGGAGTCATCGATTTTGGGGACTTTGTCAGATCACTCAATGTTTTCCATCCCAATGCTTCTCTAGAAGACAAAATAGATTGTAAGTTGACATAAGATAGTTTCATACCTATTGTTTATTGAACCCTTTATGAAGAGTTTTATTGATTCTGGTCTACGATTTTTCTTTCAGTTACGTTTAGGCTTTACGACATGGACTGCACGGGTTACATTGAACGCCAAGAGGTAATAATAACTTGCAAGCTTTGAATACTATTCATGAAAGATCTTTGCCTTGTTCTTGATTATGCATCTTTTACTTAATAACTTTGCTAGAAATCGTTACTGAATGTGATATGTTTGCAGGTCAAGCAAATGCTAATCGCCCTTCTCTGTGAATCTGAAATGAAACTGGCTGATGAAACCATAGAGATAATACTCGATAAGGTTTGTTGTTGTCTAAGGTTTTGTTTTTCTAGATTGTATACATATAGAGATAATGTACTAAATGTGGTTTCTTTCATCCTTCTCATATATGAACAGACATTTGAAGATGCAGACGTGAATCAAGATGGTAAGATTGATAAATTAGAGTGGAGTGATTTCGTTAACAAAAACCCATCATTGCTAAAGATCATGACTCTTCCATATCTCAGGTAGTTTACAAAATTGCCTTTTATGGAAACCAAAAGACAACAAATATTTGAAAAGATGCTAAACGAAATGTCCAAATCATTTTTCTTAACGTATACATAAAACAATGCAGGGATATAACGACAACGTTTCCGAGTTTTGTCTTCAATTCGGAGGTCGATGAGATTGCCACATGAAGAAAACAAACTGGTTTAAGACCAGTTTCTTGAAATTCAGAGCTGATCGGTGTAATCAACATGAGCGTAAAACAATTCAGAGCTGATCGGTGTAATCAACATCTGTTTGTAAAACTAGTAGTAGAGCATATTTTCTTGAAATTGTTTGGGTTCCTTTTTTTCTTCTCAGAACAGTTTTGAAATTATGTGTGTTTAGCTTACAAAAAGAAAATGAGCGTAATCACCAATCCTTCACTTCATATAGTTAGGAAATGTTAATGAGTTTTGTTGTACATATTACATCATACGTTTGTTGTAATTGATTTTTTCAAGTAAAAAGATTAAAGAGTTGTTACGTTATTCGGGGGTCTAATTGTTCCAATCGAATCTTTAACTGTAAATTTGAGAATGTAACATTTTTGTTAAGCCCTTTTTACCGCAAAGCTTACGATACAATTGCCCTTGGACCCAATGAAATTTACTGTCTTGCCACTTCCTTCTTGTTCCAGCGATTTCTCTCTCGACTCCAAATTTCCCAGATAGTTCTCGTCACTGTTTGCATTTCGATTTGGATTCAGCTTCTTCATTGCTAAATTCTAGACTGATGTTTAGGAAATCGTTGCGTCGATTCGATCTCAGTAACGTAGAAACCCTAATTTCACGAGTCTTGTGCAGTCGTACCTCAAAACCGGCTCTGTTCTGTACTAGTGTTGAACCTGCTAGATTAAGCTGGGAAGTTTCTTCTCAAGTAATTCTTAAGAAGAAGCTCGAAACAGCTCTTAAGGATCACCGTGTAGATGATGCTTGGGACGTGTTTAAAGATTTCAAACGACTCTATGGATTTCCCGATAGTGTAATCATGAACAGGTTTGTTACTGTGTTGTCTTACTCTTCTGATTCTGGTTGGCTTTGCAAGGCTAGTGATCTGACTCGTTTAGCTTTGAAGCAGAACCCAGGTATGTTAAGTGGCGATGTTTTAACTAAGTTGTCGTTGTCTTTAGCGAGAGCTCAGATGGTTGAACCTGCTTGTAGTATCCTTCGAATAATGCTGGAGAAGGGATATGTTCTAAGCTCAGATGTATTGAGGCTTGTTGTGATGCATTTGGTGAAAACAGAGGTTGGGACTTGCTTAGCTTCGAATTATTTGGTTCAGGTTTGTGATCGTTTTGTGGGGTTAAATGTGGGGAAAAGAAATAGTAGCTCCGGAAATGTTGTGAAGCCTGATACGGTCTTGTTTAATCTTGTACTTGGTTCTTGTGTGAGATTTTGTTTTTCTCTCAAAGGCCAAGAACTTATCGAGGTAATGGCTAAAGTTGATTTCGTTGCGGATGCATACTCGATTGTGATCATGTCTTGCATTTATGAAATGAATGGTATGCGGGATGAGTTGAGGAAGTTCAAGGAGCATATTGGTCAGGTACCGCCTCAACTTCTTTGTCACTATCGGCATTTGTATGATAATTTGTTAAGCCTTGAGTTCAAATTTGATGATATCGGTTCTGCGGGTCGGCTTGTCTTAGATATGTGCAAGAGTAAGGACTTGGTTTCAGTTCAGAATCTTGGATTTGATTCTGAAAAGCCTCGGGTTTTACCTGTTGGGTCTCACCATATCAGATCCGGGTTAAAGATCCATATTTCACCTAAGCTTTTGCAGAGAGATTCATCTCTCGGAGTGGATACTGAAGCAACATTTGTCAATTATTCCAATTCCAAGCTTGGTATCACAAACAAGACTCTTGCGAAGTTAGTATATGGGCACAAGAGACATGATATTCTCCCTGAGCTATCAAAGCTTCTGTTTTCGCTGGGTGGATCCAGGTTATGTGCTGATGTCATTGATGCTTGTGTTGCTATTGGTTGGTTAGAAGCTGCTCATGATATTCTTGACGACATGGTTTCTGCTGGTCATCCCATGGAATTGGCCACGTATAGAAAAGTCTTGTCAGGTTATTACAAGAGCAAGATGTTGAGAAATGCAGAAGTTCTTCTGAAACAAATGACGAAAGCCGGTCTAATTACAGATCCATCAAATGAGATTGTGGTTTCACCAGAAACTGAAGAGAAAGACCGTGAAAACACAGAGCTCAGGGATCTCTTGGTTCAGGAAATCAATGCAGGAAAACAAGAGAAAGTTCCAAGTATGCTATACGAGCTAAACTCGTCCCTCTACTACTTCTGCAAAGCTAAAATGCAAGGAGATGCCATAATAACCTACCGGAAAATCCCCAAGATGAAAATCCCACCAACTGTCCAAAGCTTTTGGATCTTAATCGACATGTACTCCTCTCTTGGCATGTACCGGGAGATCACAATCGTGTGGGGAGATATCAAAAGAAACATTGCGAGCAAAAACTTAAAGGTTACACAAGATCTGTTAGAGAAGCTTGTGGTGAACTTTCTCAGAGGCGGGTATTTCGAGAGAGTAATGGAGGTTATCAGTTATATGAAGGAGAATGATATGTATAATGATCTAACCATGTATAAGAATGAGTATCTTAAGCTTCATAAGAATCTATATAGAACCTTGAAAGCATCAGATGCTGTAACAGAGGCTCAAGCTCAGAGGCTTGAGCATGTCAAGGCCTTCAGGAAACTAGTTGGTATAGTATGATTTTATTTATTTATCTCCCTGTATTATATAACTCAATATTGGTGTCTAGAATGTGAAATTAGAAATCGTAATATCTGTTTTCTTCCAGGCAAGTTTCCAATCTCATATAATTGACAACAAAGGTTATGCTGAAGATAAACCAAAGTTGGAGGTTTTTGGGAATATTATTTAAAACTCAGGGGGTTACTTGAAAATTTTACTCCTAAAATGGGCCTTTAATACATAAAAATTTATCTTTATTGGTTCGTGAGTTTTAGTGACTTTAAATGTTACGTAGAATATATGATTGCTAATGAATTAAATTATTATATTATTATTGGTTTATGATTTTTTATACTTTTCTTCACAAAATAAAGTCATGAAAAGTATCATCAAAATAAAGAGATTGTTTGAAAAACTTTACAAGATTATAAAAAAACTAAATCAACAAAATTATATAAATTAGAAAACTCTCTAGGCTCTAGCAATGGTTTAAAATCTTTCATTTATTTACTTTCTATAATTTTATTAAAGTTATCAAAAAAAATTTATAAATAGGAACCAATAAGGCAATAACACCCTAAATGGGCCTGATCTTTAAGCCGAGTGAACTCAAAAACCCGGTCGGGTCGGACTTTTTTTAATAACTCTCGGATTTGGGTTTGGTGGCTATTTGCGTAGAATTCGATCGGAAACTCTCTGCAACGGAGGAGAAATAGAGAACTATACCTAAATTTGGCATGGATTCACCGCCGAAGAAAAATCCGATGGATGATTTGTTCGGCGAAGATTCCGACAATGACTCACCATCTTCGCGTTCGAAATCGTCTTCTTCCGGTAATGCTTCTTCGTCTTCTTCCTCCTCCTCGTCTTCTTCATCTTCGTCTTCTGCGGCGGGAGGAGATGGAGATGGTGGTGGTGCGGAATCTGGCAGCGTAAGCGATAGCGGAAGTGGAAGTAGCGGCGGGAAAGAGGAGCATGGTGATGATAGAGTAGAGAGCTATAGGAGCAATGATAATGGAGAAAGTGGAATTTATCCTTATGAAGAAGAGGAGGAAGTAGAGGAAGACGAGAAAGATCTTTTTGGGTCTGATAATGAAGAGTATACTAAGACACCTGCAATTAGCACTTACTCAATTCCAGGTTTGTTCGAACAATATTAGGAACCAAAAGGCTTGAGACTCAGAACAATTTCATCTCTATGCATTTTTTAAGATTGATTTTTGTAGCTTTTTTGTCCTCTTGATTGTGCTTGTTGTGGTACCATTCATGATCACTATAATGTCAGGGTGGAATCTTTTTGTCACACTATTATTATCTAGTGTAAATTGTTCTGAGACTAAATTGTTTTTTCTGTTATGAAATAATGACAGTTTTGCCTGCGGGATGGAGCAATGATAACCATGGTGGGAGAGGAGGAATGGGACGGGGTCGTTGGTCAAATGGGAGAGGAGGACCTGGGCTTCTTCCTCGGCCTGGACCTTACCCTGGACGTGGTAATCGCGGTGGTTTTGGCGGGAGATACCAGAATTATCAGCGTGATGAACGTTTTGTTTCTGAGCTTAAGCTTTCAAAAAGCAATGAAACGTTGGCTAGAAAACAAACCAACTTTCAGGAGGTAATATATATCAAGGAACATTGTTTTAACTTCTAAATTATTAAGGCACAGAGATATACATTACTTCCTGTTTAATCTATGCCTATATTTATGGATATGGTAACACGTTTCAAATTGCTTCATGTTAACAGCCATGTGAGCTTACTTGCTACAGTCGAGTAGAAGGTGGAGAAGTATTCTACGATGACCGAGGATTGGTGAGAGCTTTTGATATTATTGTTCCTTTTGATTCTCTCTTTTCTTTTCTTTTTTTTGTCATCCCATTGAACTAGTTAATTGTTGGAGTATGTATATATATTTTTGTTTGAGCACACATATATATGCAGACATGTAAATATACCAAATATATCACAGCTTGTATGTATCCACTTTGTTCTTGTTTCCCAGAGGCTTTTCAAACGTCATGTTGCTGAAGAGATTGGTGCGGATTTAAATCAAGGTTATGATACTTTTATTGAGAAAAAAGGTAATAAATTAGTGGCACCAGTGAACTATTAGCATGTGTAAAATGAAGAAGTGTGATATATTCATCTGATTAATCGTTCTTTTGAGGCAGACCTGGGCTCTGAGGGCTTTGGTGACCTTCTTGGCAGTATTAGAGCAAAAAACATTTCGCTGGAGAACATTCATTTTGTGGTATGAAGTGCGGATGTATATATGTCCATTTCACTGTCAATTCATTACTTTGAAGAGGTTATCTTAATGGTGTCTTTTATTTGTGCTTTTTTGGACAGACATTTCGTAATAATCTAAATAAGGTAAGTGAGATTCCCAACAGTTATTTGATCTTTATGATATCAAATGAATCACTCTATGCACTTTGTTTTATTCTTTCAGATATTGGGCGCTGCTTACAACCGGCATGAACCGTGGGAAATGGGCGTCCATAAGAGAAATGGAACCATATATTTAGATGTGCATAAATTGCCTGAAAGGCCGCAGAGTGACTTAGATCGCCGCAGGTAATCTTCGTTTTAATTGTATTTGGGGATTAGAGTGATTCCACTAGCTTTTTTATAAATGGTGCTAAAGAATGTCTGTGTAGAAGACAATGTTAAAAAATAGGAAGCAATTTTTTGGAAAAAAGGGGTCATAAAGAGTTTATAACACTGCTCTGCATTTTATTGCTACTAATAAATTTGATGTTATATTTCCATCAGATGTTACTGGGGTTATTGTTTCGAAAGCCTTGCGACGGAAGATCCAGGAAGAGCTTATGGAGAAGAAGTACATCATGTGGATGCAAATGTTGAATTCTGTTCTGTTGTCAAGACTAAACTAGGAGCTCACCGAGTTCTGATGGGTGCTGAAATGGACTGCTGTGATGAAACTGAAGAGGGAAAAAGGATTTACATAGAGTTGAAAACATCTCGTGAGGTATGCCTCTTATTGCTACAGTTTTCCTAAAAGCTCGTTTGTTGTTTGAGATTCTCTTTTTCATTTCACACACATACACATTGGCCAGTAATGTCCCTACTGTTTACTCTCCAGTTGGATGATCGTACCGTTGACAGATTTGAAAGAGAGAAACTGCTTAAATTCTGGGTAAGTATGATGTATCACGGGTTGCATATATCTTCTTTATTTCCCCATTCTTGTTCAGTCTTAAAATGGTTTAACATGCTGCAGATACAATCATTCGTGGCGGGAGTTCCATACATTGTCGTTGGATATAGGTATGAATTTGCCATCATTCTAAGGATAAACTCAAAAAGTCTTAACCTTTCGTGATTCAAGTAAACATTACCATTCCCCTTTTCATATTGGTGTAGAGATGATGGAGGAAGACTGGTACGCACAGAGAGACTAAGAACGAAAGAAATTGCGCACAGAGCCAGATTGAAAAACTTTTGGCAGGTAAGTGTTATCAGTTCTTCTCATTACAGACATGAATGATAATTATGTATAATCAAATTGATTTTCGGGAATTAGGGAAAAGTGTGCTTGGCATATGCCGATGAAGTTCTTTGCTGGCTATACGGCACTGTTAAAGAAAGTAAGTTTATGTTTCGTTACGTCTACATAGATCAATGGAAGATGATCTTTTAAACTTCTATTTTCCAACAATGTGTTTTGCAGACGAAGATTACATACTTCAGTTCGTGCACCCTTTCATGAGACTAGAGCTTCTTCATGCTCAATCTTGTCCTGATGCCATCACTAATCATGTTCACCTTCTACAACATCCTGCATCACCACCACCTCCACCTCAGTAACTTTGTGCTTCTTTAGTGGAGTCATAAACTGTAATACCTAGGGTTCAAAATCAAATTTGAAATAAAGGTTTTTGATTTTGGATTTCTTTTGTAACATTTTGTTAACCAAAATCCCAAACATTGAGAAAGGAAAAAAAATTCTAGTTCTAACTTTGACGCTTGTTGACTTGTTCTATGTGAAAAGCCGAAAGCGAATCTAACATGGGCCGGGCCTGTTTTACCTTTGTCCAAGCCTTATAATCTTACCACGTGAGCATCACGTGTCTCTATTTCTCTCTCTCTCTCGTTGGCTGACGAATCACCGGAGAACCCAATTTGTTTCCTTCCTTTACCGTTTTGCCCTTCCCTGTTCTTTTATTCTTTTTCTTATCTACAAAAAAAAAACTCCGAGCAAGAACAAAAAAAAAAAAAACTGTCTATGTACCACCAAGATACTAGTTGTCAGATAGATATTCGCGAGACGAGAAGCTCCAATTCAAAACCCTAGAGCTCATCTCTCTCCAGGTACGGCCTTTTCGTTTTTGGCTTTCACCGGCGTGGATCTCCGGTGACGGGAGATTCTGAATTTTGGAGATATTTAGATCATGTATAGAGAGAGAGGTGTGGTTGGATCGAAGTCGGAGGTTGTCGATCGGAAACGAATAAACGAGATTCACGATAATCGACCCTCGCATTCGATGTCTCAGCCTGTCAATGGAAAAGGCAAGGTAACAGCGACCTCCGTTTTGATGGGAAAGCAGCAATTGCATGATAGGGATTCACGTTCTGGTTCTATCTCCAAGACTAACATTTCCGACGGTGAGATTCGATTTTGCCCTCTCTATCGCTATTTCTCTATGTTATCGTAATCGCAGATTGTTTGATTCGAGTTCGTATTTAGGGTTTGCCCCGTGGGTCTCCTGATTTGGATTCAAATTTCTTTAAATTGATGAGAAATTTCTTAATTTGACCTATTGTTCTTGAAGAAATGTTATTCATTTTGGATGTAAGCAAAAACTAGAAGCTTTGATATTAGACGCAGTCTAGTTTTAGTTTTAGACGCAATCATTGTTATTTGCTTAAAAACAAATTATAAGACTGATGCTGATGAATTGTTTCCTGGGCATTTTTTGTGGTTATATTAGCTGTGGATATATCAGACACAGACAGCGAAGAATCAGAAGTTAGTGGTTCTGATGGAGAGGATACCTCATGGATATCTTGGTTTTGCAACCTTCGTGGGAACGAGTTCTTCTGTGAAGTTGATGATGATTACATCCAGGATGACTTTAACTTGTGTGGACTGAGCCATCAAGTTCCTTACTACGACTATGCCCTTGATTTATTTTTGGATGTGGAGTCTTCGCATGGTAAGTCTTACCCATGAATATTAGTATGTGATTGCGTGTTTTACATAGTAGTATGGGATAATAATATAGGCGAAAACTGGTTTGCCCTTTGCTTTTGTGTCTTCAATGTTTGATTTGGATTGACGGGTTAACAGGTGAGATGTTTACAGAGGAACAGAATGAATTAATCGAGTCAGCAGCAGAGATGCTATATGGAATGATTCATGCTCGTTACATATTGACAAGCAAAGGGCTGGCTTCTATGGTAAATAAACTTTTTAGTTTCTTACTCAAGTTGCATACTTAACAACTCCTGTAGAACATACACTGACTGTTGTTTTCTTCTTTACCATGGTTTTGTAGTTAGACAAGTACAAAAACTATGACTTTGGAAGATGCCCAAGAGTTTATTGTTGTGGCCAACCTTGTTTACCAGTCGGGCAATCTGATATCCCTCGAGCAAGTACCGTAAAGATATATTGCCCCAAATGTGAAGACGTTTACTACCCACGATCAAAGTACCAAGGAAGTATCCTTTTTCTAATCTCAGTGGTAACATATATTTGCATGCTTAAAGCAGTTCTATGCGGTTACACACACAGTTGTACTTTGATTCTCATTAGATGTTTCTATATTATACTGTTTTCGTTGCTGCTATCTTTGGTTTTGTCATTCTTTAACACAAAAAACAGACATAGATGGAGCTTACTTTGGGACAACGTTTCCACATCTGTTCTTGATGACGTACGGACATCTGAAGCCACAAAAGGCATCACAAAGCTACACTCCAAGAGTGTTTGGGTTCAAGTTACACAAGCCGTGAAGGAAACAAGGAAGAAGAAATGCACCCTTGGGTTTTGAGAAACAAAAAACGTGTGTAAACAAAACAAACAAACAAAAAAGACCAGTATGAAGGTGAAACTAGTTCTCTCTCTTCTCCTCCCTTTGTTTTTTTTTTTGTATTGTGTCCTTAGGTTTAGATAAAAACATTAGCAGCATGGACTGGTGAAATGAAATCCCATTATTATAATTGTAATACTTTACCTTATTGTTGTTCTTTATGCTTTCTTCTTCCCACTACCCCAATTAGTTTCCCAAATTGCTTGTACCAATGTAAGATTTGTGAGCTCTTGCTTTATTCATGTTTGTCTCTTAGGATTTTGTCATTTTGATGTGAGTTCCATGATCTGACCTACAATTGTTCCATAAAGCCCATTAGGCCCAACGATCCATAAGGCCAACAAAACTTCGGCCTTTATAATCAAACCTGTTGCTTTCTCTGACCAGTGAACAAGAAAAGGTTTCTCTTTTTTTTTTGTTTTTAATAATTTGGTTGTATAGGTGTGTGTTCCTGCGAGCAAATAGCGCTGTAGATTACGTAAGAGTCTCTCTCTCCCTCTCTCTCGAAGAGGGCCTTGTTGTGATTGTTTCCTTCTTCTACAGCTTCTAATCGATTTCGTATCGAATTGAAAGTTTCGACCTTTCGTCGTCCCTCTATTCTTGATTAGCAACCCTAAAACTAAAATCGCTAAGAGAATTTCTCCGTTTGTTATTGGATCTCTTCCAAATTGGGCGCTTTTGGAATAATGCCACCGTTTATGTCTGGCCTGAGAGCTGTATCTTCCTTAATTTCATGTCGAAACGCGATTAGCAGGAACTTGGTTAGTCGTTCGGGGATCCCTCGGGGGAGTTTTGTATCTGATCAAATTAGGAGATTTGGTTCTCTTTCCGGCGTCGAGAGATGTTCTTCTAATGGGTGGTTGATGTCCTATGATGACGCTAGAGTCTCATTCGGGAGATTACCCAGCTCTGTGAGCTTACTTCAGAGACGGCATTTTCTGGGTTGTGGAGATGGGGAAGAAGGAGGTGGTGAGTTATCAAAGATCTACGAAGAGAGACGTGTCTTAGGGTAATTACTTGAAAACTTTGATCCCATTTTGGATCTATCCTCTGTTTCAGATGTTTATCGATTATCTCCTGTATATATGTTTTGTGCTTGCATTAGCTTTTCTCGCCTCTTCCAAAATCATCTGAAATGGCACAACTTTGAGAAATGGTTCACTGATCTATTATGCTGTTTAGTTTAGTGGTCCTCAATTTCTTGTTTTGTAAATCAATCTGTGAAAGAATGGTTCAATGATTGAGGCTTTTAATTGTGCAGGAATATGATTTGCCTTTGTGTTTGTCTTGTTTTGAACCAATCTAGTGATCTTCTGTGAACTAATTCTGCAGAAAGATGATTGCTAAGATGATTATCTGAAGAATTCATTGTATAATATATATAGGTTGGTTTTTTAGACAGATGCTGTGTGAAATTTCAGGGAATCCTGGATCTTTTACGTCCGGCAATATGTTTTTTTTATTTCTGATAACAATGATTTGAAGTTCATATCCTCAAGCAATGAAGATTGAGGTACTCATGTGTGTTTCTTTTACTACAGGTACTCTCCGGAGCAATTGTTTAACGTAGTTGCAGCTGTAGACTTGTACCACGGATTTGTTCCTTGGTGTCAACGCTCCGAGGTTCTTAAAGAATACCCAGATGGCTCATTTGATGCTGAATTGGAGATTGGTTTCAAGTTTCTTGTTGAGAGTTACATTTCCCATGTTGAATCCGAAAGGCCGAAATGGATTAAGGTAAAAGACTTGTTTTTGCTATTCTTTTCAGCTTTCTGTTTGTTGAATTTGAGTGAGTGCTGAATTTTACGACATGATTTGAATCCGTATTTTTCAGACAACAGCGAGGGACACCGGCCTATTTGACCATTTGATAAACCTCTGGCAATTTAAGCCAGGACCCATTCCAGGAACCTGTGACCTTCATTTCCATGTAGATTTCAAATTCAACTCACCTCTCTATCGCCAGGTAAAAACTACTTTGCCAAACCTCTGCACCTAAGTGTCAAATTGTTAGTATTGGTACTCGGGAATTGTTAAGAAATCTACTAGAGAAATATGATTCCTTTCTTCCTCCAAAGATTGAAACTAGGAGATTGTTAAATATTTTTAGTAACTGGAGAAATTTCTCAATAAAGTTATGATTTCTTTGTTCCTTAGAAGTTATTATTCATAGAATGAAAGAAGTCTACACGAATATGATGGTTTCTTTGTTACTCAAAAGGTGAATCTTGGTTAATGTAAAAGCTTGAAAGTAGTTTGAAATTGTGTTTCATTTTGAAGGTGGCTTCGATGTTCTTAAAGGAGGTAGCAACAAGACTTGTGGGGGCATTTAGTGATCGATGCCGACTAGTGTATGGTCCAGGAGTCCAAGTAGATGAAAACGCATATGAGCAAAGAGCTTGAGACATATCTATATATATAATGGAAGTAACAAATCAGTTTAGTTTTCATCTTGTTTGCTAGAGAGCGATTGCGCATAGCATGTTTTGTTTTTCATATATATGAATGCTTTTGCATAAGAAAATGAACACATTAGATGTTTGTTTAATGTAAAAGCATAAAATAAACACATCCATTTCTCTCTTGGAGTCATTTTTTCTTCAATAACCACTTTGTTAATCTAAATATTGGTAATGACTAATGAGTAATGACGACACAAATGCTGAGGTATGTGGTGATGTAATGTAGCTAAATGGAAAAGTCTAAAAGGTCTGGGAGATGAACATTAGTAGGAGGAAATCAAAAGTCTTTAACTCCTCCTGTCCAAATCTAGTCATAACCATTGAACTTAAAGAAGAAAATGTTCCTTTTTAGTCCGGTCAGTTAGAAATGTTTTGGCATTTAACCAAGGATAGACTTGGTTATAAAACTATATTGGTTCAAGTAAAGAGTATTCATATGTTAAATAAATCCTCTCTTTGTAATTAGGTAAATAACTCTCATATGATTTAATGGAGTTTACAGAAACTAGTACAATAAATTCGTTAATGTGTTGTTAGAGTGCGTTTTTTTTATGAACATAACATAGTAATGTGTAAATATGAAGGGTAATGCAAAAATATGGTTTTGCCACTTTGTTTTTTTACTTAAAGGTACATTTGTCTTGATACTTCTCTCTCGGGAACTAAGTAACCTAAAATAAAGATATGAAATCAGAAAGAAAAGATATAAGTTTACCCTAAAAATACGTATAATGCTCTTTTGATTTGTTATGGGATCAATTTCAAGATTGAGGCATTTTGTCGGAAGGTAAAGAAAAGAAGAAAACTAAGGAACGGAAGTGGAGACGCGGTTTTGCCTTTTGCTTCATCATTTTCTATAATGACCAAAAAAATAAAAAGCATCTCTTTTTAGTCAAACTTTCATGGAATTTCTCCCACTTTTTATTCCATTTTAGATGAAAATAAACCAACGAGTGGAAAAGAGAAGAGAAACGAGTCGGTGTATTATGTATATTAGGTTCTCTAAATAATAGAATAATGCATAAGTTACATACAAAATAATAAAAATACTTCAAACATTATAATATGTACCTACCAAATTCGAAGTTACGAGGTCCAAATTTCAAGATGATATCGTCGCGGTTTAACACATTGACTTGCAACAACTATGCAATAACTATGAGGGCCTGACTGGTTTAAACGCAGCGGTTGCGGTTGCGGGAGTTTGCGGAAGCGGGCGATTGCGGCTTCAAGCGTTACCAAGCGTTTTGAACGACTGGTTTAGCGTTTGAAAATGGATGCGTTTGCGGGAGTTTTATGACTGGTAAACCAGCGGGTACGGTAGCAGTTAAATAAAAAAATGACCAAAATAAATAAGAAATATTAATAAACAAGAAAGTACAAATTCCATAAGAATATCAAGTCAACAAAACCAAAGCTAATCATCCAAAAAATCATTACGAGACTCCTTGGTTTGTCGCTTCAGAAAAGGTAGCTTCTCATCATCTAGGAGAGCAAAAAATAAATCGCGTACAACATCATTTGTAGCAATAAGGTCAAGAGATGCCCAATAAAGCTCCGTCATTGGAACTAGATCAGGTACTGCCCTCACATATTTGACAACAAGAGCCATTCGTTCTTCAGTGTTATCAATTCTAACAAGAAACGAGTCATTTCATCTGACCAAATGAGTTTTTATTTGAGAAAAAAAATCAAAACATATATTCAATCAAAAAGCAAAACAATACATAACGAAAAGAAAAAAACGATGTCATCAAAAATATTCAAAGATTTACACATGAGGTGATGAATGAATAAAAGGATATATGATATTTACGTTTGTTTCTTGATTTTCAGCAGTTTGGGTGGAAGACATAATTGAGAGAAAAGATATATATATATATATAATTAATATATATTATAATAATTATAAGTAAACGTTTTTTTTTTTTTTTTTTTTTTTTTTTTTTTTTTTTTTTTTTAAATCCAACCGCTACCGCCCGCAACCGCAAACGCTTGCGGGAAGGAGATTTTGAAATCCAGCGATTTGGAGCGGTTGGAAGCGGTATGGAGCGGTTTCTATGATTGGTACCAACCGCTAACAACCGCAACCGACCGCTAGCAACCGCTAGGAGGGTGCTAGCGGGAGAACCAATCAAGCCCTGAGTCTATGACCCGATCCAATAAGTACATAAGACGACTAGAGTATTGACTTGACTAAATCACACGCTTCTATTTAGTTTCATTAGCGTCCTATTGCCATATCCACTTTTCCAAAATTCCAATATTTGAATTGGAATTACATAGTTGCAATTCCCATTCCCTAAAATCAATTGTTTTTTTTTTTTGTGCAAAAAAATCAATTGTTCTACATACGAAAACAAAGAAACTAACAAACCATTTTTTATATATGTAAACGCAAAATGACTCACTTATGGCATGGTTATTCAAAAAAAAGGAATGAATAAATACAAAGAAATAAACTATGGGTTTGGTTTGGTCTTTGTCTCAGTTAAGTCAACTATGAAATAACTCTGGTCCTCTGTTTACTGTTGTTGTCTATTTACTTTTCGACGTCTGTTTCCATTTCTCTTTCATTTTCTTCTTCTCGATCAAAACTCTTTTATAAGCAAAATCTACTTGTGTATCGTGTATCCATATATAGAAGATTTTCTGTCTTTTACTTACCTCTCTCTTTTGTGTTCATACCAATCTAATCTTCCACTGATTTTGACTCAACCCATTTTAGGGTTTCTTCATACAATCTACTCTCTTACCAAGAAAACAAACCTTCCTTTTTCTGCAAACAAAATAAAAAGTCTCACTCTTTCATTCATAGCACCTGACTTTTCTTAATTTCACCTTAGAAATTCTTGTTCCTGTTTTGTGTATAAGAGAAGTTTTAGTTTTACACAAATAGATACACCCAAATCCTCCAACTAACCAAAGAGCAAAGCAAAAAAAAAACAGAGGAGAGAACATGAATTGTATGTTCTTGTTCAAGTCCAAGAAACCAAACTCCAGAAGAAATCTGGAGAAAGATAACAAAAATATAAGAGGAAGAGAGTTTTTACAAAAGTCAGCTCCAGAATTAACGACAAGAAGAACATCTTTGTCGTTCAATCTCCCAACACCAAGATCTCTGCCATCTCCAACGAGTATCAAAGACTTGTACACTGAGAGAGAGCAAAATCAAAATCAAAACCTAAGGGTTTTCTCTTACAAGGAACTGAGTGACGCCACGTGTGAGTTTAGCAGAAAGCTGAAGATCGGAGAAGGTGGTTTTGGTAGTGTCTATAAAGCCACCATTGACAACCCCACCGGAGGAGATTCTCATTCTCCACCACTTAACGTCGCCGTTAAGAAACTCAATCGACAAAGTCTACAGGTGTGCAAAATTTCATGGATTTTTGTGATAGAATTGCAAATAGATTATAACTTTAACCAAGAACAAGTTTTACTCCAGCAAGTTTGAGACAATGATGTGAAATTTTCTGATTCTTTTTTTATCGAATTGGCGAAATGATTCAAACTTGAACCAAGGAACTACAAGTTTTCATAGATTTGTTTGTTTGTTAAATGATGTAGATAAATGTTTGATCTTGAATATTGTTATGTGATCCTCTGTTTTGTAATGAAAAGGGTCACAAGCAATGGCTAGCAGAGGTTCATTTGTTGGGCGTGGTGAATCACCCAAACGTAGTAAGGCTCTTAGGGTATTGCTCAGAGGACAGAGAGAGACTTTTGGTTTACGAGTTGATGTCTAATCGTAGCTTGGAGGATCATCTCTTCACTCGAAAAACCTTAACGTTGTCGTGGAAACAAAGGCTTGAGATCATGCTTGGTGCAGCTCAAGGATTGGCTTATTTGCACGAAATCCAGGTGATTTTTGAAACCTAAACCCATCAACAACAACAACAAAACTTTTGATTGTTTAATACGTAATTAGGCCCTAAACAAACTTTCTATATAAACTGTTCGCGGATCTCTTTCTATACCGTATTAAACAAGGTGGAACTAAAGCAAAACCAAATTAGCACTAACTAGAGTCATGTCCCTTTTTTGGGCAGGTAATATACAGAGACTTTAAATCATCAAATGTGCTTTTAAACGAAGAATTTCATCCAAAATTATCGGATTTTGGTCTCGCTAGAGAAGGTCCGGAAGGAGACAATACTCACGTTACAACCGCAGTAAGTCACATTTCTCCTTCCTTCATTAGAAATTTGAAGTTTGATTAGTTTCTTCATCCGCAAGTAACAGCTTTTACTTCTTCTTCCTTGATTCTCTTAAAAAGAGAATTGGAACGGACGGCTATGCAGCACCCGAGTATGTAATAACGGGTCATCTCAAGACACAATGTGATGTCTATAGCTTTGGAGTTGTTTTGTACGAGATCATCACTGGTCGTCGCACATTGGAACGAATGAAACCTTTGGCTGAACAAAAGCTTCTAGAATGGGTCAAAGAATATCCTGTCGATAGCAAAAGATTCAGAAAGATCGTTGACCCGAAGCTATGCAATAAGTATCAACTTCCGATGGTCAGGAGAGTGGCTAAATTGGCTGATCATTGTGTGAACAAGATCGATAAAGAGAGACCCACCATGGCCTTTGTCGTCGAAAGTCTTACGAAGATCGTTGAGGAAGTAACTTCTGAAGATATGGGAACTTCTGTTGGCAAATCAACGAGTTAGAGGATTATATTTTCAAGAGTAGAGAATTTATGTAGTGAAAAGAAGCCCAAGTAATAATATTAAGCCCATTAACTAGAAAGTCTCATTATTTTTGTCAAATATTTAGGGGGTGTTATTCGTTAGTGAAGTTACAGTCAACTCCATTAGAGTTAAAGTTTATCAGATTTCAAATGTTTTGGGTTCATTGAAAGTGAACCATTATTCATTTTGTCAAATACATGGAAGTGTATTTTCAATGATACGTGATCTCATTTGGTTTTCTATAACAGAACTGAATTCAATAACAAATGATTTTTATAATCTAACCGAAGTCCAAAAAAACTTTTGACCATTTTTTTCTTTTCTTATTTCAAGTTTTTCTAATGTTTTGAAGTTTTAACAAAAAAAATATGCTAAAGAATTTATTCATAAAACTTTGGTGATTTCAAATTAAAACTTTAAAAATAAATAAAATAAAAATAAACTTCAAAAAATGCAACGTGAAAACAACTTTAAAAAAATAAAAATAAAAACTATAAAAACACACATAAAAACTATTGAAAGAGTACCTTGGGGAACACTTTGTCGAGAAGAAGGAGAGAAGACGTGAAAGGAAAAAAAAGAATTTTTGGTTATTCTCATAAATGAGATTTTATAATTATAAAAATATGATAGTGAAAATCTTGAGTAGAAGGTAGGATTTTGATTGCTATAATTTACACATGAAATCAGTTTCAGATTCCTTCATATCTTTTCAAATCAAAACATTTGTGAAAATCTGTCAAACAACCAATAACATGAAACTTTAATTGATCATTGTAAATATGATAACCAATAACACTAGATTTCAAACTCTTTTAATATAGATATTAGAAATATGAGAACCAATAACACTTGATTTTAAACTCTTTTAATATAGACATTAGAAATCTGAGAACCAATAACACTTGATTTGAAATCTGTATTTACAATCTGAGAACCAATAACATTAGATTTGAGTTAGAGTTAAACTCTATTAATATCCACTAACGAATAACACCCCCTTAGGGAATTGGCTAAACATATATATTACGAGTCTTAAAAAGAATTTGTGATTAGGAGATGAATCTTAAATTCTTAATACAAAAGTTGACAAACCTGTAAGTGTAACTGTAATGTTTTGAAAAAGAGTTTATGGAGAAAGAAAATTGTACTACTCTTTAAATGGAAAAATAAGATAAAAAAGTTGTACTGCAGAAATGATATCACAGAACATGCGCAGAAAAAGATTACTTTTGATATCCCATTATATTATTCTTATGAGTCATGACATCAAACCTACTCCAATAAGAAGAATTGATACCATTACTTACACCAAATTTATTTCGAATCATAAATTTTAACCACATTTATATTTAAATAATGAAAATTTCTAAATAATAGGTGTATTATTTATTATCATTATATATATTAATTTGTACTTTTTCATTACAATTCCATCATTCCAAAATAAGAGAACATTCAGGCTGATGATCTTCATATTACATATTTTCTTTACCATTAAAAAAAACAAAGATTTACCAAATTCACACAGGCGTTTTGGCCATAGTTTTCTTGTACCCAAAATTGCATATATTTTTTTTTCAACAAACAAAAAAAATAATAATAAAACAAGAAAATAAAACAAAGAAAGCACCAACCCTTTGAAAAAAGAGAGGTTTCTTCGCTTTTTTTTTCTTTCTTTTTCCTAACCCTTTTTTTTTTTGCTTAGTATTCAAATTCAAACTAAAGATCTTTCTTTAGATGAAAAAAAAACCCATAAAACCATTAACCAGCAGCTTTCACAACAACGAGCGTTAATGGATTCTCTATCTCCTTTTTTTTTTTTTTTTTTCTTCAACTTTAAATTAGGCAGCAGCAACAGTTCCAGTGTGGAAAGCATAATCACGAGATCTAGTTGGAGAAGAAGAAGAGCTTCGCTTTTCATTTCTTCTCATAGCTTTCACAGATGAAGACAGACTCTGTTTCTTCTCTTTTGCTTCGTCTCTCTCTATCTGTTCTTCTCTACACTCTTCACTACAGAACGGTGTGTCTCCTCTGTGAAATCAAACAACTTAAATCAGACACAATTTATAGATCTTTAAAAGAACCTTCATCTACAAGGCAAATCAGAATTAGGGTTTCTTCTTTTATTGACTTAAAGATCAAAACTTTATCAAGCAAATCTAAACCTAATCGTTAAAGTAATCAAATTTCTTAGCATATATAGCAAAATAGAATCTGGGTTTGTTTCAAAAAGGAAATAAGATCTGGAACAAAGTAAGTACCTGTACATGAAGATGTCTCTGTTATCACCAAGACGTTTCTTGCAGAGGAAACAAGAGTCCAAGAAATGAGGAAGTGGCTGTCCGTAATAGCTATTGTCGAATCTAAAATCATGGAATTTTCCAGATCTGGGAGATGACACAGAGTACTGATGATGATGGTAATAATAACTCTGAGGATAGTTGTAACAAGGACTTGAAACTCCAGCTTCCATCTCAGATAGAGAAACCAATCCATCGTCTTCTTCTTCTATGAAATAAGGCTTTGTCGTTGAAACATCCATTTTCTGAATCTTGTCTTGTGTTCTTGTTCTTATGAGGAGAAAGAGAGAGAGAGAGAGAGAAAAAAAAAAGTTTGGTGTGGAGGAGATTTGAGAGAAAATGGAGTTTGGTTTTTATAGGAATAAAAGGACAGGTTTGATTCTGGTTAAGAGAGAGAAAGCAAGGAAGAAGCAGCAAGTTTGAGGAAAAAACTCAAGAGAGAATCTATTGGCTTCTTGTTTTTGCAATACCGCTTTTTTCCTTTATTGATATTTCTTTAATATTTTTAACTACCTAACCATTACATTATGGTGAATAATTGAGGCACTAACATAATTATTGTTTTTAGTCTTCCTAAAGCTTATAAGCATTTCCTTATGAACCAAATCAAATAGCTAAATTGTGGAATAGTGGAAGACTATTTTATTTAGACACATAATTCAAATTTTAATCCAAGCAAGTTATCAAAATTAAACCAGGCCAAAAAAAAAAAGAGACAATAACAAGAAAGAAACTTAATTTTCATAAGAAAGTTCCAGTTAAAATTACTTTGTCATTGACCACATCAATTATGTTTACTCGAAGATATTTAGCTACAAATTTTTATGATCTTCAATACCACTATGATTTGTTTTCTAATCAATACTACTGGTAGTATTAATAACATTATTAACCTAGACGGTATTATTATAACTATATAAAATTGCAATTAAATTCTTTGGAGAAATAGCAACATTGTTGTTGAAGCTAAGAAGAAGGGGTATAAACGTAATATTAATAACCACTGAAAAGAAAATCTTCGAAACGGTTCTATAAAACATGGGTCCCACCCGCACTTGGACGTTAAGAAAGTCATTGGATCGTGGGGTCCACGCGCGAGTGGGATTGCGCGTTACGTAATATCTAACACAGACCACTTGTGTCTTCTCTTTATTGGCAAGGACACCCACTTTAAATTATTAATAGAACATATACGACGTCGTTTTCTCCCTTTTTCTAGTTTCTTTTTTTTTTTTTTTAATTTCTTGTGATGAATGACGTTTTTGCAAAGACTTTGGAAAAAAGCTTTGTGACGACTCCGCACTCAACATTTTCATATGATTCAAAAAATTAAAATTACTTTTAGGCTTTTTAGCTTACCAATCAAAAGCTTAAATTTGATTTTAACATGTAAATTCGCCACTATTTCCACGGAAAATTGAAAAACGATGATAACAGATGTTTTCGGAAGAATATATATTGTTTCAAAAACAATGTTTTGCAATTTCCATGCAAATGTCTCATAACATTTCGTAATTTACTCCTATTAGACTACTATTAATTAGAGTTATAACAAACGAAAAAATAGGTATACAACTAGATGTCATCAAAATTCTCTAATACTATGTGTAAAAAATGTAAAACATCTGACATCATGGAAATTGATGGAGTGATCTATGTTATGTGAGAACAGGGTTTGGTTTGAATAATACTCCATGATTAATTAAACAATAGTAACAACAACTATAAAACATTAAATGTTGTTGGACTTCCTTGGAAACAATAACTAACGAAAGAGCCTCCTTGAAGTGTGAAACACGCGCCTAAAGGATGCGTGTAAGCAATAATTAAAACAAGTAAACGTCGTATACTTGCGCAAGGCTCGGAAGTTCCCAAAGTCTTGCCCCACCTGTCCCTTTAAAGTCTTCTTCTAGTATTTTTTTTTAATATGAATTTCGAATAAATTTCTCTCCATACTCTAATATGAATTTCATAGTTTTATAGTAAGATTTATGGTTCGGTATTTGATAAATTAGCCTTCAATGCTATATAATATGAGTATGATTTATTAAGCGCCTGCAACAATTATATTACTTGTGTGTATGTGTCCAGTGAATTATTATTATACAATTCTGATGCTGAATATTTTTTCTGGTCACGAAGTTTTTCATTTTCAATAATATGTCTAAATATCTGTGGAACCACGTCACTCTCCGTCATTTTATATTGTTATAAATATTTTATTCTCTTTATTTTTCCAGATTCTGCTTCTCCTTTTTTCCTGTCTTTTCTCTGTATTTTTAAATGAAATTATATACTTATGTCATTATTTCTCAACTGCATAAATCCTGTGGCCCCATATTTCCTAGCCCATAGGATCGGAGGGTCCCAATTCACTTTTCTTAAGCTGCTTATTTACTTGCCCTTGCCATTGCCTCTATTGGACCGTTGTTTACGTTCTTATTCTTGAAAAACACATATCATCATTGGGGATGACCTATGATCAATCGTCGATAATTTGCAAAAGGTGGCATCGATAATTAGTGAAATATACAAGGAATGTGTGATTGTGAACAAACAGCGGTGATTTTTGTTTACCATTATTTGAGTTTTTTTTATTTTTTGGTTTAGTATGTGAATGTGTTGCCATAGCAAAAAAAACAAATGTTGAATTTATAAGGTTGATTTATTAATGAGTATTAAAGGGGATTAGACAATGTATTACATTTGTTGGTTCACTATATATTCGTATAAAATATTGTAGTGGTTGAACGACTACAGTATTAAGAAAATAAACATAAACAAGAAGAGTAATTTGTTGCTTATGAATCTTAACAAAACTTTTTTTTGGGTGCTTATTTTCAATGGGGTGCCTTGTTGAGTTTATTTCTTTTTGTCAATCTTCGATTGAGTCTTTTATAATAGTTAACTTCAGATAACCTAAAATCTTTAAGGTAATTTCAAATAAACTTTTTCTGAATTTTTCTTAATACCTCTATTATTTTTGCTGTATTGAGCGGAACAGTATATAATTAGGTCATAAGTTATTGATCTAACAAAAAGTTTTTAAAATAATGCTTTTTCTGAAAGAAAAAAAAAACTTCTAGTCAGTTCAAGATATTTGTTTAGATTTCCGATTTAAATTACAAAGTTATTCGAATAAAATTTATTTCGATGGATGAATAATGTATTCACTATCTATAGATTCACACGAAGGACACGTGTGTCCCAGTACTTGGCATACCCTGACACGTACGCCTTAAAAGAGCAGTACTTGACTACTTACCAGGTCAATCAAATGCCGTCCTTCGTTTCCAAGATGGACGGTTCACAATGTTTTGGTATACAAATCATCGTTTCTGCATCGTACGATTCATAATTGATTATTCTGGGGTCCATTTGCCGAATCTCCTCAGTCAAGTCTCCCCCTAAATTTACTCTACTTTATTTTTAAGTTCTTGTCAACATCGAAGAGAAGATTATTTTATTTATATGTTACATTTATTTTTATATAATCTAGTGTATTTTAATTAAATACAATTCAGTCCAGTTTTGAATTTTTCAACAAAATTATAAGCCGGCGGTCTAATAATAGTATTACACCAGGTTTAATTAAAAATTATTTACGAAAGTATTCAACACAAGACATAAATATAGTATCACTGTATAACAAGTCACGTCTAGTTTAAAATATTTATGAATCAATCTCTTAATCTACTAAGAAATGATCAAATTCCAACTTGGTACTATTTATAAACAACTTCATATTAAGAGTGAAAATTCTAAAAAATATTTCTATAATCGGTTACTATTTAAATTTGTTAGTGATAGTTGTATCATGGTTTTATATTCGACGGTCAGTATTATACGATATTAGAAAACAATTCATAACCATTCCAATCGAGTAATTTTTGTGTATCCGTACGATAATTTGCAGACAGTTCGTGAAACAATAATTATGATTAAATACTGTACTATATAATCATCGAGTTTGTCACATGGGATGAGTTCAAAAGGGGAACAACATTTGTGGAGCACCAGGCCACTAATTATTTATATAGATATATAAAACATTGGAAAAAAAAATAAAAGTCCATACAATTAGCAACTTGATTATAATATTAATTACTTTTAAGTGTAGTTTAATAACCCCGAGAACAGGCTTGTTCTTCAAGTTTGATGGAGTTTCTCGGATCATTGTTTACAATAAGAGATCTAGAAGCTGCCACAAGGCAACAAGTATGTCTCCTATGTCGAAACACATTGGTTCTCGTATTAGATTCTCTCCCACTTACTTTGATAAAACAATTAGATTAATTCACATTAAAGCAAATTCCACTAATTACTCATTACTTTATACTTTTCTTTTCTTAATCCCACACCTAATATTCAATTCTTAATTATTTTCGTACTAATAATTGTGTATCAGTAGGAGCCAGGAGGGCAGCCTAAGATTCTTAATTTGTCGTTTATGAATCATATTCTTATAAATTAGCTTATACTTAATTCTGTCGTCTATTCTTTGTGTTCATTATCCTGAATGATAACACGCTTGAACCACCATATTTTTACACTCCACTTGTAGAGTATGAATATTCCTTTTTATGGGCCTGGGCTTGAAAACAGACGGCCTTTCATCAATCCCAAGCAATCCAATCATTTTTTATTTTGTTTAAAGCAATCCAATCATAGTTTAGGTTGAGCCATTTGATAGTATTCATTTTGGGCCACTGAACTTTGTCACTTGTCTATGTCAACTTTATTAGACCATCTCCATTCATAAGACACTGTGTGGGTGTCTCAAAAATATTATTTTAATTATTTTATAATAAATAAATTATTTATTTAAATTATAAATTATAAAAAGAGAATTTGACCAATAATATAAGGACAAGTGGAGACACAGTTTCTCAAAATTTCTCAAACCAGAAACTGTGTCTACCCTCTCTCCTACTTTTTTATTATTTTTAATTTTTTTAATTTTGAGACATTCCTCGAGACACTACTGTTGGAGATGCTCTTACCTTTCCCACCACACACACCCACACACGTCCTAAACAATCGTTTTGCAAGACCATTTTGATATTGACGATAGTGTCCGGATAAACCCAACTAATCCGGAGATGACTAAGCCGTTTCGCTATACATACCGGCAATGTTAAATATGCCGAGACAAGAAGTCACCCATTCGTACCTTGGTTGTTCGCAAGAGATATCAACCCTAAATACTCAAATTGATCTTTAAAACTATAGCAGTAACAAACAAAAAATTCCTTTTTTACAATAAATTACTTATTGATGTTAGAGCCTGCATTACAAGTCCAAATAGCGTCTTTCAACTAATTTGAGAGGTGAAACCGTCATGCTATTATGAAAATCAATGTAAGTAACTTTGAGAGTTGTCTCAAAACAACTTTCCTTCTTCATCTTTATCAAAATATCAATCTTGAATCATTTTGCTATTGGTGACAACCTAAAGATTCTTCCTTTCTTTATTCTTGCACCTAATAAAGCTCCAATGAGCTATCTTATTTCAATCTTAGATTTCTATGTTAATAAGCTCACTTGAGCATAAACCATTCTTGGTTTGGTTTTTCCCACAATTGATATGTCATATAAATGGATGTTCCACATGATTCAGAAAATTTAATATACTCTGTTTGGAAACATTGCATGGAAAAGGTTTAATTCGTTTTCTAAAGATATGTTAAATATAATTAGAGTTTTCAAGTGATATTTTCTTAAAATAATATCACAACTTCAAAGTGATAGTAGTGTGTTGTTGTCATTAAACCATGACGGTCGAAGGATCTACCAAATTAGTTGAGAGAAAAAGGTGAAATATTTCCCTGTGATTTCATTCATAACTAACCATTGTAAACGTTATAGATGATATAAGTTCTTTGCATGCATCGAATAGTAGTATGGTTTTGAAATGAGAATTTCTATTTAAAATAATCATCATCACATAGCATAATAGCTATTTGTCAATTACACTGAATCCTGCACTGATTACCAATCAGAGTGAATGTGTTCATACAAGTAATCCATTTCTCTTTGTTTTGGTATGTCTACACATATAATTGAAAAAGTAGATGAATAATTAAGTAGATGGCTCCAAATGCTGCATCATATCGTTTATTGAGGGACAAAGGAGTCACATGAATAGTTGGTTCGCATTATTGTCACGTGGAAATGACAAGTCTATTGACGCAACTCATTACGAAATGTGTCTCACCAAACTAGATTTGAATTGAAGGGGAAAGAAAAATATTTAGATCTATCATCTATTTAACCACATGGTGGTGGGAGAGTGGTTCTCGTTTGGTTGGAAGGATCGCCCTGTTGGTCTAGGCCAGGGATCGATCCTCCCCAGACGCAGTTTCGCTCTCTCACTCCTGTGGCCACCTGGGAATTTACCTGCGGACTTGCTCAGGCGCCCCAGACCACCAGTTTATCAAGGGGCCCTTAAGTGGAGGCTTAAAAATCCCTGTGACGTGGGCTTAGGCCCAGTGGGCTAGTCAGATCACTGTGTGGTCTGGATACTGGGTTATCAAAAAAATCTATCATCTATTTTAAAATGATGGTAATGGTAAATTGGTAATGGAAGTGTAAACTCTATAATTTTGAACGCCTAAAGCAGAGATTATAATAATTATGGACTGTCCCTGAGTGACTTTCCATCACTTTCTGCCGCGAGGCATCATGGTTTTATTATACTAAAAAATTTTAAACCTAATTAAAGTAGCATATTTCAAAACTCCAATTCTCAATCAGTGGAATATATCATTCTATATAATGATCTATGGTAATAGTTGGGATACAGCATGAGCCATATTCAGGATTGTTATTGGTAATGCCACTACGTGATGTCGCTAGCCACGAGTTTCTTACAATTTGATAGAGGTCCCGATCAAGAGCTTAATAAAACACAAGTTTATTTCTGCAAATTTTCTTTTCATAAACTTATTTTACAAACGTAAACAACTTAACTAAATAAAAACAAACAATAATTAATTATCCACAATTTAGCCCCTAACCCAACAAAGCTAGCAAGAAACAACACACGTTGAGGCATACATTATCTTTGAACCCATCACAATTCTAATGCTTAATTTTCTATACAAAATTTTTATTCTCGTGCATATCTTCATAATCGTGAATATTAGATTTTCTAAAGTAAATGATTTCAAGTTTAGACAATTTCTTCTAAATATTTTCCAAAAAAACAAAGAATTTCCAGAAAGAAAGAAAGTAAACGAAGATGTCAAAACGAAAAAATGCCACTACATGTGGCTATGTCCTATGTACATCATCAACTATATATATATATATATTTCAAATCTCATTTTCAATTTATTTTTGCTTATAGAAAACGTCCTTTTTCTGTACTGTTGTCTTGTTTGTTGCTAGATCTGGATGGACCCATGGGCCTATAACTGGCCTAGCATTAAATACTCATCATCATCAATATAAAATTTCGACACCGGGATTTGTCACGGCGAGGCAAATCGGACAAGCTCGCAATGTTCCGCCGTCGCATCCTTCACATAGAGCCAGATGCCGACATGGCAATGCCATCACCGTCGCAGATTTTCGCCGGCAAATCCTACAACTAGGTCCAATCAATTCGATCCGCTCCGGATCCACGTACACCGATTCGGCGTCCTCTGCTTCCTCCGCGTCGCCGTCGTCGTCTCCGAACGTGCTCTGTTTCGCCGCCGTATCTCTGCGGCTCGCTATTGCTTGTTGGAGATGAGCCTGTAACGAGGAAACCTCGGCTTCCCGCGTCGCCGCTCTTAACTGCCAGTTTCGCGCCTCTTCCGCGAGGTGAGCTACACGCGCCTCTAGCTCAGCGTGAAGACGCGTGGCTTTCTCCAACTCCGCGTCTCTTTCTCTCACTTTCCGTCCGACTATCTCCTCCGCGGCGCACAATAGCTTTACGTAGCGCCTCTCTCTGTTCTCCACTAACGTACGCCGCAGTTCCTCACCCTACAAAATCAAATTATCAACACAGAAAAAAAAAAAAAAAACCTCTTTGCCGTTTTTAGATAGAGTTTAATAAGACACCTGAGTTTGAATGAATATATCTAATTCATCTCTTTGCCGTTTAATATTTCCGGTAACATCTCCGGGAAGAGAAGAATAAAACTGTTCTTGATTCTGTGACTGGTCATGAGATAATCGAAGACCAGTAGAAACCACATTAGGCGTTTTCTGCATCAACTCGGTTAAGTCAATAACTTGCGACGGTTTTGGAGGTGGAGGGTTCATCAGAGCCGTCGTCGTCACCGATGAATAAACTTTTCTTGATCGTTTTCTTGAATCAATCCCTGTTTCATAAACGGTTAATATCTACGGTGATGATTGAATGGAATTGAAGGAACAAATTTGGAAACGATTTGGGGGATTAAGAAACGAGACCAGCTTTAATGAAATTAGTGAAATGAGTGTGTTGAGGCTGCAACGAACAATCATTCGCTTCTTGTCCGTTACTGTTCGATAAATTTTTCATAAGAAATAGAAACAACACATACATAAAAACAGACATTATATATGAAACACTTTTACCTGTTGATGAAGAAGAAACGAGAAGGATGCTGAGCTTGAACCGCCATCAAACTATCAGAGAAGAGACCTATGTGTTCACCATCCGATAATAAGGGCATGCATGTGTGTGTGAGGTGACGATGATGAAAAATATGTTGATTTTAACTTTTTTAAGTATAAATTAAGTATTGAAAAAGAAAAGGAGAAAGAATGGGAGAAATAAATGGGAAAGATGAGGTTTTAGAGGGGAAGGGACGAAAGGGTACAGAGACTTGTGGGTCTTTTTAAAGCTTTCAACATTATATGCATGATTCTCATCAATGTTACCAAAATTTTTTTTGCATCTTCTTGTATTGTTTTTAAGTAGTAATCTTTCAATCATTTTTCAGTTGCAATATATATAGTTTGTTAATTTAGACTGAATCAAAATAAAAATATGTGTTCAACCGATGTATGTAACAACACCCTTCCCAAAGACCCTTCCAACCTAACTAAACCAACCATCCTTCAACCAAAGTAATCCAGTATATATATAGGTTTTGGCCAAAACCTAGATTAATGGGATACATGACGTATATAGTGAGCCAATTTTCTTTTTCATTTAAAATGTTTATAATAACTAAATAAAAAGCTAACAATAGCGGTAGCGGTCCATAGTTTCATCGCAAACCAAAGAAAAAAAAACAATAGTGGTCCAAAGTTGGTGGTATTCATATCTTGATTCGATCTATACTCTATAATCCTTCACCATTCTAAATCAACCACTGGCCCAAAAATTTGATATTCTAAAAAGAAAACGGAAGAATCAATCGAAAAGTATGTAGATTCATGTCGATGGCTAGATGCATATAAAGCATTGGACGTCATATATTCTTCAAATAAGGGTATCAAATTAGATTATCCCTTTGTGCACTTCACGTTTCCTCATTAATATTATGCTTCAAAGTTGCATATTATATATATATATGCTGTTGAGTCTTTTTCAAAACGATAGAGACATTTTAGACATACATATTCTAGCAGACAAAAGAAAATCAAGCTTATCAATTGTTCGGAGGAATATGTAGCATAATATATATACGCATGGTTAATACTTTTATACACAATAACATGTTAGCGAGAATTGATATGTAACAACAAATAAGTTGGTCATTTAGTTTTCTAGCATATGTTGGTCAGAAAGAATGGTAGGAATTTATATACTAATAAATGTAAACAATATGACATTAAATCTAGATATGTGGTGGCAAGGTAAGCAAAAAAAAAATTGATATAAGAGGGATGGCATGTCAATTGTCAAGCAGTTACATGATTTTATTGGTCAGAACTCAAAAGTCAACATTTTTCTTACTTAATTTGTTTTGTTTATATTCCAAATCAAGAGCAACATTAGATTATATGAAAGTTTACTTGTATGTTTAGCCTATCGATTTATAACATCTCATATCTCTGACCATCAATAATGTTTTCTTGTTAATGCTGGTTAAACTAATCACCATTCCAATTTCTTTCGAAAACATGAGTAGTACATATACAAAACAAATCAATTGTGCTTTTGGGTCATTTTTCTCATGGGCCATGTTACCAAACCAGATCAATAATCAACTAATCATCCCTCATAGCCCACAGCTTTCATCTTCGTCGTCATCATTATCATCGTCATAACCACCACCACCACTACTACCTCCATGAAAATCGCAAAAAGTCAGCGTTTAATCAGCGGAGGAAAATGGCGATGCATCAATGATACTTTATCATTCGTGTGGAGTTTGTAATTGATAGCGGGAGTATATCACACGACCCATTGAGCCAAACATCCCAAGGTTTTTACATATATCAAACGCTTTCCCACTTCACATTCACACTTCCCCAATTAGCATTCCATGTTTGTGGTTTAATTAACCTAGAAGCCAGTCGATTTTATAATGAATTAGTGTTAGAAAACGTTTCTAATGAAAAATGAAGTAAAAACAAACTAAATATAGACCAATCACAGAAATAAAAAGAATATGACAAAAGCCAAACTCCAACCACACGTACATGCTTCTATTTTTCACCGATAACAATTCAATAAAGAAGTCTACCTCGTAGACATCTCTCTATATTTCAATTCCATTTCCATATTTTAAAAACAATAACTCTTTTGTAAATCAATATAAGTCTCGTGAAATACACGATGTCTTTGTATATTTGCGTTCTCTTCCTAGTCCTAGTCTTTGTCCCGTCTATAAATTCGGCACCCTCGCCAAATTTAACGAAAGATTATTACCAAAAAACATGTCCCGATTTCGGTAAAATCGTACGTGAAACCGTTACACCAAAGCAAGGCCAGCAGCCGACGACAGCTGCTGGAACACTCCGTCTCTTTTTCCATGATTGTTTCATGGAAGGATGTGATGCTTCCGTCCTAATCGCTACAAATTCTTTCAACAAAGCGGAACGCGACGATGACCTCAATGAGTCACTTCCGGGAGATGCATTCGACATTGTGACTCGCATCAAAACCGCTCTTGAATTGTCTTGTCCCGGCGTGGTGTCTTGCGCAGACATCCTGGCTCAAGCCACTCGTGACCTTGTCACAATGGTTGGTGGGCCTTTCTATGAAGTCAAACTGGGCCGTAAAGATGGGTTTGAGTCGAAAGCTCATAAAGTCAAAGGAAATTTACCTTTAGCGAACCAATCCGTCCCTGACATGTTATCGATATTCAAGAAGAATGGTTTCACTCTGAAGGAGCTGGTTGCTTTAAGTGGCGGGCACACAATCGGATTCTCACACTGCAAAGAATTCAGCAACCGGATATTCCCGAAGGTTGATCCAGAACTCAACCCGAAATTCGCAGGCGTTCTTAAAGATCTATGCAAGAATTTCGAGACCAATAAGACGATGGCAGCGTTTCTCGATCCGGTGACACCAGGAAAATTCGATAATATGTATTTCAAGAACTTGAAACGAGGTCTTGGACTGTTAGCTTCCGACCATATCTTGTTTAAAGACAGTAGCACGAGACCGTTTGTGGAATTATATGCGAATAATCAGACGGCTTTCTTCGAAGATTTTGCACGTGCCATGGAGAAACTAGGCACGGTTGGTGTTAAAGGCGAAAAAGATGGAGAGGTAAGACGTAGATGTGATCACTTCAACAACCTTAACGTATAGGTAGCATAAACAGAATAACATTATTGAGTTCGTTTTTTTTTTGAATCTTTGTATATTTTTATTTTGAATAAATGTATTTATAATAAGTAAGTTGATGTGACAATTTTGAGAGGCTAAAACTAAAATTTACCATTAATCTTTGTTATATAAGAATTAAGAAGTATTAGATGTTATTTTATAGGAGAATACAAAATTCAAGTTCTTGATTTATCTCCCCATCATCTTCTTCTATAAAATGATCTCATGGACACGAGACCGTCCGAGAAAACAAGTGTTGTTGGCGACGAATATAGTCCGAATAAAATTATTTCACGGTTCAACATAAGGCCTTTCACCAGTAATTATTTTTCTTCATTTGGCGTAAGATTGTGATATTTGCGTTATAGAAATAGCCTGACTTATTTGCAATTCAAATTTTCTTTTTGGTATACATCTAAGTATTTTTTATTTGACTAAGAATATGCTTCATGCATCTAAAGCTCTTGTTATGTTTATATTACCAATATATAAAAATCAATATATGATTAGTTTCTTAGCATTTGGAATTGTGGCTAGATTGTAGTATTTCGTTTTATTCTCTTTTTTTGTCTTTACTCAACAATATGAATATTATTGGAAAGAAAAAAATAGTGTGAAAAAAAAAAAAAATAGTGTGAAAGTCTTTGTCCGGTCAACGTCACATGGGTCAGACACGTGTCAGACAACCATGTGTTCAGTAATAAAGCAGTCCGATTTAGACACGTGGATAAGTCATAGCTTTGCATTGCTGTAATGATGACCAAATAATTTTATTCCCATTCAAGACAAGAACAAGTCTGCATATTAAGCATCTCAATTTTTTTTTTTTAAGCATCTCAAATTGATGACCCAACAATAAAAAAAAACATCTCAATTTTACAGAGCAAAAGAAAATAAATAGACGAAGAAAAATAAATGTCATTTCATATATTTTTCCTTACGCATAAACTTTAAAGTTTGAGATTTATATATTTTTAACATATAATATATTTTAGTATATATAAGAAAATTAGGGAGAGAGGTTTGGTGTAGCTAAAGTGAAATCCAAATTGGGAGTTTCAGTCTCTGGTCTTGTCCCTGTGAGGCTTGACGAATCCGATGACAATCGTTCGTTGCTTGGACATCTTTGATTCTTCCATTCATTCTGATAAAATTTTAGATTTAAAGATTATTATATATATATATATATATATATATATTATAATATATAAGAATCACTTCATATAACATTTTATAGACTGAGATATTATACGTTTTTTTCAGTTTGATTTCTAATTCAAAATGTCCAATTAAATTATTTTGAAGATTTAAAGACAATCAAATCTAGTGAATTGGGTTCTGAATATAAAGTATCTTCTCTCCCAAAAAGTCTTTAATTTCTCTGCTTTTGAGACAAAATAAAAGAAGAAAAACACTTTTTTACCCAAATGGAAGAGAAAAAAGTAAATTATAATCCTTTATGAAAACTTTTTTCTTTTTTACACCCTCGATTTTTGCAGTTCCCGTTTTATTCCAATGCCCCTTTTGGTTAAATTTTTGAAATCTTATACCTCATTGGATGAAATGTCTATAGCTGATGATGCCTTTGCCTTTAAATGGAACCGAGCTTCACTGTTTATACAGACATTCAAATAATATCACATTGACTGTTTTAAGAAAAAAATAAAATAATAATAATGCAACTCAACTAACAAAAATAATACAACAAATGTTAAGTTTCTCATATGATGCAAAAATAGAAAGTTGCCTAATAAGTCTATAGCTATCTGCCCTAAACTAAACACCAAAAATAAAACAAATATGAATAGTATTAAGACGAAAATTAATACATAACATACCTTGATGAGTTGTTCCATAGACCTTGGAGATTTCTTGCTTCTCTCTCACTGTTTACCTGTGATCCATTCTCACAAGTATCTGACTGCCCTATACACACAAACATTTATCAGATATTTCGTATTTAACAGATAATTTAGTTTAGTTAATACATAATCAATCAACTAACCTGATGACGTTGTAGGTTTTTCAGTAGATTTGATGGTCCGATACATCTGAAACAGTCAACATTAGATTATTAATATATAAATGCTAGTTATATGAATAATGGGTTATATCGATACACATATATGTGTTTGTGTGATGTTCGTGTGTATAGACTTGTTCTATTCACGTGTGTGTATACCTATAACCTATACATATTAGATATGCACGCACACAGAGACAGAGATGGATAAAGTAAGAAAAAAAGAGATCAGAGTAAAACAGAAAGCATTTACGATTCATGAAAATGTGCAGCCATACACTGAGATGGGAGATGGGAGATGTGCATGGGTCTACGTGTCTTATTCTAACTGTAGTCAAATTATGCAAAAAAGTAACTTATACTATATGTTATCATTGAAGAATCATGCATATACATATATGTGTGCATATATCAATCTTCATATCATCATTGAAGAATGATGTCTCCTTTGTACTTTTACTTTTCTACTGCATCTCCAGTAATAAAAGGACTCTTTCTCTTTCTCTTTGGCTATATCTAGCTTTTGATTCCTTCTCTTTTGATCTTTTTTTTTTTCACTTTGTATATAATTTATCAATATATGGTGGCGACCAAAAAGGGTACTTAATTTAACTTTGTCCAAACTAATCACAGAAAATATTCAGTCATTTCATAAAAAAGTGCAGTGGGTTTGGTTCATTTGCATATTCAAATCCATAATACAATAAATTCATGTATTTTAAAGGGTCTAATCGATTGTTTATATACCTATACATTATAATAAGTAACTTAAGAAGATTACCTGTAGATGAGATTTAACATGAGCCAATGTGAGATCTTGCACATCCATCAGCTCAAGTACTGATTTTGGGGTTGCTCCTGAATATTAATCATAATTTCAAAATCAATAAAAATATAAATATTTCTCAAGCCTATTAAATTTTTTATATAAAAAAAGAGATATAAATCAATTAAATAAAAAGGGGTAATAGTGAAAAAGGACAATACTTTCATGACCACCCAATAATTGAACAGCGTGTACAAAATGGGCGTGGAGGGTCGTCGTCCACCGCATCCTTGGAGCCCTTACTCCTCGTTTGGCCGTGAATCTAGGCGGCTGCGGTTGAGCTTGACGCCGATGACGGTGGTGAATATTAAAACTACAATTAGGGTTTGTGATTAAACGACTACTAGCGTGTTGACCGTTGACTTCACTGAAGAAGAAAGGAGTGGAAGATGTAGATGAGTAGTAGTAGTGGTCAAGGACTTGATTCTGGTAAAGAGGGATTCCTCTTATTGGTCTCATCATCAACATAGATCTCAAGTCTTGATCGAGAGATTCCTTGTGTTCTTGATTATTATTAATCTTGGTGGCTTCATTGTTTGAAGTGAATTGGAGAGTGTGGATGAGATTATCAGAAGACTTTATATCCGAATCTGAGGCTTTACTCTGAAACCCTAATCTCCTTTCGACTTCTTGTTCTTGTAGTTCTTTTTCTTGTTCTTCTTCTTCTCTTCTTTGGCTGATCTTCAAGTACAAGTCAGGTTGTGAAGGGAAAAGCTCCATAACAAGAGAGAATTGATGAATGGTTTAGAGATAATCTTGATGAATTTTAGGGGCAAAAGGAGGGGTATAATGTAATTTATTTCAAAAAGTTTTTCTTCTTCTTATTAACTTAATGAATTTTTGTTCTTGGTGAGAGGAGAAAAGCAGTTGTAAAGAATTAGAGAGAGAAAAATAGGGATGGCAAAAGGTATGAGGGAAATGAGAAGTCTCTTTCTTCTCTGTTCCCTTTGAGAAATTGACACTTTAAGAGTCTAATAAAGGGGTTGGGTGAAACATGAATTTCCATTTAATTTTTCTTTTCCTTTTTCTTCATATGTAAAGGAAAATATCAATTTCTATGGCATGTTTTGTTACAATGTAGATATCATCTATCACATATCAGTATTTAATGATGGTATAATAAAACAATAATGTATGGAATTATTCGTTTATTTGTGTTCAGATTTACATGTGAAAATGACACTTGGGTTGAAACTGAAAGATGCGTGTGTGTATGTTTTTTTTTCCTAATAATCATTGAAGAAAAATTAAAATAAAAATCAAATGCTGATATTTTCTAGAAAAAAAAAACAGTTATAGCTACTTGTTTAGTTGTTGATAAAATGCTACAATATATCAAAAAAATACACATGAAAATTTAAGAGATGGTGAGACATTAAAACCAAAACTTAAGTCTCGTCGTCACTTGTTGTTTGTCTTGTTTATTGGTTTAATTCTTTGTCTTCCTTGATATTGGAGTTTGGAATTATACCGAACACTTCTTTGCTTTACGGTCTTGGTGGCTGGTTGCCTAAGAATAAATTGAATATGATATTAATTGCGTTCCTTTTTTTTTTCTTCTATATCTTGTTTGTGGAGAAGGTGATTTTGTTTACGTGATAAGATGAAATTTATTGCAAATAAGAAATGGGAAAAGAATAATATCACCTTGACATTGAGATATCACCTTCGATTATGTGTATTAGATAATTTTCAGAACAAGTTAACATAAAAGTATTTTTATTCCACGAAGCATTAACTCCATTTCATCAAAATACTATACGACATTAATTTAATTTTGGCCCTAGTGACACCGATAGACAGTCCAAGATTTGATTCCCAAAATACCCTTTGATAATTCATGTCCCCTAAGCCCATACATCGACAGATAATGTTGGGGACGATCCTCAGATTCATTCGGCTTTTTTAATTTTTTTTCACATATTTGATTAAACTAAGAAAATCTGATACCAAAAATAGGTTTCCCGTAAAAGCCGATCCTTCCAGTTTTAGTTCCGGCAGCACGAGGAACGATATAAGACAAACGAAAAGGAATATTAGTGAAAATCTAAAAAGATAAAGAATTTAAATTTATTTACTTGATTGGAGGCACTACCAACCGACGATACATAAGACAAAATTAGAAGATTGTTGAGCTAAAAAAACATTACTACGTAGATTATAAATTTATCGTTTTATTCATTTTAACCGAATCATTAAAACAAATCATATTAATCGAATCTTATTTGCTTTTCAGCGATTGAACTATCATCACTAGTACTTACTTGAGTTTTGTAGTAATCAAGCCTTTTCGTCGTCATATTATACAAACAAGAAACTAATCATGATAAGTTCTGAGGGGTCGGAATAATCAGTGATAGATATATATGTATATGTCAGAAAGACAGAAACTATTGAAAATGTAGTGGTCAAATAGAGAACAAAGGTTCCCATCAATTTGAGTAAGTTACTCCGACACGGGTACGTAAGAGTGAAAAAGCATGATGTCCACTTCACTTAGTGTAAAATTGTAAGACCTTTTAAGGCCACAAAGTTTGTTATATATTTTAGATTTTTTATTTCGTAGGATTATATGTATATACGAATCAATTTCCTACATATATATCACGTCAAATTCTAGAGACTATAGCACGTCATTTTATACTATGTAAGGTAGGAAACAAAATTTGAATACACAAAACCAATAATAATAAATGTAATACGTATAATACAGATAGTTGTATTTTGTAAAGCTGCTGCTTTAATTTCTTCTTTTGTAAAACGTCCTGAACCTTTGTTATGGAAAAAACTATCAATCCAGTAGTGTGTTAATCTCACATCAATATTCCTACTTCTATACACCTCACTTAAACACAAAACGAAAATCCTTCAAAATGTGAAAAGAATAAGTACAAATAGGAAAAAGATTGATTGAATAATTGAAAAAGTAGGCAGCACACTGAATCTTTTATAAAGGAGTAGAGGAAAAGATTGGAGATTGTTAGAATAATTGCCCCCACGAATATTTTTTGGGGGATTTTTAAGCAAATCTAATTAAACTTTGAGGATTTTGATAAGAACCCACATTTATATTCGGACAAAAGAGTTGCTTGCAAACTTTAACTCGAAAAATTATTTATCTAGTATTATAAGAATGAATTAAAATCTACAAGAGGGAAATAAATAAAACCCCAATCCTTAGCTGGTTATATACCTGTGTCATTTAATAAAAGGAAACTATTTGACTAAGTTATTTATATTGGGACTGGAATCACTGGAGTGGAAGGTTTTTTTTTTTTTAATTGTTGATTGGTAGATCAGTTCTAATATTTTAGTAGATTGGTGTGTGATATATTGTTTTGAATAATTTTTAATAAGTTATATATTAGTAATTCTTATCAATGCAAGTTGAATTATTGAATTTGTTTTGTGAATTGTAAAAAAATGACAAAATTTACGCATCTAAATGCTGTGGGGAAGATATGAGCTTTTTTTTTTTGTACAGTAATAATGGTTACTTACTATTCCATCAAGAATTAAAAAATCATGTAAAGAATTTGACGTAAAGACCTACCACTTTCATTGTTGCTAGTCTATTGTTGTTTTATTTTGATTAGTAAAGTAATTGAAAATCAGTACAAAGACAAAATCTAAGGAAATGCATTAAGAGTTCTTGGTTTTGGTGCAATGTGGGAATATTTGAGAATAAGACTGTTTACTGTTTGCAAATTTTAAGCGAATAAGACATAATCAATCATTTTTTGGTATGTAAAAAACAATTTTTTTGGTGCCATGTAAGGAAAAAGAACCTTTTAAAGTATGTGTATATACATATGTTGGCGTTACCTCGACGAAAATGTGGAGAAGCTAGTCATCTCACGAATGACTCTCATTGGCTAAGTTTCTACTTGATCGAACAACTAAAAGAGCTTTGGGTCAGGAATGCATTTTTCTACATAAAGTACAAGTACCACGCGAATAAGGGACGGGATCTTAAGCGTCATCTTGGTCACAACACTCGTGATCGCATAGCTATAGTACGAAGAACCTTAGACAAGAATATGGGACACCTCACTCTCGAGTTCCCAAAGCCAATATAAAGAAACTTTTCTAAATTAAAAGGTGGTTTAGGCGATGACTAGTCATCAAGCGTCCAAAACCACCACGGCCGTGGCCCCTCGTATGGCTCGAGTCCTACTCTCTTTTTTTTAAAAAAAAAATTACTAATTACGAAGCTTCTCATAAGACCAGATCCATCTGAAAATGTGGATCACAAAATAAATTATGTATGCTCGATAAAGTTTAATTGGTTGTTTGCATTGTTAAGTGGATTGTTTGGTTCTGTGCAATTAATTTGTGAGGTGTTTCAAGTAACTGCTTTGGTGACAAGGCTCTAAATTATCACGTCAAGATTCGAATATTATAAAACTCGAGTATCTTAAAGTTTTCCATAGTTGTAGTCTTGTAGACTATTTTAAAAGGATTCAAGACGAAAAAAACCGGAAGTATATTAAGAGAATTAGCATTAAACTCGCAAGTCGCAACAAAAAGAACAAAACCATAATATAAAACGGTTTGGTTTATCCAAATTGGAAGTCAATACCCGAACCAGTCAAGCATTTGTTAAACCAGATAAACAACCCCGGTTCAACAAATCATGCCTTGGTGCGTTCTTGACTCCCCCAAAATATTTAGTGGTAAATTCCAGTTTTTACCCTTTGTATCGGATCCAATTTACCCTCATCTACAAAAATAAATACCTAATCAGTTTTTTAGCTGCGCATTATTTACCAAAATACCCTCCAAATCTTCTCCTAATTACCGACGTCGTTCACGAGCGCGGAAGTGATACGGTTGACAGTGTCGCAAATACGGTTGTTGATGGCGGAGACGGTGGAAAGATCGAGTTTTGCGGTGGTGACGTTGCTCCCCAAGACCTGTATCGCAACTGTGAGAAAGCACGAAGGCAAATTGACGGACATACCCTCGACGCCATCGGATGGATTCACTGGAACAACAGAGAATCCAACGGGCAAAAGCGGGAGTTTAGAAGGATCATCGCCGTTCATAGCAGTAAGCTGAACGGCGTCGGGTTCGACGGTGGAGTACACCAGGAGACTGCCGGAGTTATCGGTGCAAGTTTCTTGAAGCATCAACTCTACATTTTGCGATGAATTGCTCTCCACCTGTAATTCAAGAACCAAACTTTTGCATCAAAATTCAATTTTTTGTTGGATTTGAAAAGTTACGTGATTTTGAAATCATCACTAACATTGATCTGAAGAAGAGAGATGCAATTTCCAGGATGTGATCCATTAGCTACATGAGCAACTTCTTGAAATGAACTTCTATTGAACAAGATCTCCAGCTACAGAGAGAAAAGATCTCAAATTTCGATTTCAGAATCTTTGGATCAAAAGAACAGAGACGAAGAAGACTCGAGTTTTACTTTCTTACCTGAGAGAGACGTTGATTATCGCGGAGAAGATCAAAGACTTGGTGATGAGAATAAGGAAGAAGCGTGACTGACACGGCACAAGGAACAAGACCACCACAAACTTTCCTGGTTACGATTCTCACTGTGTCCTTTGTTGATGCTTGTCCATATGCATTGCTTATGTTCAGACAGAAAGTTCTAACCATTCTCTGCGACAGATTCATCAAGTTCTTCCTTGCTTCTACAGAAGGTATCACTGAAGAAAAAACACGAGAAAACGGATAACAAATCACATTGGTTGTGAAAGTTCTGAGGTTTACTTGTGAAACAAGTTATATACCTCCAAGGTCAGTGATGTTTGTAGCCATGAAACTAGCCATCCTTTCACACTGTCTCTTTAACACAGCTAGCCACCGTTCCGCGCCAAAGGGCACACCGCTCTTCACATACTCTCTAACCACCTCGTCCTGCACAAGCTTCTCTTCTACTTCCACGTGCTCTACCCATGTGACCTGAGAGTATCCGTTACGCATTGCTTGAATGATGCAACCAGAAGGTTTTCTCCGGTATTGATCAGTAAGAGTAGCTGATGCTGGTTTGATCCTATCGATGGGGAAATCTACAATCATCCATTTTCCTTCTTCGGCATCTTGCTCCACATACCGAAGAAAATAAGCTTCTCTTGTTGGTACCAATGGAGACACTACTTGTAACTCTGCAAACATCTTTTTGAAAAGAGAGACAAGACTCAGTTACAAGAAAACCAATTAATTTTGATCACTTTAACTATTGTAAAACTGTAATTACTCACCAGAAGAAGAGTACCACTTGGCCCAGAGGCTCCAGAAGAAATGATCTGAATTGTTTTGGCGCTTGAGACTATCGGGCAGAACATTTCCAACCATTTATCCTTGAAGCAAAAGTTTAACATATTTATGTTAAATGTGGGTTTTAAGAAAATGTATTTAAACTTTAAAGAAATGTGTGTTTGACTTATTCTTACAGCATCAAGGAATGCTTTGACGAGGTTAATGCAGTTCATCATGATGACTGCATTAGCTCTTGAAGCTTCTCTGCGAAAACGATCATCATCAGTCATTGGAGGCCAGAAGAACATCTTCTTATACTTTTCCTCGTTTAGACACACACTATCATTGTATAGTCTCTTCTTACTCCACAAGGGCTCATTTATGTCGCACATCTTTGCTAATTCTTGAGCACAAGAAACCGCAAGTTCCATCGCAATCGCCTTTTCTTCTTCCGCAATCAACATGTTATTGTTGATGTTATTAGTCTCCGGGATCAAACATGTAATCTCTTGTTCAGGAGGAGGATTCCTCATGGAAACAATGCTGCGTAAACGATCAAGCTGCAAATTATAATAAACCGTATGATTCAGTAGATAAACAACAACGGCCAAGATTTGATTAATTCGAATATACATACCTCTCGGCGGAGGCGGGCGTTTTCGAGGCGGAGGTTGTGTCCACAAGAAGAGCAAGAGAGGCATTGTAAACTGGACTGAAGATTCTGACTCTCTGTCTTTAGAGTCTCATTCTCTGCTTTCATCATTACATTATCTCTTCTTGTTTGTTGTGCCTGTTAATCTTAGTATTAGCAACAATAAAAAGCTTAAATTTTTTACATGTTTAGTCTGAGCCAGAGCTTCTAACCCCCATTTGAACCGGTTTATACGGTCTAATTAACCTTGTTAAAAATCAAACCAAATTAAATAAAGAGTGATTATACCTTGATTTGGGTACGTTTATTTTGAAACCAAAACTTGACTTGTAGTGGCGACAGACCAAGTTCTTTACTTAATCTCAATCTTTTTTCGTCATCCAGATGAGGATTTTCCTTAAACAATCTACACAATAAACACCAATTAATAAATAGTAAACATTATTTCATACAAAAATCGTTACCAAAAATATCGAAATAGTTACTTGTAATCTGAAAAGAAAACGGCAAAGACGTACGCTTCCATTTGTTGAATCTGAAGAGCAGTGTGTCTATGGTTACGTTTCTTCTTCGCCGGAGGAGGCTCTTGTTCGATTGCAGTATTCTCCACCGGGTCATGACCCGACCAGGTTGACATACCCGACCCGCTTTCGATCATGCTCATCATCTCATACTCCTCTTTCTAAACAACCAAAACACTAAAAGTTATCAACTTTTTAAGAAAAAGATGTAAAAAAAGTTAGGGTTTTTGGTTGGAAGCGAAGACAAACCGGAAAAATGTAAGGGAAATTTGGGTTGTCGAAGGAGGTGAATTTGTAATTAGGGTTTTGGATTGTTGTTGTCGGAGACGAAGACACCGAACCGAAAATGTTGTCGGAATTTAAAAACACATGTCTTTCTTCTTCTTCGCCTGATTTCATCGCTTGACAATCTCCGTACATTTTTTTTTCGACTTTCGTTTCCATTTCAAATCAGACAAAAAGAAAAGATGAAGAATCAATCAGTGAAAAGAAGATAAGAGTGAGTTTATAGGGTTTGTTTTCACTTCACTCTCAATTTTTTTTTTTTAACTTTACCTTGTGTTGGCTTCAGAGAAACTGAAGAGATAAAAATGTTAAAAGTGTAAATGAAATAGTTACCGGACCAGGGAGAGTAAACGGCGTCCGTTACTGTTTAACGGCGATATTTAACGGAATAACAGAGAGACAAAAAGCTTGTCCAACACTCTACTCTTTTTTTCCTCGAAGGAAGCAGAGAGTCAAATCAAATCTTTTTGCTCAGTCGATTCAAAAAAGTCAATATTTAGGATCTCAGTCAAACTTTATTCTCTGACGCGCGTTCCAAGTCCGTGTATAACCAATCGCGTTGCTCACACTTGAAGCCCAATTTTACCGGACCCTAACAATCCAAGCCCATTATAACAAAAACACCAATCTATAACTAGATGATTATAAAAAATTTCACAATAACTCGAAAATAAATTAATATGAAACAATTTATAAGTTAATAATAAAATTTGGTATGTAAGATAATATTACTTTTCTCTCCGATAAACAGAGTAATATAAGAAGTTAAAAGATACTACAATTATAATTAAGCTTTGTTATTAGTTACATAATTACATTGGAGGTTTGCGACAATAACAACGGTATGAGACACAAACATAAATTACTTCGCCTTTTGATTTGCATAAGTCAATGCAAGATTGAACATTACACCTCGTCTTAAGGGATATCGCGCGGACGTATCTTTCATTAAGGCATTGGCACTTGTTCTGCTCACATTTGATCTTCTTGGTTGGACAATTTAGATTAGTACAATCAGATTCATTCTTGCAAGATTGTGCCAGAATTTGAGTACCTATGAGATTTAATATGTTAATGATCATGATGATATATACTATGATATGGAGGAAGAGGAATGGTAGACGACACGGAAAAGATGAAAACTCAATAGATCAACTAATTCGGTGGATAGACAAACAAGTTCGAAACCAACTATCAACAATTCGACAGATGGTCGACAAACGTTACGAGCAAGGCTTCCAACAGTGGCCTCAACTAAGAGCATAAGTTTTGTTTTTATGTTTCTATTAAGCTTACCGGTTTTTTATTTCTTTCAAACAACCGTTGCACAAGTTATAAAAACGTTTATTTTTTTTTGAATCTAATTTAACATTAAATTCAAAAAAAGATATATAATATATGATGAAGATGACGATGGTGATGAATGTAAGTATGTAACTAAACATATGGTTAACAAATTTTACGTACATGTTGAGAAAAGTAGAAGACCGATAAATATCGAAGCTGCTTTCTGCATTTTTGTTGAATAGGTTTGTATATTTCTCTTATGTTTTGATTTCTTTGTGTGATTTAAAGTGGAGGATTTGGAGTTTGTATTTATACAAAATTAATGATGAAACTAAGATACCATCATTAATTTTGTTTTTTTTAGTTTAGCATGATTTTGTATTTAAGTTGGATATAATAAATTGGATATTTAAGTTGTATTTAAGTTGGATATAATAAATTAATGATGAAACTAATTGATAACATCATTATTTTTGTTATTTTAGTTTAGCATGATTTTGTATTTTAGTTTAGCATGATTTCATTCATTTATTATAAGTTTTTATTTATACACAGTAAGATAACATCATTAATTCATTATATATGTTTGCATAAGTGTAAGAAAACAATTTCGTTTTCTTCCCCCGCAAGCAAAATATATTTTGCTAATTGTTTTACTGGTCAATATTTTTGATAAATACCTAAATTACTTCATGTAACAAGATTTTATACCTAAGTTGTTTATTGAGAGTGTGGAAAATTACCTAGTTTGATGTTTCTTAAGGTAGTAAATTGGAAATTAATTATTTTTCTTTTTTTTGTCAGCAATAACATCATTAATAATTAAACTAAGATAACATCACTAATTTTATTATTTTAGTTTAGCATGATTTCATCCCTATTTAAGTAATAACCTTTATACTGTATAATATCACAAAATACAATCTTCATTCCATTTTTATTAATTTGAAAATCCATTTAAGAATTATCTAAAATTTCTATTTACTCTTTTCTAATGGCTTCTAGTGAATTCTAAAATTTTATCTTTCAAGTTCAACGAACTATAACAATTCTGATTAATCGTTTAAATCGAAGCCACAACCAAAATCAAAAACTATTATTGAAATTGACCTGAACCTATGGTTTCAATGGATTTTTTTGACATATTTTTTCGCTGGATTATCACCAAAACATAACTAGATTCATTATACCAGAACCGTTTCCATCGTTTGAACCATACAAGTTTGACAGATTTATTCCCAATTCTCAACGAAATTTTGCCGGATTGTCACTAGATTTTCGTTGAACTAGCTTTATTTCAACTGAACTACAATTACTGTTGTTTCTTTAATTTCGATAGACGAATATATTCTTAATGAGTATCTAACATATTTATATATAGTCTATTTTAGGAAATTAACAAACCTGATAAAATATCAAATTATCTTTAAGGTCACTTTGATATTTATTTTCCAACTTGTATTATGTTCATCAACAATTAAGTACATAAAATAGACAAATGAAGAATGAATCTGAAAAATAAGTGAAAGAAAAACATTCCAGCTACGGTTAATTTTCAGTCAAATGTCCACACATAAACACTATTGTAATCTATATATACATTTTTGGATCACAATTAGCAAATAAATCCTGAAGTTGAGAAGTATTTACAATGGCATGCCATTAGCATTAATTATTTAATTTCGAAAATTTAAATCAAAGATATTAATTACCAAAAAAATCTTAACATAATATCTTAACCATAACTAATCCTTTCCATAATATCTTAAAGATACTAATTAATTTTGACAAAATCAATTTTTTTATGTAATTCATTTTTTAAATATATTTATTTTAATGTACATTAATTAAATTATGGTTACTATTCGTTATTTGACAAACTCATTTTGCTATATTACTTATTATAAACCAAACTCATTTTGGCTATAAATAATTTGTTTAGTTATAAATTAGATTAACTCCAAAAAAACATTATTACCAAATATATAAATATTATTTATGTCTACGGAATAATATGTTATTTTAGATTATTATTATTTCATAAGGTTTCAAATATTATGAATATTTGAACTTTATAGAATTTTAAATATTATTAATTTAAAACTTATAAGAAATTTAAATATTATAAATATTTAAATTTTATAAAACTTTAAAAGTATCTGTAATATTTCAATTCTATAAAAAAACTTTATCTATTAATAACATTTGAACTCTATAAAAATTATAAATATATATACTATAGAGACAATTTAAAAACAAACTTTTAAATGAACTCTAATTATATGTCTTCTAAATAAAATTATTATTAAAAAGAAAAATAACATGCTGTTTAATTTCACGGGACGGGATTATATGGTGTGACGGGTTTGTGTCGATATTAATACGGAACGATATACTACGAGTGAAATCTTAGAATTAACAACCAAAATACAATTATGAAGTTTGGGTCGATATTAAAACTTTTATGAAGTTTCAAGTATTATAAATATTTAAACTTTATAAGAATTTATAAGAAGTTTAAACATTGTAAATATTTTAAGATGATAAAACGTTTAAAGTATTTATAATATTTAAATTTTATAAAAAGTTTATAATATTAATGATATTTGAACTCTATAACAATTAAAAATATATATATATATATATATATATATATATATATATTATGGGAGCCATTTAAAGCAAACTTTTAAATTGACTCAAATTATATATGTCTTTTAAATTAAAATATTATAAAAAATAATAACAAAATAATGTTTAGTTTCACGGGACAGGGTTATATGGTATGACGGGTTTGAATCAATATTATTACGAGGCGGTACTACGAGTGAAATCGTATAATTAACTATCAAAATACAATAAATGCTAAACAAAATAAATTCAACTTAAAATTTCAATTTTTAGTTATCAAAAATCGACCCACGGGTTTAATGCGGGGTAATATATATAATAAGTACATTTAAATCAAACAGAGCAATAGATAATTTTCAAAAAAATTATAGCCCCGCGGTGTACCGCGGGTTAAAATCTAGTTAAGTGATATAATCGATATTCAAAAGACATTAATAGTAAGAAAAATAGATATTTGAAAACCTTATACGGAAACTTAATAAAATTACATGGGAGGTTTGCGACAGTAACAATGGTTTAAAATACATGCATAAGCATTTTCACCTTTTGCCTTGCAATAGTCAACGCAAGCAGCCACACCACAATTGGTATCATCCGGTAATGTCACGAGTTCTTCAAGGGGGCATTCACATCCACCATTTATACATTTGGGGGTACCAAATGGTGTTGGACATTTGAGTTTAACACAATCAGAGTTCGTCTTGCAAGATACATATCCAGTTCGTGCTCGAATTGGTGTACCTGTAAAAATAATTGAATTGATTCTTTTTTCTTTTCGGCATCATTGAATTGATTTATATATACAATTGGAACATAAAATAAAAATTTGTTGTAAACTCACATGTTGAAAAGAGTAGAATTCCAATGAATATCAAAGCTGATTTCTCCATTTTTATTGTGTTTATACTCTTTTTCTTTTTGTAGTGATTTTGATATTGTTTGCACAATTAAGATGATGTGTTTACAAACAATTTATAATTGTAAGAAAACGAATGTTCTTTTTCTTTTATACCATGAATAATCTGTTCTTTTTTTTCACTTGAGAACAAAATATATTGATAATGTGTTTAATTGGTCAAGATTTTCTTCTTTTACTTTTGTCAAAGGTCAATATTTACATTTATTCTTAATTGATACTGTACTTTGAATAATCTTCACCAAAAAAGAAAGAAAGATCTTTTTATAATTAGGGAAAGAGTTCTTAAATCACCGACCAAAGCGTTTCCTGTCAAATGTTTGCGTAACATCTATTTTGGTTGGTTACTTTCAGATTGGTGACCAAATAAAAATATGACTGAAACTAAAATTATTTGTTGACAAAAAAAAATAAGAACAGGATTATATTTTTTAGTTAAAAAGAAAAATCGATTGGTATTTTGGTTTAGTTAATATTAGCCCGGTTAAAAATACTAAACCATGATTCTTCACCAGTTTTGAGAAAACTTTAAAGAAAAACAAGAAGGACAAAATTGTTTTTTTTTTCAGGTCTAATTACCAAATCGACCATGAATCCAATGTTACAAGGCCACAAGTCTTCGTCCTAAATAAACAAGTTCAATCTTCATCTTCAACAATCTGAGAGAGATTAGTTCCAAGTATTACCGCTTACAACAAGAATCAGAAAGGTCTTTACTTGTCTGCATATCTCAAGGTTGAGCAGGAGCCGGAGCTGGAGCCATAGGTGGAGGAGATTGTTGCTGCAGTGGTTGCGATTGTGGCTCAAGATGTTCAGATTCTTTCTTTGCTTTAGGAGATTCAGAGAGTTTTGATTCATGTTCGGCTTCTTGCGTTGATGAAGCTGCCTTTGGTGATTCAGACAAGTGAACTCTAGCAAACTCATCAACCACTTTCCTCTTATCCTCTTCCTCAGCCATACCAACTTTCTCTTTAGCCTTTTGTCCAACTTCTTCTGCAGCTTTAGCAACTTTGTTGAAGGCTCCAGTGACCCACGTGGCACCTGTGAGAACATACCGGTTCTTCATTATAGCTGAACCTGCATTGCTCACTGTCTGCTCTGCTGCGGCGATTGCTGATTTAGTTTTCTCTGAGACTTGGTACTTCTGATCAACTTCCCTGACTTTTTCTCCCACAACGACTGTGCCTGTGTTGATCTTATCAGTGAAACCGATTTTCTTGTCAAAAGATGCGACTTTGGCTGATGCTGTAGATGTTAGCTGGTGCTTCTCATCAACACTCTTGGCTTTGGCTATGGCATCTTTTCCCAGGATAAAGCCCTTTGCAAGCATGCTGCTCACAACATCTTCGGCTTTTCTCAACACGGAGTCACCTGCTCTGGGAGATTTGTTGCTGTCCTTGGGTTCCTGAGAAGAGATGAAGCGGTAAGAATTTACTTGTGAAGATCTCTAGAGAGATAATGAATTAAGAGCTTACCAAGGAAGCTAAAGCCTCAGGGGATAGTTGGTAATCAGGGGCCATAGAGACAATGACTGAAGAATCAACAATCGTTGCTCCCTGATATGAAAGAATCACATTAATACCCAGTCACTCAAAGGACACAATCATATAGAGAAACTGATACAGGTTGAAAAGTGGAAATACCGAGAGAAGAACCGCAGTTTCAGCTCCTTGCAGATCCTTGAAAGTAACATATGCCAGTTTTGTCCGCTCAGTCTCGCTATACAAACATGTCAAAAGAGGTAAGAACCTGAAGAACAAAAGCTGTAAATCTAAACATCCAAAAAAGTAACACTAGAGAGGAAACCAAACCTCTGCGTCTCAAGGTATAGAATATCGCCAGAAAAGGAAAAGAACTCCTTGAGATCTCTCTCGGTTGCTCCAAGAGAAACATTGCTCACTTTAACAGTTGTCATCTGCAAGTGAGATACAATCTCGTGAGACTTTTTAACTATGATTTCAAACCATTTCACCAGCTAAATCAAATCTCAGACTTATTCATTAGCTGTTTGATTCTGCGTTTCTCAATTCCTTATCGCCTAAACAATGACTATACACACACACACACTCCTAAAGCAACCAATATCATCAAAAGAAACACAACGACATTGTATCATCAATACAAGATGATAAAAAGAATCTCAGAATCTATGAAAAGCTTATCCTTGTCTCACAACTAATCCTATGGCAGAGATCAGATATTACAATACAAAACAAATGCTAAACTGACTATCTGAATCCAAACAAAAATAATTTACCCTAAAAAAAAAAAATCTTCATCTCAGAAACAGTAATTCTCACCCAAATCAAAAACTGAGAATAGCCTCAAAATCCTCTAAAAAAAAAACTAGCGATTTTTCACAAATAATCAACGCCATTTTGGCAAAAATCTTACAAAATAACAATCAAAATCAACAGATCTATTCACATCTTCCTCAACCAAATCAACAGCAAAAACATCGACCTTCTCAGGATAAATCCAAAACAAAAACCAAAACCAACTCGCTCCAAAAACAGAAAACGAAGGGATTAGATAAACTCACCGACATGACGAAAATCGCTTTGACGCAGATTGAAACGTAAGGTTTTTTTTTTCCACCGGAGGAACAAATTTGAAACGAAACGAAAAATCAAAGAAGAGAAAAATCTTTGGTCGCGGATTTGATGTGAAGAAGAGAGAAGAAGAAAAGAAAAAGTGGGACCTGTTTTGATTTGGAAAAACGAGACTTATTCGGGTTTGGCACGTGATATGGTCGGAAACTTCTCACGTGCGATGATTTTAACTTAAAAAATAGTCCTAATTTTAAAACTTCTTTTACTTTTGACCCTTTTTAGACACGTAAAGTTTTATCTAGAGATTTTATTCATTAAATTCTGGATTAAGATATTACTACTAATCTATCATAATCTTAAATCTATTCTAATTAATCCGAAATCTGTTACTTGGTTACAATCATCAACCGACGTCGTGACATAATCACTTTCTCCACCAATGTCTATTATCCACGTGTCTTGATCTCAGAGCAATGTTCACATCGGAGACATTTTTGTCATTTTATAATTAAAGGAGGATAATATCGTTAAGAATCTAAACTATGGAGTCACTTTTAGAATATTATAGAAAAGTTAAGGGGCAGAAAATGAAAAAAGGTACAAGCTTTTTTCGTTCATACAGGTAATGTGACGTTTCACGTTTTGTTCAATATCTCTCTCTCTCCGCGATTCACGTTTTTCTCAATCTGTCCGGAGAGAGAGAAACCCACCGGAGATTCTGAAAATCACTGTCACGTTCTTTCCTCCGTCGATATCTCCGTTACCGTGAAATCGAAGTTTTGATTTTGCTCTGTTTTCTTGGGAATAAAAGAGGATAATTTAGTGGTGGGTTTTTCGAGAAAGAGAGAGAAAGAATGAGTTTTCAAGATTTAGAGGCGGGAAGAGGAAGATCATTAGCTTCTTCAAGGAACATCAATGGTGGTGGTGGTAGACAAGACACGACTCAAGCTGTTGCTTCTGGTATATTTCAGATCAACACAAGTGTTTCCACTTTCCATCGTCTTGTCAATACTCTTGGTACTCCTAAAGACACACCTGAGCTCAGAGAGAAGCTGTAAGCACTTCTCAAAGTTAAAGTTATCTCCTTTTTTGAGTTTAGGGTTCTTAAAATTGTTTCTAATTCTGTCAATTGCTTGATTGTGTGAAAAATGTGTGTTTTAGGCACAAGACAAGATTACATATTGGACAGCTAGTGAAAGATACATCAGCTAAACTTAAAGAAGCTAGTGAAACTGATCATCAAAGAGGTGTTAATGTGAGTGATTTTTGATAAAGGAAGATTCTTGTTGTTCTGCTAATTCTGTTGGTTAATAGGAATTTGATGGTTTGTTGTTTTGTATTATATTGATGGGTTAGCAAAAGAAGAAGATTGTGGATGCTAAGCTTGCAAAGGACTTTCAAGCTGTGTTGAAAGAGTTTCAGAAGGCTCAGCGTCTCGCAGCTGAAAGAGAAACCGTATATGCTCCTCTTGTCCACAAGCCATATCTTCCTTCTAGGTAAATGCTCAATGAAGGAATTTAAAACGGTTTATGTTTATTTGTGTATTGATTTCTTGGCGTTGGTAATATAGCTACACATCCAGCGAGATAGATGTGAATGGAGATAAGCACCCAGAGCAACGGGCGCTTCTTGTGGAATCAAAAAGGTAAGTTTATACAGACAAAGGTCTCCATCTTTGTTCGGATTGATGAGTCATATCTTAATTGGTTTGTTGTTGTTGTTGCAGACAAGAACTTGTACTGTTGGACAATGAGATTGCGTTCAATGAGGCTATTATTGAGGAAAGAGAGCAAGGGATACAAGAAATCCAGCAGCAAATTGGCGAGGTGCACGAAATCTTCAAAGACTTGGCAGTGTTGGTACACGATCAAGGAACCATGATTGGTAAAACTGATTCTAAATCTTGTTATAATAAAACTCTCCCTTATGTCTTCAAAACCCTCAGCCTAAGACCTATTTTTGTGTAGATGATATTGGTACTCACATCGAGAACTCATACGCTGCAACTGCACAAGGAAAATCCCATCTCGCAAAAGCATCAAAGACACAAAGATCAAATTCTTCTCTGGTAAAGATATTCAAGCTTTTGATCATACCATGAAATGTGTTTTTGAGGATTTTGGATGATCAGATCAGCCTACTAACTTCTTCTTTCCATTGTTTTTTTTTCTTGTAGACGTGCTTGCTCTTGGTGATTTTTGGTATCGTGCTCATGATTGTTATTATAGTGCTCGCTGTTTGATTTACCCAAGCTCATAAAAGCATGGACAAGTGCTTCATCATCAATCAAGAAGCATCAATGAGTATATATTTGTCATTTCACGGCTCTCTTTGTTCCTACCATTTAGTCTGTTGGACTATTGGTCTCTCGTTTCCTGTTATCGAGTTGAGTATATAGAGTAGTTCGCTTTGGTTGAGTTTGTCTGAGTCTTCGTTCTGAAAGAAAGAGTGTTATTGCTTTGTCTCTGTAATATATTTTGTTGCATTTAAGATTGGATGATGAAGGGAAACTCCTCTGTTTGTGTGTTCTTAAATGTGAAATTCCTGGTTTCGATTAGCTAAATCATGAAGCTATGTGAATTTCCAAAAGAATGCAAAGCTTGAGTTAATGAACTTTACTCATATGATCTCAGAACAAAGTTTGAACAAATCAAAATCATCTAGAAAAAAGTAAACCTTGATTGAGATAACAAGCAGCTGTTGGATCCTTAAGGCATCCACAGAACGCCTCTTCATCTTTCGGAAACGACTTTGGCAATGGATGATCAGGAGTAACACCAACCTATTCAACAACCAGTAGCAAGTTAGACTGTAAGAACATGTTTGTATGTAGTATAGTGTAGACACAGAGGGAGTCACTATAGGACATCATATTATCTGGAAGAAAGTAGTTTCATACCTTGTCTATATCTGTGTGAGCTGGTGTTTCATAGCGAGCAACTGTTACTGCCAAGCCCGAACCATCAGAAAGCTCAAAAACCGACTGTATCTTGCTGCAAAATGTGTTAAAGTCTCAAGAATATTAACAAGGTTCAGTCTCTGGATAGAAGAATAATATAAAATAGCACCTTCTTGTTTACCCTTTTCCATAAGTTGGTTCTCCATAAACCAGAGCTCGTTTGTTATCTTTCAAGGCGCCTGCTAATATCTCGCTGGCACTTGCGGTGCCTTTGTTAACCTGGAAAAGAGAGAGATTGAGAGAGCTAAATCTTCCATGGCATTTACAATAAGGACTAGATTTGAGGAAAGGAAGGATGGAAGCTCATACGAGAACGGCAAGAGGCTCAGAGGTTGCTATAGCATTGCTTCCATCAGTATCATATATATCTCTAACACCTCGACTATCGCAAATATACACAATCACTCCTTTATCTAACCTGTGGATACCAAAAGTTGAAGTTTCTATTATGATAGCTATGGATCTTGATATTTTCTGATTCGTTAGATGTAACGGTTTACGAGGTCATACCAAAATTTAGCAATCTCAATTCCTTCTGGGAAAGAACCTCCACTGCAGCAAGAAACAAAATTTCCAAGGGTTTAAGAAAGGCTGTTGCAGAAACAAAAAGGAGTTTATTTTATCAATAATCATCACCTATTGTCTCGAAGGTCCAAGACGAATGCATTTACATTGTTGCCTCTCAAGGTTTCAATTGCTTCTCTTACCGCACCTATAAAGAAAGTGTTCAACTTTGAGAGATACTAAACCAGAGAGTAGACAAATTTGTAAGAAGGACAGTAATGCCAAAGAATACATACTAGAAGCATTTTGGTTGAATGTTGTTAGCTTGATATACCCAATCTTAGGGGAATTACTCCCAGAACCAGGAAGTTCACATAATCTTGACTTCACCGGATTCACAGAAACCCGCTCTCGCCTGAAATAACAACAATCATAGTTACTCACTGAACGTGAAACGAAGATAAAGGTAGACTGTAAAGGGATGAGAGAAATACGTCAAAGTTAAGAGTCTCGTCTCAGGTCCACTATGAATCGCTAGCTCCACTGTACTTCCTTCAGGTCCCCTGCATTTTAAACAAAGTATTATCCCGATGCCAATGGCTTCCTCATCACAATGATTTCTCAGAGCTAAAGGACGGATGAAACTGGAAATGTAACTCACTGCAACATTTGTGCAGCATCGTATATGGTGAGAGTTTCTGTGGTTGTATTATCAATTCCTAGAATAACATCCCCAGGTGAAATTCCAGCCCTATTTGCAGGACCTCCTGGAGCAGCTGATATAACAACAAGCCCAGCTGGTGGTCCATCTGATGCAGCGGGGTAACCTATCGACAGCCCAACACCCGTAACCGCCCCTTGAGTCCCGGACTGCCTTCAACCAAACCATTAGATTACTAAATCATACATGCAATCTATTTGCTAGATTCAGAACAGCCTATTTTCAGGAATTCTTACCCGCAAACTCTTAAACTTTCCGGGCTCCAGGAATCGAGTAAAAGGATCATCTAGTGTTGCAACCATTTTCTTGATAGCCATGTCTAAACACAAACAAACAAACAAACACCAAAATCAGAAGCAAATTGTACTAATATTGTAAAGGCTTAATAAAGCTTTGTCAAAGTTCACACATACATGTCTCTTCTCGAGTGTTCATAGGCTCATTCCTTAAAGCAGTCTCTCTGTAACGAAACCAGCTTTGCCCATTAAAGGTTTTATCAATATATGCTCGATCAATCGTTCTCCAAGCCTCGAGGAAGAGAAGATTCTCCTCACTAAGACCCCCTAAAGAGATAGAGAAAAAAAAGCCAGCCAAATGAAATCAAATTGCATTCCCCAATTTTGACTCAATATGTAAAAAACAGAACTTACATGATGGTGGTGAATCAGTGGTAACAACAGAAATGGAAGAGACAAGTAGGACAGAAACTATCCGAACTAATGCAACAGAGAGATTCTGTCTGAAATTAACTGAAGATTTCATCATAACCTTCCCAGAGAATTTCCTCTCATCATTTCTTTCGATAACACACAGAAATCTATTACAGACGAACACGACTCCTGGGTTTGTTGCATTGCTCCTTGATTTGTTACTACGACAACGAGCATAACTAAAGTTGCTAGCTTTTGAAATCTTTGGAGGTTGAGTCACCCACAATTTCACCTGCAAAGGTTGACAATTCAATTACACAGCTAAACGGATACAAATTGGAGAATTTTCAGGAGAGAAATTTTAAAAAGGAGTCAACTTTACGAAAGAACAGTACCTGGATTGAGAAATTAGGGTTTATTTTGTTAGGCTTAGTAAAAAAAATTGGGGATAATGAAGAACTCGCAAGGACCTCCATTGAAAAGAGCTTCCCCGGGAAAAAATTCCAACTCTGTTTTTCTTATCGAAACAGGATTACAAATATGATTTCGACAAGTGGCATTTTCCTTTTTAACACAATAAATATAACTCTTCTATTATCCAAAGAAAGATTCTGTCACAAAGTTACAATTTTTTTGACAAAAGAGATCCTACTAAGTCCTAACCAGTAACCATAATGTTAGTAGAGAAAGACTTTACAGTTTGATACTATACATAAATTCATAATCTTTTAGGATTATTCTGTCTCTGGTGTGAGAAGACCCAACTCTTCTATAAGCTTATCCATATGTCTACCAGTTGTGTTGTTGCTGTTCTCTAGTGTAGTTGCATCTCCAAAAACTGGGCTTTCTGGCGGATATTCTTCAAGGAATTCAAAGTTACTCATCAGTTCATCAATCTCGGGGTCTTCAGGTATTCCGTCAAGCTGAATTGGGACTGAACCACCATCAAGGAATGGGCTTGGAGAGATGAATGTATCTGGAGCATTAGTCTCGGTATCCATGTAGTTTTCTGTAGGGAAGTCGTTGATACTCTCTCGTGTCAATTGTGGCATCTGGGAAATCTCTGGCATTACGGTATCTGGGACCGGGAGAGAAGTTGAAGTAGAGGGTAAGTATGATAAAGGCTGTCCTGATGGTATGGGTGCATATGCCTGTGACTGTCCTGAAGTTGTGGGCAGTACCTCTTGAAGAGTGGCTCCTGATACCCGGTTTGGAGATGAGAACCCGTCAAGAAACGGATACTTATCATCTGTTTTCATCATGTTCCACATCATTGAATCGTTTCTAAGAGGTTGATACTTAACTATCTGTCCATCTGATGCATCCGAGCTACGGCTATAATTCTCAGCAGTAGCAGCATCGGTAGTATCCTCTCTGAGTCTCCGCTTCTTATTAGCCTCGGTTACATGCATATTACTATCAGTCTGCTTCTGTATAAACTGAGAGAGGAAAGTTGGATTCCGGACAGCTTTAGCAAGAAAAGACATGATCTGTTGTTGCCTCTGCTCCATCACCTGAAGATGTTTAACCATAACCTGAAGTTTACTATCTGTTGTTTGTTGCTGCTGGCGTAACTTAACGAGTTCTTGCATCAACACGTTTTTGTCTCTTTTAAGCTGTTCAACTTCTTCCTCTAACCCAAATTTCCCAACTTCAACACATGAAGATAATGCAGCCATTGAACCTTGACCCTGAGATAATGCCTGAGATTGTGGAACTCTACTACTACCATGTCCCTGAGCAGATTTTCTCCGGCTTATCGTCTTCAATAGATGTTTTTGACCTCTTAAGAAACCTTCATTAGCAAATTCCCACCGATCTGGATCCACTTTCCTAAAACCCTGTTCATCAAATTGGCACATGAATCATCAGAGTATAATAGTGTAATTCGTTTACTAAATCTTATATTCAACGAAATCAAAATCTATACACAGTACAATTAGAGAAATCAATGGCAATAAACTCGAGTGGAGAAATTAGGGCGCGAGAGGATTTTTTACTTACATAGGTATTTAACTGACGAACAAAGCTGGAGAAATTGTTGTGTTTGAAGTACTTAGGTAGAAGATCACGAGAAAACTCCGGTGGATCCCAGACAATGAAGCTATTGTTCGTCGGACTCCATGAAACAATCGCGTCCGTCGTTGGATCTTCCACCATGTCGTAAGTCTTGCTAAGGAAAGGAGGAGGTAAAGAGTTCGCACTAAGCAACGTCGCTGGATGCGGATTCCGCGGTGTCAGCGCCGTCACAGCCTCGCCGGTATTTGTTTCTCCGCCGGTAACACCGTCCATTTTCGTCCGGATAGAGAGAGAGAAGAAAGAGGGAGCGAGAAGAAAGAGAGAACAGGTATTTTTTAAATTTACAAACATACCCTTTTATTTCTCTGTGACTGTAACGCGAGATCATAAAGATGGGCTTTTATTTTTTATTTTATTTTTGTTTGTCTTTTACTAATTGTGTGTGGGCCAAAAAGATCAACTTTATAAATAACTGGGCCTGCTAAACTAAATATTATAATAATCAATTTCATTGCTAACATAATTATTAAGTACTTTATAATTTTGTCGGCATTGGTACATTATTAAAGTTGGATTTGGATATATGTATTATTTACATTATTGGATTATATTATTATAAATAAAATATGTTTTTAGTATTTTTTGGATAATAAAACCAGAAAAACATAATTAATATCTTCCAATTAAAACTAAAAAATAAACCTATTTGAACCCTCCCTTTCGTCGTTACTCAAATGACATCGTCGTGAGAGTTTTAATAGATTTATTTTTTAGTTTTTCCAATTCCTCTTTTTGTATTTGAAAGAGTTGATTTATTGTTATCTTCAAAGCCCATTTTAGTGAACTGACAGAATTGTTTTTCTAGAAAATGTTATTTTAACATATAATAAATTTATTATACATTTTTTTATATTTATTGACAGAATTGTTTTTTTTTATATTAAAGTTTACTAAACCGTATATTTGTCATCACACTGAACTTTTTTTTACCGCCTCTAAACCAGTTTCTGTAATAACTTTTTCGTAATCGCTAAATAGACATTTCCTTAACCGCGTGGTCACAATTGGACCCAATATAGGCCCATAAGACTCTATTTTCTGGCGGGAAAGCGGAGGAAGGAGAGTGAGAGAGAGCGATGAGTTTGTCCTCGTCGCCGGCGATAGAACCAGACACGCCGGACCTCATTTGCCAGCTCGATAATGTTCAAGGCATGGTCGATGCACTCACTTGCGTCCGATGGAAACGCCACCAGGTATTATTTGTCTCCATTCCCCCAAAAATCAATCTAGGGTTCTTCATCGATTTTCTGGAAAAAACTGCGATTCTCAGCAATTCTCGGTTTCCAGGATGCTTTAGTAGAGTTATCTGAGCACGGAATAGTTTTGATTGTGGAGGAATCAGGTTGTCTTCAAGCCAAAGTTTATCTTCAACGCGAGGTATCGATTTCTGAGTTTTTCTTAAATTTTCAAAATCCCTAGAATTCGATTAAATCCGAATCTGTTTGATGTGTTATGTGAGAAGCTATTCACGAAATACGAGTATGGAGCTCAAGGTAGGCCTAGATTTGGAATCAGCTTAGGTCTTCTTGTTGATTGCTTGAACACGTTTTCATCACCTGGACATTCAAATACTATTGAAATCAAGTATCCAGGACCTGATATGGAGCTTCTTCTCAAGTATGTACTATGATCCTTTGCTTTGTGAATATACTGATTACGAGTTATTAGCTGATGTGTGAGTGTTTGATTAGATCTGTTGATACCTTAAACGCTTGCATCTACTCTGAGATAAGAACGAGAATCCCGGAAACCGTCACATGGGACTACAACTTTGAGCAGGCAGGAAGCACGCCACTCACTTTTACCGTAAAGGTAGTAACATAGTTTAGTATCGCTTTTCGTTTAACATTTTTAGTCTGAGCTTTTTCTCAAATGGTTATTGATAATGTATCAGTCAGCGGCGTTGAAGGAAGCAATAGATGATCTTGAATGGCCTGGATCAAGTGTACAGATCAGCCTTCAAAAGGAACCCACTTGTGTTATCTTCAGAGGAGAAGGACATGGAGACCTACAGGTCTTGTTTCTCTCTCGTTTTCTGATTAAATATCGTCTTTCTGTGAAAGAATCAAGGCCAACACGTTGGATATATCTTCTTTCGCAGATAGACTTCATGTATTATGCCAACACAGATCTTCTCCTTGCCTTTCATTGTGATACCGAAGTCTCTTACGGGTAACAATAAAGTCAATTCTTTCTCTACCGTAGCTTTATGGTTAAAACAACTTAGTTTGCACGCTCATAGACCTGATTAACAGCAGGAGAAAAGAAAATCAATTAATCAGCAGGTTCTTCGGGCTTAACATAGTTTAGTTTCAGTTGCTAAAGCTTTAGCTCCACAAGTGGAATCTGCAGGGTATCAGCCACCGAGTCGGATTGCTTATATAGAGTTCTTTGTGAAGCCCGAAGAACCTGCTGATTAATTGATTTTCTCCTGCTGTTAATTTCTGTTTGTAATGCTTCCTTCTTCTTTAATCAGTTTGCACGCTCATAGACCTGATTTACTAAATTAAGAACAGTAGCCATTGCTAAAATTCTCATGGTTGATTATAGGTACAAATACAAGTTTTTGAAGGCAACAACCGCAAATATACCAGGAAACGTAGTGAGAGAAAACAGAGGAAGCAAACTGACAATAGGAAGAGGAGGAATGTTGAAAGTTCAGCACTTGGTTTCAGTTGCTAAAGCTTTAGCTCCACAAGTGGAATCTGCAGGGTATCAGCTACCGAGTCGGATTGCTTATATAGAGTTCTTTGTGAAGCCTGAAGAACCTGCTAATTAATTGGTTTTCTCCTGCTGTTAATTTCTGTTTGTAATGCTTCCTTCTTCTTTTAGTCAGTTTCTCACTACATTTCCCGGTATATATGCGGTTGTTGCTTTCAAAAACTTGTTTGTTGAAGGCTTGCAAAGATGTCGTTTACTTGAAACTGCGTGTGGTTTCACTAAATTAGCCCAGATGTCTCGCTGTTGAATGTTTTATCCTTTAACGACGTCGTACTGGAGACATAGGGGAATCATAAAAAAAGAATCCGGAAATAGTTCGGGGGATTGAACCCGACGTGAATCGAACACGCAACCTTCTGATCTGGAGTCAGACGCGCTACCATTGCGCCACGGATCCGGATGTCTAAAAACTGTATTTTACGTCAATAACTAATAAACGTATTAAATAAAGTTAGATTGTTAAATTTTTTGCTGTTGTCTTTGTTGTTAATCTGTAATAAAAAAAGGTTCTCATTATAATTTGATCTCTGATTATGATTTGCGAGAATATCTGAGATGGGTTGGTGTTGGTTGGTTGGTTGGATCATATTAAAAAAAGTTGTGAGCAAAACTTCTAAATGCTCTAAGCTTGACACGTGGAGCTAAAACAGACGTCCAAGTAGCTTTCTCACTATTTCAAAGTTGGTTGGACTTTTTCTCATGATTATTAAATCACACTCAAAAGAGGAAGAAAATGTAAATGACTCGAGGCCAAACACCAAACAAAAGTCTTCAAAATATATTTTTAGAAAATCATATGATTATGTTGACAAAAAGAAAAAGTAAATGGTATGATTAGTGTTTTTAATCTTCTTGAGAAAATGATTACGTTTGTTAAAGGAAGAGTTAGGCTGATGATTTTATAGTAAAGTTAGCTTGTGTGTTTTCTTTAATCATTGTTTCTAAAGAAACATTACCAATAATGTTGACATGATATCATATATCACCACCATTATTAGAAATAGTTTATGGAATGCAATATTATAGAAGAATAATTAAATGTATCGACAAGAATTCACACATACACATATTCGCAAATGTCATGTATGTGGTGCCTATTGTAGATTTGTAGGTATTATATGGTGGGGACGTGTTACCATTTATATTAACATTAATGATGGTCTTGACTCTTTTGTGGACCTAATCATGATGCAAACATACATCAATGCTGCTTATATAATATACTTATATGTCTATGTCGCGCACACAACACCCACACATATAAACGGTGGAAATTTATCGAATGATATGCTCATCATTGTGTATATTATATTTATACGTACAATATGTCATTTGTGTATGTATATGTACGTATAAATCAATGTATATGCTTACCAGAGAAGCCTGATATATACATGAAAATAATTGCTAGAGTTATTAGAAATGATGAACCTAGAGAGTTCATTGAGACATCCGAGAATCTCTCCTTTTTGAAAGATATAGTCTAATCAATAACATTTTAATAAAATAATGGCAATTTGCACCAATTTGATAATCTAACCATATATTCTTTGTCGGGTTGATAATCTGAAAGGACATTATATTAAAATATTTAATAATTAATTCTATATGAAAATATAAACAAATCATTCCCTTAGAATCTTGACAACCAATAAATCATACCCTATATGAATAAATTAATTATATAGTGATTAGAGAAATATATATTGTATTCTTCGAAACATTTGCTCAATCCATGTGAGATTGTGAGGTAAACTCTACGCGCCTGCATAACAAGGTATATTATTTCACGGATTATACATCGTATAATTGGTTTTTTTTTATTTTAACTATAGTAGTTGAAATATACAGTAAACTATAATAAAGTAACTGCAGTAGTTAAGATTTTAATTTAACCATAGTCAACAAAATTGAGGTTGATTGATGGATAATACTCTTTAATGATAATCTCGACTTACGAGCCTCTTTTTTTTTTTTTTTTTTTTTTTTTTTTTTTTTTTGATAACGAGCCTCTTCAGTCTTCACATAAGTTTAGGTTTTGAAATTAGAATAATGCTTCCCCGGCGGGGTAAGAAAGTTCAAAAGCAAATCTAATTACATATTTTACTTCACTATAAGTCTATAATTAATGACTTCCAACCACAATAGCAACATTAGTTCAATTGCCTTTTAACCATTTAGATTCTTAGTTAGCAGGGGAGAAAGAAATAGTAGAGATGATATACGACCAGTGTTCCCCAATCCACAAAGACATCAAGAGATTTGTTGTCTTTTCACTCACAAATTATTAAAGTTAAACATCAAATTATTATTTATAGAAAACGACCACTGATCAACACCTTTGTTCTAAAAATCGGCCGCGGCCGCCTAGTCGCTGATCGGGTGGGGACCGCGGCGATTTTGTCCAAATCGGTAAAAAAAATCGGTGATCCGATTTTTGTCCGCCTAGACCGCCTAGACGGCGCCTAGCCCAATTTTTTTTTTTTTTTTTTATTTTTTTTTCTTTTTTTGGATCTAAAATTCAAAACGTCCCACTTATATTCATAATTTGTATAAAAATCATAAGTTTGACCTTAAATTTTTGTTTTCATGTGTTTAATACAATTTTAAAAACAAGATTATATAAATTTCTTATTTATAATGGATTAATATATTTTAAAAACGTTAAATAGCCCTAAAACTAATCCCCGATTAATCCCCGTGTAATCTCCGATTTTTTTGCTAGGCGCTAGGCGCACCCTCACCGCCCGACTAGCGCCTAGCGATTTTTTGAACACGGATCAACACTAGTATCATTTCTCTTTTCTTTTCTGTTTTTTTTTTTTTTTTTTGCATTATTCTAATGCCTACCTTATTTTACACACCCAACAAAAAATCTATCAAATTTCTAAATCCCAACCTTAAATTATGCGTTCAAGAAGAAAACAAAAGAATGTGATTAAATATGTTTTAATACATCATTGTCTCCTATGTTTGTTTATAATCACTTCTAAATATCTTCTTAAAACCGTAAGTCACATAGACCATGATATTATTAGAGGTTTATGTTTGAGTTGCTTCACCATTCAGATTCAAACCTGTATAATAAATATTTTTCAAAGAGACAAATAAATTTAGTTACATAAGAAGATAATTAAAACATATATAAAAAATTATCAAAGCAAAATAAGAAGTTCAAAATAAATGTGCATGTAGTCTTATTCAAAAAAAATATTAATATTTTATTTTTATTTTGAAAAAATGATTTTTGATAAATCTTGTGTACTCATTGTCATATGGACAATCAATTACTTCCATTACATAATTGGTCATAAAAACCAGAAGACTATTGCCCTATGGAGAGAAAGCAGAAGAAGAGAATCTTCCAAAAATGTTAAATCTTGAGAGACAAATAAAGCATAGCAAAGCAAAGTTCAAAGTCCAAAGTCCAAAGTCCAAAAACAAAAACAAAAACAAAAAGGTTTCTTTATTTTGTTTAATAAGAAAAAGAAAATACTTTTTTTTTTAAAGAAACAGTGAGAAATAAATAGCAGAGCAAAGAGAAAGATCGGAGAAAAGAATCTTTTTAGGCTCTCTCTCGCAGACTTCGCACTCACACACTCACTTCCATTACTCCAAAAAAGTGAGCTTTTTTTTTTTTTTTCCTTTTTCCTTTTTTTTTCTGATCATCTTCTTTGCATCTAATGTAACTGTAGAATCTGACCAACTTTCAGTGACCCAAAGTTTTGTTTTTTATTTTCATTTTTCCTCGAGCTCTGTGTTCTGATCTTGCTTGTATCAGTGTAAGCTCTTTCTTAAGCTTTTTTTTTTTTTTTTTTAATTTTTCTAACTATAAGACATGATTTCTGACTACTAGAGATCATATTTATGACGCATTTTGATTATTTTCTGTGGTATTTTTCCTTATTTTTGTTGTTGTTACGGCATGGGTTTGTCTGCATATAAGCTGTTTGAGGTTTTGTGAAATTTGTTCTTTTGATTTCAGATTTTAGCCTCCACTAATTTGTGTCTAGGGTCTGAGATCTACTTGTTCTGTTCCCAGTTTTGTAAAAAGGAAACCTTTACCTGAGATTTTTGGTTTCTTTTAATGTTTGAAATGAATGATCTTTGATTAAAGATTTGGTCTTTTGTTAAATCAGATGAATCAAAGTTCTGATCTTTGATGTGTTTTTACTGTTGCAGACATTGCATCTACTTCACTTGCTGTAGAGAGTTTATATAAACCCAAGAAATATGGTATCAAGATCTTATTCAAACCTCTTGGATCTTGCTTCTGGTAATTTCCATTCGTTTTCTCGGGAAAAGAAGAGGTTTCCAAGAGTAGCAACTGTCACAGGTGTCTTATCTGAGCTAGATGATGATAACAACAGCAACAGTGTCTGCTCTGATGCTCCTTCTTCAGTCACGCAAGATCGAATCATCATCGTTGGAAATCAGCTTCCTATTAAATCACATCGAAACTCCGCGGGTAAATTGAGTTTTAGTTGGGACAATGACTCGCTTCTCTTGCAGCTTAAAGACGGTATGCGTGAAGATATGGAAGTTGTCTACATTGGTTGTCTTAAGGAACAAATCGATGCAGTTGAGCAAGATGATGTTTCTCAAAGGTTGCTTGAGAATTTCAAATGTGTTCCTGCTTATATCCCACCTGAGTTATTCACTAAGTACTATCATGGATTCTGTAAGCAACATCTATGGCCTTTGTTTCACTACATGCTTCCTTTAACGCCTGATCTTGGTGGTAGATTTGATCGTTCTTTATGGCAAGCTTATCTTTCGGTTAACAAGATCTTTGCGGATAAAGTGATGGAAGTGATTAGTCCTGATGATGATTTTGTTTGGGTTCATGACTATCACTTAATGGTTTTGCCTACATTCTTAAGGAAGAGGTTTAATAGAGTAAAGCTTGGTTTTTTCCTTCATAGCCCGTTCCCTTCCTCTGAGATTTACCGTACTCTTCCAGTGAGAAACGAGCTCTTACGTGCACTCCTCAACGCGGATTTGATTGGGTTTCATACCTTTGACTATGCAAGACACTTCCTTTCTTGCTGTAGCAGGATGCTTGGTTTATCCTATCAGTCCAAACGTGGAACCATAGGGCTTGAGTATTATGGTCGAACGGTTAGTATCAAGATTCTTCCTGTGGGGATTCATATCAGCCAGCTTCAGTCAATTTTAAACCTCCCAGAGACTCAGACAAAAGTTGCTGAGCTTAGAGATCAGTTCTTGGATCAGAAAGTTCTTCTCGGTGTCGATGACATGGACATCTTCAAAGGAATCAGCCTCAAACTCTTGGCAATGGAACAACTTCTCACACAACATCCCGAGAAGAGAGGTCGAGTTGTACTTGTCCAGATTGCAAACCCTGCAAGAGGTCGTGGGAAAGACGTTCAGGAGGTTCAGTCTGAAACTGAAGCCACGGTTAAAAGGATCAACGAAATGTTTGGAAGGCCGGGCTACCAACCCGTGGTTCTGATTGATACACCGCTTCAGTTCTTTGAGAGGATTGCTTACTATGTGATTGCAGAGTGTTGTCTTGTTACAGCGGTAAGAGATGGTATGAATCTTATACCTTATGAGTACATTATCTGCAGGCAAGGCAATCCGAAACTCAATGAGACTATAGGCCTTGACCCTTCTGCTGCAAAGAAGAGTATGCTTGTTGTCTCTGAGTTTATTGGATGTTCTCCTTCTTTAAGCGGCGCCATTAGAGTGAATCCGTGGAACATTGATGCTGTAACTGAAGCAATGGACTATGCATTGATAGTTTCAGAAGCAGAGAAGCAGATGCGTCATGAGAAGCATCATAAATATGTGAGCACACATGATGTTGCGTATTGGGCGCGCAGCTTTATACAAGATCTTGAAAGGGCTTGTGGGGATCATGTGAGGAAGAGGTGTTGGGGGATAGGTTTCGGGTTAGGCTTTCGAGTTGTGGCGCTTGATCCGAGTTTTAAAAAGCTTTCGATTGAGCACATTGTCTCAGCTTATAAGAGAACCAAGAACCGAGCCATTTTGTTGGATTATGATGGCACAATGGTGCAGCCAGGGTCCATTAGGACAACACCAAGCCGTGAAACAATCGAAATCTTGAACAACCTGTCTAGTGATCCCAAGAATATCGTGTACCTCGTCAGCGGGAAAGACAGAAAGACACTAACCGAATGGTTTTCTTCATGTGATGATCTCGGTTTGGGTGCAGAGCACGGGTACTTTATAAGGTAACGCTTGGTTTCACATTTCCTTAAATTACTAAGAGCACTTGAAAGTATCGATTTTTGGATATAAAGTAAGGTTGTTTTTTCTTTATCTTCTTGAATTTTATTAAGATTACTTGAAAGATCAATCTTTTGGATATAAAGTTACGATTTTTCGTATGGGATTTCTTGATTTTCAATAAGATTACATGAAAAGATCCAACTTTGGGATATTAAAGTTGTGGTTTTACATTTTGCGGCTGCTTTCATATCTTCTTGAAAAGATCAAACTTTTGGATGATAAAGTTATGGTTATTGCACATGGAACTGCTTTCATATATTTTTTCAGTCTCATTATTGAAAGATGGATGTTTTGGATATTTTTGTTCATGATGGGGACAGGCCAAATGATGGAACAGACTGGGAAACGTCGAGTTTGGTATCGGGTTTTGAGTGGAAACAAATAGCAGAGCCAGTGATGAGACTGTACACAGAGACTACAGATGGATCAACAATAGAGACTAAAGAGACTGCTCTCGTTTGGAATTACCAATTCGCAGATCCTGATTTTGGATCTTGTCAAGCCAAAGAGCTTATGGAACACCTCGAAAGCGTACTTACCAATGATCCAGTCTCTGTCAAGACTGGACAACAACTCGTTGAAGTTAAACCACAGGTCAGACGTTAAAAGAGTTGGTTTATTGTCTGTTTTCTCTTTTCAAATCTCAAGTTTCAAGCATGAAAGTTCTGATAGCTAAACTTTTTTGTTGTTCCGATAAATATAAACAGGGTGTGAACAAAGGTCTTGTGGCGGAGAGGCTTCTAACAACGATGCAAGAAAAAGGGAAACTTTTGGATTTCATTCTCTGTGTCGGTGATGATCGGTCCGATGAGGATATGTTTGAGGTGATAATGAGTGCAAAAGATGGTCCAGCTTTGTCTCCTGTGGCTGAGATATTCGCTTGCACCGTCGGACAAAAGCCAAGCAAAGCAAAATATTATTTAGACGATACAGCGGAGATAATCAGAATGCTTGAAGGTCTAGCCGCCACCAACACAACTACCTCTGATCAAACCGGTTCAACGGCCACTGTTCCAACTAAAGATCTGTTTTAAGGATTTGTGAACGAAAGTTTTAGTTTTGTTGTTGTGATTTGTGAATGCTTTTCAAATATAATGGATTAAGGTAACCAAATCTTCTTGTGTCACAGGGCTATGCATAAGAACCGAAAGAGGAAGAGAAAGAAGTTAGCAAATTAAATCTTATGTATTAAGATGTAAAGTAGAATCAAACTATAGTTTGACTCTAAATAAGAGTGGTGACCAAATAGAACCTACTAATACTAGAGTGGCTAAGATAATATCTAGGATCCCAAATTCATTTGGTCTCAAAAGGGGGCATTTGGTTCTCCTGCGCGGATGAGGATATGGAAGGGTTGATTTCAGAGGAAGTGGTGCTAAATTTTCAAAGAAAGAAGATATAACAGTAGTGTCTGCGGAGAGATAGAGAATCTCGTTTTTCCTTGGATAATACTTGAAGAGTCTCTTGTGATTATCATAGAAGACAATATTTCCTTGCTTAGAAACCGACACCGGGGTGAACCACCTGTTCTGCCTTTCCAGGGAAGCAACTCTATTCTCTAAATGTATGGAGTAAGTCTTGGTCCACGTTTTTACTTCTGCATCCATGCTCCAAATCTCTAGTTTCCATTCAGCCTTAGTATCGGTATTCGCTATGGTCAGGCGGTCTTCAAGGTTCACTATATGAGTTTCTTGCGTGACACTCATAGCCGGAACCAAGACATTATGGAACTCTTCTTTGTGAAGATCCAAGGCTAGTATTTTGCAAACCCTATCAATAGTGTTGTGTAACCAATAAATCGATCCATTCACACACACGGATCTTTTTACAGCAGAGACCTTACAAGCAGTGGCGGAGGCAAGTGTAGTGGAGGGGGGTCAACTGACCCCAACAAAATTTAATTATCCTTTATGTTTTTTAAGAAATTGTAACATTGACCCCACTGAAAATTTAACAATGACCCCTATAAATTTGATTTCAACTCATGCTTTACTTAAAAAGACAGAAAACCCACATTTTTCTAGCTACAAAAAGATTTGGTCCTTTAGATTAAATCTAAATACATAATACGATAATTAATGTCATGTAAATTTTTTAAAAATTTTCAATGTTTTTTTTGTTTTGTATAATTTTGACCCCAATGAAAGTTCGTCCTAGCTCCGCCACTGCTTACAAGGAGGTGGACTCAACATCCGCCATTCACCAGTTTCAACATCAAGAACACTATATTCCACCTCAGGATCTCGCACCCTAATCTTACTGAGAGATAATAAACACATCTTCACTACTTTATAGCTTCCGGTAACTTTGTCTCTACCAAATCCCATTGCCCAATTTCCCGGAGAGAAAGCCGACCATACTCCAAATATGGTTCCAAATCCGAATCCGTATCGCCGGAGTTGCCTTGTCCAGGGGTTCAAAACGTCGATCCAATGTGGTTCGAGAATGCAGACCAAACCGTCGCAACTCAACGAGGGTCGTGCGGCGTTGCAGTGCATATAGACAATCTCTTCGTTTCCTTTGCACCGTGACGACCCGGGGAGGAGCCTAGGCTCCCAGCCGCATTTGCAGTTGTAAGCAGCCAGGATTTTGCGCTTCTTTTGAAGAATCATTCGTCTCTCGACGAACGTCTTCGATTCAAGAATTGATCTCCATCGTTTTGAGACGCTTTTCGATATGAGAATGGATTTTAAGGGAAGTCGAAGGAATATAGCTTCCAGTAGATCGGAAACTATGTCGATCGAACTAGGGTTTTTCTCTTCTTCCTCCATTTTTGTGCCTGCTTTTTCTTTGTTATCTTTTTGTTAGAGATATCGCGAGATGGACATTTATATATATTTCCTTATTGGTGAATAGTTAGATTTTTTTTTTATTAAACTTGTAAATCAAGTTATGTTTCTGTAATCGGCCAATGTTCCATAGAGTTGTATCATTAGAATGCTCGTATATATTGGTCCAAAATATTGTTATTATTAAATGGGGACTAATAGAAAGGTGATTACAATGTGTTTCTTACACAACAAAAGGTGATTACAATTTTTTACACAACAACCAAACCAAATAAGAACAAATACAAACATTAATATTCCTTTACAAGAAAAAAATAAAACTATAAAATCAATAATTAATAACAAAAAAATTATTGGTCAATTTGAGGTGAAAGCTTTTTTTGAACATTCCTACTTCAGCTATCTTTCTCCCAGCTCGACCCCGGTGGATGCATCGTTGCAACCAGCCAAGGTGTCACTGCGTGATCAACTTTAGATTGATCGAAGTAGAGCACCAAAAATCTTGGTCTCTTATCGAAGTAGAATGTAAAACGAGAATTATATCAATATATACACTCTTGATCTCTTATTGAAGTAGAATGTAAAAAGAGATTTGTATCAATACATTTTAGTATGATTTAACTAAATTCTCAAGAGACAACTTGAAAAAAAGCTGAGCACTAAATTTCATTTCCATTTTGATCATCTCTAGATCGTCTCTTTCGACATTTTTCAGGAAAATCTCTACAACATCTGTACAACAAATGAATTTTTAATGAGGATATGTGTCTTTTCTTGGCAGTAGCAAAGTCTCAAAAGAAATTTTCTCACTCATTGCGAGAAATTTCCTCAAAAGAAGTTTCTACCTCTCTTCACAATCATCAAACCACGTAAAACTAACAACAGAATCGGTTGATTGTGAGAAAACAAATCAAATTTTTATTCCCTTGATACAAAATCAATAAAGGAGCAATTCATTTGGTTTTCCAAAACAAGCAACTACACAGAATCAATTTAATTTTTTTGATTAATCTTCCTAAACATTCATAAATTAAAACACAAATTTAAAACACGAACCTAATTTTATTTTCTTCCTTCCATCTTCTTCTTCTCTTGCTTTTTCTTCCGGATGATATTATAACACTTCTCGAAACCAACTTCTTCATAATCCCACAAAATACACAAAAAAAATTCATTCATAACTATTTTGTTAATATGTTCGTTGTCAGTTATATATTTCATAAAGGAATTTACATCGACATCTTTTTCATTTGAATGTATATGGACAAAGTCTCAAAAGAAATTTCCTCACTCATTGCGAGAAATTTCCTCAAAAGAAGTTTCTACCTCTCTTCACAATCATCAAACCATGTAAAACCAACAATAGAATCAGTTGATTGTGAAAACACATAATCAAGTTTTCATTCCCTTGATACAAAATCAATAAAGGAGCAATTCATTTGGTTTTCCAAAACAAGCAACTACAAAGAATAAATTTGTTTGATTAATCTCCCTAAACTTTCATAAATTAAAACACAAATTTAAAACACTAACCTAATTTTATTTTCTTCCTTCCATCTTCTTCTTCTCTTGCTTCTTCTTCCAGATAACATTATAATACTTCTCGGAACCAACTTCTTCCTCATCCCACAAAACACACAAATTCTTTTTCATTCATAACTATTTTGCTAATATGTTCGTTGTCAGTTATATATTCCATAAAGGATCCTACATCGACCTCTTTTTCATTCGAATGTATATAGGCAAAGAATAAGCCATCTCTATTAGGGAATATGACACCCATCGCAGTCACAATGATTAAACTTCACAAGATCACTATGAGGTGGGAGGTAAAACACTTTCACGACTTCTTCCATAAACTCTTCAAAGACATGTTATTTGGTATCTTCTTTGGTAAGAGGCTTTTCTTTTCCCTTCTCTGTCATGAATTATGTGGTATGAGGCCTCTCTTATTGAAGTAGAACTAGAATGTAAAAAGAGAATTGTATCAATACATTTTTGATCTCTTATCTCTATCAATACATCTTAGTATGATGAAACTAAATTCTCATGAGATAACTTGAAAAAAAGCTGAAAAAACTGAGCACTAAATTTTATTTTCATTTTCATCTCTTTCGACATTTTCTAGGAAAATCTTTACAACATCTCTACAACAAAGGAAATTTGTTGAGGATATGTGTCTTTTCTTGGCAGTAGCAAAGTCTCTCCCCCCCCCCCCCCCCCTTCTCCTTTGTGGTATCTTATAATGAGCTTTGTGTTATTCTCTGTGGTAGCAAAAGTCCTCACTATCGAACACTTGAGATGTTGAATGTGCATCTTCTTCTTCTTTGTTATGCTTGTGTTTGGTTGAAATTTTTTGATCAATTAGTGTTAAATGGAAAAAAACAGAACAAAAAATAAATAACCTAAAGGAAACCATGATGAATAGAGGAAGAGATAAGGTAGAAGATCAATAAGAAAAAATAGTTAGAAAAAGTGACTAAGATGAAACATAAATCTCATTGAATCCTATACTATTATTTGGGGAGTACACTTTATAAGATACCCTTAACTAACCTTCCCTTTTGTAAGAATTTACTTAAGAATGCCATTAGAAATAAAATTTTATAGAGTAAATTAATTCAACTCATTAAGGATAAACAAGTCAAATACTATTTTATGCAATTTAATTAATTTAATTTAATTATAAAAACGAAAATCTATTATTAATTTTTTTTTAAAGAATGACCAATCAAAATGAACATATAAGATTTGATATCTAACTTATCACATTAATTTGTTATTAATCATTATACTACACCTCTCATTTTTATATTATTCTATTTCTATAAAATAAATAAATTATTATATCATCTACATAATAAAAAAAAAGTAAATTTTTTCCGCATATACAAAGATTTGAATTTTTAAAAACGAATATAAATTGTTCAATGTATGAAAGAACAAATTTAACGGGTCAAAAATTCATATTTGAGTAATATATTCCTTTTTTTTTAATATCATCAATACTTAATAGATCAAAAAGTTAAGAAATATAAATACTCTAATTTGATTTTTTGAAACAAATATTTATAATAGGCGGCGGGTTAAATATAATGTATTATATGATGAAATGAGTTATGATTTTTATAACTATTTAAATATTTATATTTAATTTCATATATATATATATATATATATATTTTTAAATTCATAATTTTACATACTACAATAAAAATTTTAAAGATTTTAATTTGGAACATTTGAAAAAAGTTTAATTTAATATATTAAAGAATATCATAAATATTTAATAGATTAAAAAGATAAAAAAAATTATAAATACTAATTTGATTTTCTAAAAAGATATGTTTAATATATTTATAGTAGGCGGCGGGTTAAAAGTAATGTATTATATGATAGAAAGTTATCATCCTTATAATAGACGACATTTTAAGATTTTATGATGAGATGAGTTAAATAAGGTTTGAAACTTCTAAATATTTGAAATTTTAATTCTGCAAGCAATTTTGGAAATAATGAATAATAGATTGTGCCACAATATTTTCATAGGGATTGTAAAATGAAAATATAGACTCCACACACGGATCGAATTTGGTATTATTATATACCAAATATATGTTCATAACATATTCGATTATGTGAATAATTGGTAAATTCCGTAATTAGCTCAAACAAATCTCTATTTCAACAACCAATGAATTAGAATTTGAAAAAAGTAATTTCCTAAATTAATTCAAAATAATAGCTAGCTTTTTTAACTAATTCAAAATAATCTACGTTTTAGATGCGATTCATTTATGATATTTTGATTTTTGATCTAACTAAATTATATGCACTCTCATTTTGTGGTTGTTAACATAAATTAACTCATTGTTCAAACAATATTATTTTTTTTGAAAATAATATTATTTTTCGCTTTCATATTTTTTAAAAATATATTCATAATTGAGGATTACAGAAAAATAAAAATATATTCATTCTAATATTATATATATGGACTGACATAAAAAATTAATATTTTTTTACTTACTATTATAATATGTCACGATTTTATTTTATAACTATATAATATATAAATTTTATAATAAATGAAATTCAACTCGTACTGTAGTACGGGTGATGATCTAGTTAGTATGTATGAGTATTCAAAAAATGCAATCCTTGAAACGTGAGAAAGCCAGTGTTATATATACAATTTCCTTTTAAGGTGTAATACTGTAATGATAATATGACTTAACCAGATCCATGTTTCAAGATTTCTTCTCAACTACTCCATCAGTTTTTAAAAAACAAAATTGATATTAAGTGACAGATCTGTTGATTTAATTTTTTATATAGAATATTTTGTCTTCGTTCATAGAGAGAAAATAGTGCGTAGGCTGCAAATAGTTGTCTCAAGATGAATGGTTGAAAAAATTTCAGTTGAAAAAATTTAGTTAAATATCATTCAACTCATTCCTTGCAAAAACATATGCAAATGGTTGACTTAAAATAAGAAGTTGAAAGAGTTGAATGACCATTCATCTCATTTTTTACCATTTGAGATGAATAAGTTGGAAAATTAATTTAACTCATTCAACTAAAAAAAATTGGAAAACTAATTCAATTATAAAAAAAATTGTTCAATCCATTTATCTACTATTTCGCAAATAAAAGAATTGAATGATGTTCAACTTTTTTTTTCAACTCAAATTTTTCCAATTATTCATCTACATGCAATAATATGGACCCATGAATAAGTAGTGGAATGACCATTCATATCATTTTTACCATTTGAAATGAATAAATTGGAAAACTAATTCAACCCATTCAACCAAAAAAATTAGAAAAATAAACAAACTATAAAGGAAAATTGTTCACTTATTCATTTACTATTTCACAGAGGAATGAGTTGAATGATGTTTACTCAAATTTTTCTAATCATTCATCTACATGCAACCATTTGAACCCTTATTTGAACACTTTTCTTTTACAATTTGTTCATTTTTTAAAAAATTTCAAGTTAAATGTGTTGAATCATTATTTTTTTTTTAACTTTTTCATCTCAAATGATAAAATGGTAGATAAATATTTATTCAACTTTTTTAGCTTTTTTATTTACGTCAATCATGGATTTAAAACTCTTCTATCTTAAAATGGAAATACATATTCGACTTATTAAAAGTTATTAAGCTAACAACGAAACCAAGAAGCCTAATTCATTAAGCCCATGAAGAAATTGAACAGCTCAGGCAAAAAGAAAACAAGTAAGTCAAAAATATTTTATTTTTGTGTATTACAATAATACACACTATATGGTCCATATCATGCCATGAATAAAATCTTGTATAAAATAACTATATAACTGTACTTCGCATCTATCCATATTTGATTATTGAAGGCACACAAAACATTTAACCTATAAATTAAAGAAAATCTTATTTATAACTTATACTATACCAAAAAATAAATCAATTTCTGTCTAAAAAATTCATCAAAACTCAGTTGGGAATATATATTTTTAATGGATATTATTTATCGATTCGAAGTTGTTGAAAATTAATATCCGTCAGATTAAACTATTAACTAATTGTCTTTATCAAAGTATTTCAAACCTGCATAATGCTTTTTGGGCAAAACTAAAAAAAAACTTCTAAAAAAATCTTTAAACAAAAAAACTAAAAATACAACATTCAACATAATTTCGTATGAAGAATACAGTAATCGTGTGTTTGGATTATCATAACTCAATAATTAAAAAAGAATACCATCTCTTGTTATTTAACATCTTTACTTAGTGGTAAACAGGTATAGACTATACCTATTAACATGCCCAAATTTAACATCCCTAGGTATAGTTTTTATTAAACTTGTGAATCAAGTTATATAGAGTTGTTTGACTGTATAATTAGACTGATTGATCCAAAATATTGTTATTAAATGGGAAGATATAGAAAGGTCAAAGGATTACAATGTGTTTCTTTACACAACCAAACCAAAAAAGAACAAGTACAAACATTACTTTGCAAGAAAAGAAATACAAATCAATAAATAATAAGAAGAAAAAAATATTAATCGAATATCTTTGTATATGTATTTTCTTAAAAACAATGAGTATAATACTGAAACAAAATCCATTTCTACGATGGGACGGGTGACGATGTGGGCGACGTTAAGCTGCAAATTTAATAGTAACACTCTGTCAATAAACATTTTAATTTGAGAAAGTACTTTGTGTTACTATATATTAAATATCATATACTATAAATCAATGTGGAAAAAGATCTTACTCTAAGAAACTTTTCCAGCAAGAATCACTTGTTTCATCATCAAGGAACTTCTCCCAGTCCTCTAGGACATCTACACCGGATGAGTGTTGAGACGTACCGGGATGGTTCAACCCGGTTGTCTGAGGAGAGACCGATACCGAACCAGATGGGATTTCACGTAATTGATCACCATAATAACCGGGCATCATACCGGCTCCGGTGTAATCATTTACCTTGGTGGTAGTACTGGTATCCGGTTTTGCTGTATTCAAACTCTCTTGAGAAACCGTAACCAAACCAGGAAGCTGGTTATCTTCAAAACCATCCCAAACATTTTCATAAGATGGAACCGAGGTGGCCTCAGGAGTGATTCCACTTTGGTTTATGAAAACCAGTGGATCAACTGAATTCAGTTGTCCAGCCGGGTGATCCGGTTTAGGATTCATTGAATTGGTATTGAAGCTATTGACTACCGGTTCCGGTTTAGGATTCACAGAACTGGTCTTGAAGCTATTGATGTTTGGTATGGCTTTGGGGGTTATGATTTGAAGCATTTTATGGATCAATTGGAGTTTAAGAAGATCTTCCAAAGCAGTGTTATTGTTGAAGACGTTATTGTTACCAAATTGGCCATTGTTGATTGCCGCGGCTAGCATTTGAGAAAGGTCGAGGATAGGGCTAAGATCGTTGGTTCTTGGCTCGTGCGTCATTGGATCAATCCCCATTTGCATCAACTTCTTCCTCATATGAGTGTTCCAATAGTTTTTAATTTCATTATCGGTTCGTCCTGGAAGATGACACGCAATTTTCGACCATCTGTATAGTAAAAGTTTGGTTATTCAAACGCTAGTAAAATGAACCAACGAAAAATTAACCTTTCGTATGGTTTGAGAATCGTAAACTAAAGTTTAGAGTTTAGACTATAGTACTCTTGTGCATGTGAATTCTATAATAGCAATAATATATATATATATATATATATATATAATGGTCCAAACGTTAAAAAAATGTTTGCGTACCGTACATAAATATTAAATGAAAAACTGTAAATGTTATCTATTTTAAATTTTGAAAACCACATGTAAACGGAACCACATAAATTACCCCTGAAACAATCGAGACCAATCATTTAGTGCTATCAATAGCATAAAAATTTTAAATAGAAACAAAAAAGAAGTCTTACTTGTTGCCAAGAAGGGCATGGAGTCTAACGATAGTACTCTCTTCTTCATCGGAAAATTTGCCTCGCCGGATATCAGGACGGAGATAATTCATCCACCGGAGCCGACAGCTCTTGCCACAGCGGTTAAGTCCAGCGAGCTTAGGAAGCGAACGCCAATTCCCATAACCGTTCTCGTTTATATAAGCAGTGAGCTTATCATCTTCTTCTTGCAGCCACGGTCCTTTCTTCACGCCTTTGTCTTGATCGCAACACGGTGATCTTCCCATTTTGTTTATACCAAAGAACCCTAACTTGTCAAAGGTTTTTGAAGATATGAGATCTTCTTTGTTTCGTCGCTCCCTACGATCAAGTTTGTATGTATATATAGAGATATGTGAAAAGCAGCCATGACATAACTAAAGTAAAGTTGTGTATGCATTCGTCAGAATTTGATGTAAATATTATTTTTCATAGTGTGTCATAAGTCTACAATATATGAGTCATTCAATAAATCAGTTAAATAACTAAAATAATTATAACAAAATCAAGATTAGGTAATGATAATATGATATGTGTCATGGCGTTCGAACTTCGAAGAGTAATTCGTGGGGATGATGTTCAAAGAAAGAATGTATTAAAAGCATAAAAATAATTGTTAAAGGATTTTGTTATTGTGAGTTAGATGTATAAAATATTTGCCCTAGCTATTAGAAAAAAATGTGGATATTCCCTCATAGAATATTTTTTGCCAAATTTCTTACACACTTTTACTTGTATATACAATCACAAATTATAAACAGTTATTCAAACTAATCTTATTGTAATTCTGTTATAAAAAAAAAACCACATTTCATAAGTTAAACATGCATGCATGTGTTCATTTTTGAATATTTCCCATATATATGTTGCTGACTTGCTATATTTATATTTATAAGAAAAAGTACAAATAAGAATTTGGCTTAAATGCATGATTATAAATTAAACTTGTTAACTACTTTTCTTGAAGGGTATATATAAGTAATATTTAATTAGAAAGCAAAATTATGTTCTCATTGCAAAGTTCATCAAAATTGGAATCTTGTATTTATCATTAAGTGATAGCTTCCACCGCATTCAACGAAATTATCTCTACCTGCTTCAATGTCTCATGGTTGATCAAAGCCTACTCTTTCTCTTCTTTTTCCTCTGTTTGAATTCAAACGAAGATTATTATTCTTCCCCTCGTCGAAACCAAAACCTCGTTTTTGCCTGCCGTTCTGAATTTCAAAGTCACATAAAAAATTACCTATGCTATATTTTAATTTTTTTTTTGTTTAATTGTTTTGTAATTTTTTTGTACGTTAAAATGTTAAAAAAAACTACGTGAAACTCTCTTTAGTATAGGTTATCTCAAATTTCTGTTTTATGTATACACAAACTTATATCATTTGGATGATTTGTTTAATACGAGAATTGCGAATTGATTTACATTAATAAAGGAAATGGATAGCTTTTTCGATTGATTAATTTAATTAAAGAACTTCTCTCGAGGGTTCCAAACATTTACTCGATAGCGTGAGGAACACATAAACTACAAAGTGGATTATATTAGAAGGTGTAACTATAAAGTTGGTATTATACTATTGGATCCTTGGAAAAATCTTACATATAATAGAATCTTTGTTGTCTTCAAAGGAATGAGAAGGATCACGACAAACTAGAAAAAACATAAAACGAAGTTTCCTACGGTTGGAGAAAATGTTTACTATAATTTTTAATAATGAGGTTTCACTCTCACAGAAGATCTTTTTTATATACTTAATTACTATTTTTGACCGTTAAATTACTGTCAATGTGATCAGGCTTGTTTCACATTGTCAAATTAAAACCAAACACTTACCAACTTTCTATTTATCTCGTTGACTATTTAAACAGTCGTATAAAGTAAGGGTTCCATGCATGTAAGTAGCACCATATAGTATAAAATTCCTATGATATATTTATTTGACATTGTCAACGAGTATAGATAAGAAAAGCCTTAAAATTCTATGTAATGTTATTGTTACACGGCTTACGCCACATAGATAATACATTAGTAACGAGTTGGGATCGCTCAATATGTTATAACTTATAAGACAGATTGCTTCTTTGCTATATTGAGCTCAAATTTGAGTGGGAAAGAGACTTTTGTTTTCACTTAATACGAAAAGAAATCAAATTTGTATATGTCAAATGCCAAAAATTTGGTGGATACCCAAAAAAAAAACTCTATAATTATGATGCATGTTAGTTTGGATAAATTTTCTCCTGCGCTTATCTCACTTTCTTGACAAGGAAGTATATAATTGGGTAGATGGGAAAATTTTGGAAAAATCAGTTAACTTGTAAACTTATATGAACGACCAAAGGTTATAGTCTATACGTAAATATAGAATAAAACAAGAGTTTAAAATAAATAAACATAATTGCATAAAATATCAATTTGCAAAAGTTTCTAAATAGTGTCCTATACTAAAGCGAAACATCCGTGATCGTGTCTCTTGGAGACGTATATGTTTGGTTATTTCCAGCAAAACAAACATTAATTGTCATATTATATGTTGTCCTTACATAACGAATCCATATATATAAATTCTAGAACACCTAAGAAATAGTCAAAATAATTTTCAATAAGAAAAGGTTAAACAATAAAAATGTGAATGCGCGTTTTTCTTACATACAATTACAGTAGATATGCTATTAAAATTATACGTGTTCTTCTATTACATTTGAACGAGGGAAATCGAGAAGGAAAAGAGTTCATGTAATATTTCTTAATTCATTGCGTTTATAGATATGTATATCACAATTGGCTTGTGTTTTTCGAAATAAAACAATATGTTTTTGAGCTTAAGAGAAAAATAGTATGACTAGAAAACGTTGTTTGATATAACTGATCCAAAATAAGTTCGACTTTTGGTTGAACCCAAATTAAAACCTTGTATTTTGTTGATTTATGATCAAAATATGTTTAATTTATACACACTAGATCTATTAAAAAATAGTCAAAAGAGTAAAAAAAAATATAAACAAGTATTTATTCTTTTGTATGTCGTTGGCGACACAACATAAAGACTGAAAGAACCGTGAAAAATTGCCGTTGAGTCACCGCGTCGGTGAAAATGGAAGAAGGAAAATTTAGCAACAACAGTGTCACCAGCAACATAAAATCTGGAGAAGATATTTTTTCACAACAAAAATCAAACGACAAAACAAGAGGAAAATGGATGTAATTTTCAGTCGCCAAAAAGAACAAGGCAGCCTATATTTGCTGAAAAGATTGAAAAAAAAACGACGGCATACATAAATTAAGAGTTTTATCATTAATTGAAAGAGTACAGAAAAAACAAAAATATGTATTGAAGGTCGAACACATTACCTCCTAAAGGTTGTCGAGTGACGACCACATTTATCATTTTGGTCGGAATAACAATTCACGATTCACATTTATCAATTATTTTTAAATTGAATTAGTTCCTCACCTAAAGTCAGTTTAATTAAGAAAATAATTCTCTGTATACATAAAAGTGAAACCCTAACTCGTGAATCTTTGTTGCAAATCTTTGGATACAGAGAGTTATTTTCTTAAACTGACTTTAGGTGAGAAACTAATTCAATACAAAAGTAATTGAGAGTTTTAAACTAGATTGGGTGATAATTAAGAATTTTATTTTATTTATCAAACGCCTTTTAATTTTTTGTTAGAATTTGTGGAGTTGTAAAACTATAAATATGGTTCGGACGATACTATACTATATATATGACCTAGTTGATGATAGAAAGTGTTAAAGTATCTAATACAATTAGTTGTGTTATTTCCAAACGGTCAGATATGTATACTTCGTTTGTAACAAATTCCAACCAAAATTTTAAAATAACATATGTTTAAATAATTTCCAAGAAACAAAGATTTTGAAGAAAGTCTGGTTCGGCTAAAACTAGTTTGGTTCAGTCAGTTTGTACATAAGTGAAACTGAACTGGTTGCAAGAAACACTATATTTCGATTATTTGATTCGGTTTGGTTCAATCATCTCTTTGGAAGAAGAAAAAAACAAAGCCATGCTGGTTTTGTGGAAAATTGAACCAGAACTTTTTTTGGTCAGAGATAAAGCCTCTTTAATTATAGAAAGCTAAAGGGAAAGTCGAAAGAGCCCACGACCCAATGAAAAGATAAAGCTGTGAATATGCACTATTGAAACCTTTTCTATGAACTAAGCAAACATCAAACGGTGACAAACAAAAAAAAACATCAAACATTATGTAGTACGTGAATATATCTATTTGGCTATTTCTTTCAAAAATGGTTCCGGATCTAAATCAAATATCATATGAACTTTAATATCGAACGTTTGGAATTTGGATATCCTACTTTTCAAAGCAAAGATCCATTGAGGCTATATATGTTAAATTATCTAGAGCCAATATATTCGACGACTAAGATGAAAGTGTAGGTACATGTGGTGATGATGAGGATGATTCATTGCCCATGAATTCTTTTCTTGTTTTGTATATATCGATCTTTTTATCTTTAATAATATGAAAATTTCTTATTATCAGAACCAACTTGAAACTATTAAATTAAACTAAAGTAACCCTGAAGTGTTGCACGCTGTGTCTGTCTCTTTATTGCCTTTAACAAAAGAGAATCCATCTTGATTTCCATCTTACATTATCCTCTTTATATAATAATGGTGTATGTAAATAAGTTTAGCCCACTAAAACTAAAGCAAACTTTTTTTTTTTGCGGGATTTCAAGTTGGATTCAAAAACTATAAGACTTTTAAGATAAGTATATAAATGTTTTTTCAGTTATTAATTTATTCATATTCGCCTTCAAAATGCACCTTTTGCTCCATCTCACAAATTCTTTTTAAGTATATAGCTAGCAAAGTAAGTTTATCATTTTTCTCCTCTATATATATATGTACCACCATTCCTCTTATACCTATATCTCCACAAATTCTTGACCAAAAACAATCGCCACTTTCTCTCTGGTTTCATTCTTTCCCCCAAATGAAATACATACACTTTTGATTTTATTTAAATCAAGACCGACGTATTCGTATAAGCTATCCACCATTCATATTTGAAGGGTTTGTAGACATATATACTATATAGATTTAAAGTCGTGCCTGGCTCCCTGTATGCCACAAGAAAACATCGATTTAGTTACAAAATCGATCACTAGTGGCGTACAGAGTAGTCAAGCATGACCAAATCTTTCTTGATATATATATGAGTACTTTGTCTCCATAGCACAGCATACATATCCATGGATGGTGTCTAATTGTCTAAGCTTTTTGTTATGTACGGATTGTGTTTAGATGGTTCTGTTTTGTGGTACTCGATCGTATCTATACTATTTTTCGAAATTCTTTACTTCAGTAATGTTTGAACCATGTAGTTAGCAGTTACTATATAACTTAGATGTCAACGAGTTGGTAATCCAAAAATGCTAACGGGTTTTATATTCATGTTTTTTGAAATTATTTATGGCGGTAAAAAGTACGTTGAATAATTGTCGAGTTTGTCGGCACTAATTTTTTTTTAAGAAAAAATTTAGCACGTCAAAGAATTATAATCATCATTCTTCTTGGTTTTTTTTTTGGTTTGTTAAAATTTCTTCTTCTTCTTCTTGGTTTTTGTTTTGCATAAGCATAACTAAGCGTCCATTTATTTTCATTTTTACCAATCTTAATCATTTCAGATCTTCTAACCCAGGTCTCTATCAAATACAAATACCGTACCTATTTGGGAGCCCTACCTGTTTAATCACACTCCGAAATTTCGTAAAAGTTGTTAATTACCATATTAATGTTGTAACGGTTCCATTTTCTATTCATTTTGTTGATATCTTGCAAGAATAGCCAGATGGATACATCGTCAAGACCTCAACAAGAGGCTCTCAAGTCTGCTTAGAGTTAAAGCCTTTCTTTAATGGAGCGGGGTTTCAAAAACAGTGCATGCGATGCGTTGTATGTTGTCTTTTCTTGTGTGACAGACGAAGTAGAGAACACAACACATTTGTCTCGCCTACTCATACATTTGTCCGTCCCAAATTTTCTCGATTTTTTTTTTTTTTTTAATGTTTCTTTCCTCAAAATCATCGACACTGATTAGATGATAGATATGTCAGAAGTAAACCTAGGTCTGTAGATATATTAATTAGTATATACAAATTGTATCATTATAATAGCTAGTAACAACAACGGATTTAGATTGGAAGTGGAATGATCATTTGAGCTCAAGTTTTTATTTATCTTTTACTTCTACAGACTTAATTCAGTATTTAGTAGAGTATTCTCTTCAAGTTTTTATTTTTCTTTTACTTCTATTGTATTAAGTATATTAAGTATAGTATTCTCTTCAAAAATCTATGTAATTTACTTTTGTCGTGAAGCAACATAGGCAAAAAAAAATTTTTGGGTCAACAGGCAATTATAAGCTCACATGTCAATGTACCGTTTAAACGTGTTATCTGCCATATTCGGTGGGCGAAGCACCACACTATCAATTATCAAATCAATATTGATTGTAGATTTTTTATATATAATGAATTGTAGATTTGTTGTTAATACTCACAATGAGAGAATTCTATTTTCAAAATACAATGTTGATTGTACAATATAGTAAGATTAGTAGTGCTACTTTTTGCTGCCAAAATATCATCCATCTATTTACTCAACAAATTATCCTCCATATTATAAAAAGAAACAATATTGCTTGCTTATGATTTTTTCTTTGAATGGACTATATATAGTTAGATACTACCAAATGTAATATAATAATATTTAATCATCTACATATCCATAGCTTGCACGAATCATTTAACTTTGGTTATAATTATGTTATACTTATGCAGTTATGTGTACCAATCATAAAACTTTTCCTATAATACGGACAAAATTTACACTCATCATGTGTCTTCGAAGCTATTGGAGAAGTAACATGCATTATGAATATTATAGCTAAAAAGTGTTCATAACTTAGATAAAAAAAAATTAATTTAATATGATGTTAAAAAAAGGACTAATATATATATGTCACCCTTAGTTTAAATAGCCAATAGTTGAAACAATTATATGTAACGTACATATTGCTTTAATTTTTTTCTTAAACATATAAATATTGATTTTAAGCAGAATGAAAAAAATTAATCCCATACACTATTTTTTTTTAAAAAGAGTTTTATGGCTTAAAGGAATCGGACGTCTCAGTTTCCAATTCTCATTTTTATCTACGTTTTCTAAATTAAGCACTTGTGTTTATCTATATTATTATAAAAATCGACCTTATTTCATTCTCCAAGCAACAGTTTTATATTTCCCAAAATTTGTATGACTCAACAAATATATCAACTTTAAATAAATGATTTACTTATAATAATAATAAAAAAAAAACAAAAAAAACTTCATAATTATTAACGAATTTGGGTTTACGACATGCATGTCTATAAAGCCCGGGGCTAAATTTATAAACCACGAAAAAATAAGGGCCGCAAATAGATTTTTAAAGGTAAAATTTAGTTTTGTTATTTGTTTTTTTATTTTTAATTCCAAAAACAAATCCTTCAAAATCAAAATTCGAATATTCCTTTATATTTATTTTCTCGTCTCCTTCTTCAAACTCAATCTTTCTCCGTCATTCAGATTTCGAGGAGACAGAGACAGAGACAGAGAAAAGGATTCGTGTAAGCAAAAGCTTTTAACTTCTCTTTCTATTTATCCTCCTTTCTTCTATCTCTCTCTCTCGATCGATACAAGAGAGATGGAGAGAGAAGAAGGAGAAACAACAATGATCGGCGTTGCTCCGGCGAGATCAGCGGCTCCGATATATTCTCTGAGCTTTTGGGAGGTCACGGCAGCTTCCGGCGTCGTTTTAGGGTTTCTTTTGGGACTTGTTTGCGTTTATCTCACAATGCCTCAATCTGATTACAGTTTCCTCAAGTTACCTCGTAATCTCGAAGATCTTCAGATTCTTAGGTAAATTTCTTGTTTTTAGAATCGATTATTTCTGGGTTTTTAGTAAAATTCAAGCTTTGATTCAAAGACCGTGACTTTCCAATTTAGGATTCTGGAAATTTGTATATGCTTGAGGCTTGAAGCTGAGCTAATCTCAGATTAGGGTTGTTTCTAATATTGGCAATGTTTGAATCTTTATATTAATAGATTATCTTAATTGTTTTACTTTCCTAAAAACAGATTGGTGAAGGAAAGTTTTGATTTTTTAACATATTGAGCTTTGGAATTGATTGAATTGCTGAATTCAGTGTTGTTTTGTTGCAGAGATAATCTTGAGATATACACAAGTGATTACACAGTTCAAGTTCTTGTTGGATATTGTCTGGTCTACGTTTTTATGCAGACGTTTATGATTCCTGGAACTGTGTTCATGTCTTTGCTTGCTGGTGCTCTCTTTGGAGTTGTCAAAGGAATGGCTCTTGTTGTATCCACTGCAACAGCTGGTGCTTCCTCTTGTTATTTTCTCTCGAAGCTCATCGGTAGACCTTTACTCTTCTCGCTTTGGCCCGACAAGCTTGTATTCTTCCAAGATCAGGTTTGAAAAACAAAACAAATTAATCTTATTTTCTGCTTTTCGTTATCAATTGTCGAGGAAATCCTGAAGAGTTTTTGTGGGTTTTGTTGTTTTAGGTTGCGAGAAGAAAAGATCGGTTGCTGAATTATATGCTGTTCTTGAGACTAACACCAACATTGCCTAACACTTTCATTAATGTTGCTTCTCCAATTGTTGATGTTCCTTACCATATCTTCTTCCTCGCTACATTCATCGGTCTGATTCCTGCTGCATTTGTCACTGTCCGGGTATGAGAAGTTCAAGCATCTTCCCGGTTTTTATCTTACGGTTTCAATGAGTATGAATATTTTCTAATGGAAATGTGTTTGATTTTGTGACACAGGCTGGGCTTGCTCTTGGAGAGCTAAAATCATTGGGAGATCTCTATGACTTCAGCTCCATGGCGACTCTGTGTCTCATCGGTGTGCTTTCTGTGACTCCAACCCTAATTAGCAAGAAAAAAGCCTAGAGGAAGAAGATCAATGGAGACATAAGATAAAGCCTTCGCTGCATACGATGATGATGATGAAAATTAGAGCATTTCAAAAACCTCTTTATGTACATATCATTTAGAATGTTAAGAAGTTAAGACCAATCATAAAACCCTGTTCTCTACATGTTTTTTACTCGAAATGTTCTTGAATACATCTCATCTCAAACGGGTTTAATGGGCCTTGGCATTAAGTCTATGGGCCTAACAATAAAAACTTCATAAAAGTAGTCTGAACTCTGAACTCTGAAGTCTTTGCTTGGGTTTGGAAACGATTTTACATTTTAGTGAGGAACGACCTATAAAACTATGAGTAAATATTCAATCTAAATATTTAACTTATAATAATAATAAAGTGATATCATAGTTTTATTCTCAAAGTATATCAAATAATATACATACAATACAAGAATGTGTTTGGAAGGCCAGAGTTTGAGTTTTTCAATTGTGATTTAAAATTTTAAATCATGGTTTGTTGTCACTGTCTACGTTTTAAATAAAAAAAGATATCCGTTTTTTATAGAAAACAATGATGAGTCTAGATTTTTTTGTGTGATTCTCTTTTAAACCCCATATATACAAGAATTTATTTTGTGTGTGTTCTTTAATTTATATGCATGTATTGTTTGGTGTTGTGTACATTACATAAATACACACAAGCATGTGTTTATAGATTTATCGTCTTTTGAGATTACAATGATAATTGATAAGGACCCAAATTTCGTTTTATGCCTTATGTTTTGCTCAGCCTATATCTAATTTGTATAGTGAAGAATACTTTTCAGTGTTAAGATCGATAGAGCAGTGCTATTTGAATCATCTAGGGTTAATAATATTCTCGTGTGAGGTGAAAATGTAGGTACATGTATACATGTATAGCAGTGTAGGTGAAGAAGATGATGATTCATGGCCCTCCAACTGTTTATATATATGTACCAGATTTACCACTCACTCAAATGGGTCTCATAGGCTTTGGCAATAAGTTTTAACAAAAAAATAAAACCATAAATGTTGCACGAAAAGAAGAAACATAGTTAAAAAAAAAAAGAAAAAAAAAAAAGAATAGACATTGTGCAGCCAATCTCATCATATGCTTCTTTTGCTTCTCCGTTGAATGTTGATGATTAATCACCGATGAAAAACGAAGCATATCTAAATATCATCTAACTTCTAATATAATATCATAACTTTACTTTCGAAGTTTTAGAACTTGTACATTATATTCTTTTTCCGGCTAAACTTTTCATTTGAGGTAACATATAATTGTCGTCCTATAATTTAACAAAAAAACGCTATGTACGTCATTGAAGCCATATTAGTCACATTGAAGAAAATGAGAAGATGCTTGCCGGAAAAAAGAAAAACGCAACATGAATAAACGTTTGAGTTATGTATCTGCGAAACATGTTTTTGTAAACTCTACTCCTCCGGCTTGGATTAACAACCAAAGTCTTTTCCGTTAATCTAATTGCACGGTTGATAAAATAAAAAGGATCTTTTAGTTTTAGATGTTATTGGAGTCGACTCGATGGTGCCTTTGGACAACTTCAAGCTAATATTATCAAAGTATCAATCAATATTGATATCAAATTAATCCATCATTCCTTCGATTGTGACAATTGTATTTTAATATTGTACGTCTAATAATATGAATTAGATTATCAGTCAAATAACTTTTGTTTAATTTGACCAGTATAAAGCTTCAAGTTTTCAAAGAAATTATCAGTCAAATGACTTTAAGTATATAGAAATCAATAGCAAGCTCAAAACATTAGAAAAACAATTCTTACATTAACTATTTTTATGTTAGATATAAACGTTGCCTTTGTTCTATTTTAATTCTCTAATCGCATTTACAGACCAATAGTTTCGAGACTAATGTATCCATGAAATTTACATATAAAAAACTCATGTTAAACAGAAAGCAACCAGACTTTAGATTCATTATATTATTAGTCAGTTTAAACTATATAATAAAGATTAAATGTAGTTAAATCAAGTGTTCAGAAGAAAAAATGTTTTGCTTCCAAGAGATGTTAAATCTTCTATGCATATGCATAAGTTTTTAAAAATGTGATTTACGTCTAAAGAGTTGTTTCATGTATTAAACACATATTATAGTTAAAAAATATATATATACAGTATATAAATAAACATACTATAATATATATATATACTATAATATATATATATATATACACTATAATATATATGGACATATTACAAAGCATATAAATTTGCTAACATAAAGGCAATAAAATGTTTACTAAAATAAACAGTGGAAACATAAATATAGTCTCCCTAATATGATCAACAATGGGTTTGAAACTCAAGTATATTCTCACGCATTCGCATTACATGTTCAATATACTCTTGGTCGTTAATTATTTAAAACAGGAATATAAAAATAGGAAGGTAGCATAACTAAGGAACTTTTTTCAAAGAATATAATTTCCAAATAAAAGCTCAATTGAGTAATCAAAAGAAAATTCTCTTACAGATAAGCACCACATCAGTTTAATATCTTAATATAAGTCTACTTCCAATACGAGATTCCCATAAAATCATTAACAATTTAGTTAGATTATTATAAGCATTGGAATCTGATATAAAGATTTTAACTAAACGAGATAGAAAAACACAATCATCACCCGTACAAAATCAAACTAATTAATTTCATCCACACTAGTTGGAAACACACATTAATATATAAAGAGATCACTGAAAATATATAAATCATATAGTAGTAACTTTAGACACTGCATCCAAGAACTAAAATATACAAATCCAAAAGGATCCAAATATTTACCTTCACTAAAGTGTGCTTTCTCAATATCTAAAGACATATAGACATATATAGAGTTAGCAAGTTAAAGACACATAGCAGATATAAGTATAATAAAACCTAAAACATGTTATGACACAAATCAGATCGGAGAAATATAAAACTCAATGACAAACGAATAGGTTTCATAGTTTACTTCGTCGAGATCAAAATCAAAACAGAATTGCTCATGTCGATATGTTAGGGCTCGAGAAATTGAAAGCCAATGTTGAACTGACACCAAATCATAGAAAAACATATATGTTTATATAAGTTTATTTCTATGCCACACACAAACAACAGATGTATACATATATCTATGTATATTAGTGTATATATATTTATATGTCATATATAGCAGCAGATAAGAAGAGCATCCATTAAGCAATATTTTTGTTCTAGTAGTGGATCACATTGTTCTATTTGATAAAAATATTAGAAAACATATATTGAATTCATAAACTCTATCACCAAATCCCCCAAAAAAATTTTTTTGCACTTAATCATTGCACTGACCAAAACACAAAAATACCTGGATTTTAACCCATTTTTATATGTATATACATATCAACAAACCTATGTATAGGACAACAATACTAGAAATTTTGATTCATGAGGGATATATAACCTCTAATCAAATTCTAGTCGGCTCTCTTATCATGGTCGATATCAAATTTGTAATACACGAAGTGGCTAGATATGAAGAAAGATTTGAGGATTTTTTCATCGCAGACGAACACAAATAGAGTTTCACAGTAAATAAAAAGGATTAAACATCAAATTCTACAAAACGCAAAAACAAAAAGACAGAGAAAAACCTAAGCTTAACATGATGAACAAGACAATGTCCGAAATCACGATGATAATTTGAAATTCATTAGTCCATTAAAAGCTTTTCTAACCTTTCTTCACTCTCGCAAATTCTTCGCCGGAAAAGCTCCTCCGCCGGTATATATATAATGATTATCAATATATACACATCAGAAAGGACCTCTTCCACCGGAATTCCCCGGCCAACCTTCCACCGGAAGTTGCACATTTGGTTGCATATTCATCGGTAAATTAAAGAACGGAAGTCCTCCTCCTCCTCCTCCGGCAGCAACTTCAGGAAACAAATTACCTCCGCCGTTAGATCCTCCTCCAAGCTGTTGCTGCTGCTCATCTTCTTCTAAAGGAAGTCTCTCATAAGCAACATTAGTAAACGAAGCTGCAATTACAATCACCGGTCCAGCCGCCGTAAGCTCACCCACAACGCTTCCTCCGACCACCTGACCTTGTCCTCCGGCTAAGAAAATTGTCAAACTAGTTGCTCCGGGAGGAGCCGGAGGAGGAAGAAACGACCCGGAGAGAGAAAGAATCTCGAACGTTCCTTGTAGCGTCACAACCGCTCCAGCCGCAGATGGCTGACGTATGCTGACGTTCGTGACCGTTCCGCTACCGCTCAGAACGCAGATCCCTCGCTGCCTCCGACGAGCATAAGTCGCAACGCAGTCGAAAACGTCGCAGCCGTTTGTTACTTCAAGAATGTGAGCTCTAAGAGTGTTTGCGCTCTCGCGCGTGATAATCACCGGAGGTTTTGGTTTGTTCTTCGATCCCGGTGGTCTGCCACGTGGACGACGACCAACGACGTCTCCTCCTCCGCCGTGACCTCCTCCTCCTCCAGAGCTTCCTGATCCTCCACCAGAGGCTAAGTCAAGACCTTGATGGTTGTTGTTGTTGTTGTCTTCGTCGTCGACGGTGAAATGACCCATCCCAGCTCCGGGAGTGACGTCATCGGAAGAGGAATTGTGGTGAAGGTGGAGATCGGGACGATGGAGCTGATGATTAACGTAACGAAAAGCTGTGCCTAGATCAAGACCAGCCATGCCCACATCAAAAGCAAAGAAGAGATTTTAATTTGAAAAAAATAAAAATTATATAAAACACACACACACACAACAAGATTAAAATAAAGCTTCTCTTCTCTGTAGATTTGTATATGTTTTTTTTTCCTTCTATTTTATTGAAATTTAAACTAAGAAAAAAGATATGAGAGAGGATTGAGAAGAAGTTATAGGAAGACTAAAATGGGAAGAGAAAGGGAAATGATAAAAAGTAGAAGGAGAAGGTGAGACTAAAATAAAGCATTAATGAAGAAGAAAAAATGATTGTGTATATATAGATATATGTATGTAAATGCAGTCACTTGTCTAACCTAAACTCTTACAAAATAGATATTGATAAAATTTTCGTTTTGGTATCGACTTCATTTCAATTTTTTTTTTTTCTCGTTGAGTTTTATGTCGTTTTGTGTGTTTTGGACTCGACAATAAACTCCACTCTTCTTCTTCTTCTCCAATAGCAAGAGCGTGAAATATACGCGACTGCCATAAGCAACACACATATTAGGTTTCACTGTTTGCGTTTGTGTTTTTTTTGGCCTATGTTTATAACTTATATAGTATTTGCCAAAAAAAAAACTTACATAGTATACATCTATAATAAAATAAAAATATTATAGTTTAGTCGATAACTATTGGAAAAAAAAAAAAAACTTGTTTGTCACATGTTTGTATATGTTTATAGATCCATACAAATATCTGATTAGAAAAGTATATTATTAATAATTCCAATGTCTGAATTCTCTTATTTTGTTCACATATAAAAATCCCCTTCAAAACAGCTAAACTTATGTCATAGTTGTTAATGGTTTAGCCAGATAAAATACAAAGTTTCAAAGTTGGCGATACATTGTTATGAATTGTATCAAGAAGCTTAACGGAAGTAGGATCCACGCGCATAATAGGAGCGTCAGCAGTTGGGAAGGAGATGTGTGTGAGTGGGTGTGATCTAATTGGTATAATAAGTTAAAATATTTGGAGAAAATGAAAGTTTAAACTTTTAATTAAGATGAATGAAGCCATCATGATAATATGTGGTTGGGGTTATCTTGTGGGTTTCATTAAGATGCTTCCTCTTTTCTGTCTTTCAAAACATTCTCCACCATCATTGCCTTGCCTTAATTTATTTAAACTTAATTAATATTATGGATACTCAGGCCTTATATATATCAATCATATCAGTTTCCTAAATTAAGATGTAAGCCTTGCAAGAAAAAAAAAATGTATAAGCTATATTTTGAAGAAAAAAACTTAGGCTAACACATATAATCACTTATTCATAAATTAATCTTGGAAACAAAAGAAATATTTTATTAGTTAACCATGGTTAACTATAAAGTTGACCAAAACTAATCAAAGTTAGAATTAATTAGAGAGAGAGAGAGAGAATACCAAGTGGGGAGAGGAGGGAAGCGGCGCGTGGGGTCCACGATTGTCTGAACCAATTTGGATGGGTTTCTCTTGGGGCTCATGGAGAGCTCTTTTTTTTTTTTTTTTTTTTTTTTTGGGCAAAAGGGCTCATGGAGAGCTAAGCATTTCTATTTGGCTTTGACCGTCTTTGGTTGGAAATTAGTTGGATCTAATCATTTCAAACCAATAATTTCGTGCCTTTATTAATGTTGTTACATTCAATCAATGTTCAAGAAAGCGCTAGGCGCTAAGCGGGCGGTGACCCAGTGCCTAGCGCCTAAAACGCCTAATCGGAGCCTAGGCGATTTTTAGGCGGTTTAGACGTTTATAACATAAAACAATATAAACATGGTATTATATATAAAATATCTATATAAAACTAAAAAAATATGTAATTATAAACAAAAACTAGATAAAATATTTGTTTATATTTATATTAAACAATATATGAATATTTATCACTATATATATAAAACTAAAACTTAATTGAAATTGAATATATACATTAAACAAGATCTATGTAATTTTAGGCGGTCATCTAGGCGTCGCATGAGAGCCTAGCGCCTAGTCGGGCCCTAGGCGACCGCCTAGACCGCTTTTTAGAACACTGCATTCAATACATTATTTAAATTTACGTTTTACATAATATTTTTTTATTTCCTTATATAGATGCATGTATGAATTAAATAAAGCTCAAGCAAAAAAAGAAAATATGATAATTAAGCTCAATTTAGTGAAGGCGTTTACATCAGAAATTACTTAAATTTCTTGCCATGTGAATCATTTGGTCTAGATTTTGTTCTGTTTTTTTTAATCGTACAAATGACTTCAACCTTTTTTGTATGTTGACTACGATATATTTGAAACCAACTTTTTTTTATTATAAAGTTTCATCATTATCGGTTTCCAAGTGTTGTGGACCTTGTGGTCATTTGAAAAAAAAAACAGAAATATTGAAAACATCTATAATTAGTGTTTCCTTATACGAGTGAATAATATTGCAACTTACTTGATTTTGTTTTTGTTTACGATATTTAGTATTTTGACATCCGGTTCATAAGATTTTTTCAAGACAACCAAGAGGTCCAAGAAATTTTCTGTTACTCACATATGTAAAGGATCGGCTAGACAATGCTACATCATATATCGTGTTAAAAACCGTCAAGACTGAATAGAAACAACTAATTTTGACACCATAGCAACACTTGGAGCTGCTTAATTTCGAAATAGTATATTTATTTTTTTACTCTACATTATCTGATTTCTAAATGCATAATATAGTATGAAATTTATGGAACAGTTTCTATGACATAATGATTACCATCAAATCAAAGAACCTGTATCTTTATAACTCATTAAATTGTTTAGTTGGCTTCGATATTTTAGGGTAAATAGCACATTCCACGTGCAAAAGTTTTTAGATCTTTTAAACCTTTAGAATTTATAATTGTTTCACGTTATGACTTAGTCACTTATATATAATCAAAAGGGCTTGCTTTTCAGTGAAAAAGTTGTTAATTCAGTTTTACGTATACAGTAATAATATAAATTAGTATATATGTGTGTGAGTCGCTTCCCTTATTTAAATTATAGTATCTAACATATTATTTAAATAACTTGATAGGTTGATTTATTTGTAACCACTAAAATTAAAAGGAACAACCTATTGGCAATGACGACTTTTGGAACGAACGTAGTGTGATGTCTGACAAAGCCATATATATAATATACATTGTTTATACATTTATTTTATGTATGTTTATGTATATTCAATATTTTCTATATTATATTTTAAGGATGTTTGTGGCATACAGTTCCTTATCCAGTTGCATTGTGTAGGCACTTAAAACTTTTTTTTACAAAGATATTTGAAGTAAGTGGGTCTTTAAGTTATTAAATTAGCCACATCCAATGCCGTCCTAAATATGTTTAACAAGGTAGGTAACCATATTTTACACACGTATAATATATGCATAAACCTAAAACATGTATATTTGTGTCGGTAGATATATTATAAAGTAGTTTCTATATTATTTCTTGACCATGTAATATTGAAGTTGTTAAATACTAACCGAATCAACACCGATCGTTTCAATTTCATATTATAAGATAATTCACCATGAAGTAATTAAAATACAATACAAAGATAATTTTAAATAGTTTCACAGAATCTAGTAATCTACAAAATCAATAAATAAATAAATTCAATGGGTCCTTTAAGACAACCAAAATTCATTAATATTGATTGACTATCGTCTGAGATTAATTTATACTCTAAATTAAGTAAAATATACTGGTGCATATATTTTAGCGTATAGTAAAAGTAATACAAAATGGTGTAAGAATATAAAATATTGATGTGATATCCGCAACATCGTTACTGGTTATTGTTTTTCTTCAGGTGGTGGGATACTAAAGTTGCAAGTTGAGTACCGGTCTACCACTTTCTAAAACATAATAACCTGTAATTCTAATTCGTAATCAGTTTAACCGATTACAATACAAAATGTTCGACATTTTACTACTATTTGATTGGAACTCGTTTCCAATTTAAAAATATATAAGTAAAAACCAAAAGATAAACTCTCCGTAATGAAAAAAAAAAAAAAAAAAAACTCTCCGTAATGGTTAAAGGCCAAAAGTTTAAGTACAGGGGCTAATGACGTAATGCCGTAGCTAGAGATTCGCGTTAAGTAAACGCGCTAAGTTGCGAACTTTCTCGCTTAATTTACTTTTGTAATTTAGTTTAAAAGAATCGAAGATGTCAAATCCAAGTTCTTGGATCAAAGCACGTAACCTCTAGGGTTTCTCTAACCAAGGAAAAACAAATTTATAAGCTAAATTATCTATCATTCTATAGACAGAAAAAATAAATAATTTACTTGTATATATATATGTGTGTAGGTTTCTACAAAAGTACATGATGAATATTGAAATACCTAATTATGTTTACGCAAACACAGACATTGAACAGTGTTGGTACGAGGTTGAAAACTACTGTTCGTAAGCAGAAACTGGTTTTATTTCCAAAAACCAATAAAATGCCTGCAGGCTAGCTGCAGATAAATAATAACAACTCTATAATAAAAATTTATCCCCAAAAACTAACAAATATATATAATACTAATATGTTAGAGAAATAAAAAATTGAAGTGTTAATATCCCTATTTCAAAGATCAAACTTTATCAAAAAAATATACTCCATATGAACATACGGGTCCTTGCATACATGTATTTATGGAAAATATGAACATACACGTGCGAAGGAGAAGGGAGACACGTGGGAAATGAAAGAGGAGAGAGATGAACGTATAGCTGTCGGCCACGAAGCAGCTGTCACTTCTCTCTCATGAAAACATTGGGAATTGCTCTCTTTGTTTCTCTCTCTCTCTAAGCCCTTAAATTTCGGGGGAGAGTTATGTAAGAACATCTATCTACTAGGCTTCTGCATTTTCACCTGCCCTAATTTACCAAAACCTTTTTTTACATCAATATGACAAATATCAAATGCTTGTATGTATACTTTACTTGTTTATTAAATTTACCAAAAGAGAACTCACGAGGTGGTTTTTATAATTTTTGTATATACCTTCACTTAAAAGTTACTAGTTCTTTGGTTATTCTTATTTCTATAAGCTATTTGATTAGTTCATGAAATGA